GCCTGCATGTTCCTTTAGGTTACATTTATAGCAGCATATCTATTATTCTGCAGCATCCTGCATTCATATTGAATAACAAAACCATGGTGCTGTCACTTGTCTATTTCATGGCCTTGAATGTTCTGCGTACTGTAGTTCTGACATCAAAGTTTTAAGCTTGTTGTAGACAGGGAAATCTGACATTTTTTCTAGTGGAGCCATTATGACTGAGAAGGAGGGATGATTGAGGAAATTTACATGAGAATGCAAGCAAAAGACAAGGACAGGGAGGATCAACTTATATAAATTTGCCAAATATTTCAAGTAAACAGGAATAACAATTTAACTCCTACAAATGAGTAAGTATTATAGCTTAGACTTCTTAGTGCACAGTGGATCAAATATAAGAACCCACATTGCCTGGATCATTATATGCTTAATTTGAAACAAATTTGACCTGACCTCTTTTCTAGGGACGATACCCATTATGTTTTAACACTAATGTCAGTGTGTGACATGCTTTCTTCAACATGACAAAAGTAGTATATGTGGTGGTTCATAAAGGCCCAGGTTTCAAAACCTTGACCAACAGCACCTCACCTTGATTTCAACCTGGTTGAAAGTCTTGCCGTTGTACACGCCAACCATGGACCCGACCATCTCAGGCAGGATGACCATGTCCCTCAGGTGGGTCTTTACCACCTCTGGTTTCTCCATGGGGGGAGCCTCTTTCTTTGCCTTGCGCAGGCGCTTCAGGAGGGACTGCTGCTTGCGGCGCAGACCACGGTTCAGCCTCCTCCTCTGGCGGGCGCAGTACAGCTGCATCAGCTGCTCACTGTAGGGGGAGAGAGGACAGTGATGACTATGAAATCCCTGACCACCTTTGAACCAAAATTTTAGTTGCTGGTCAAATGCAGACAGAGCACAGCTCAGAGGCAGTTGTTGACTGAGAAATGCTGTGTCTGCAAAAAACCTCTCATCTCTTTGAGCTACACTTGCATAGACAACAGGAAAGGGAGAATACAAAGACAGCCAAATATGTAACAATAAAAAAGTGCAATCACAAGTGCCCAGACAAATCTGCCAAAGCATTTCCAGTTTCAGTGTGGTCCCCAGCCATCAATGGCAGACTTGCAGATCAGTTTTATTCAACTTCAAAACATGGACAGCAAGGTAATTTAACATTTAGGGAAAGTTATATGATCAATGTCAGGAAAAAAAGTCTGTTTCACTACCGATAAAAGCCACTTCTGTCAAGACAATCAGATTTACTATAATTCACTCGCAAAAAGAAAAAAAAAAATAGATGCCAACAGTTGAAGGACGTGAATTTCAGATTTTAGATTTATGGACACAGAGACATGCCAAGATCCTTAAGCCAAAACTGAGTACATGCAGGTTTTTGAAGTTTGTGTGCAGTCAGCGTGATTCTGAAACACGCTAAAGCTTCACACCACTTATATGAAACAAAACCTCAGTTTCTAACAAGTGAGACTGTGGCATTGAAGCTGGCCAAAATGCAGCGACAGCAGTGTCACTTACTAGGACATGTCCAGAAGCTGGTCCAGGTCCACACCTCTGTAGGTGAACTTCCTGAAGGTACGCTTCTTCTTGATCTCGGTATCCGCCTGGAAAAGACATACGGTTCCCGGTCAGTACGTAGCATACACAGTTAGCATTCATATTATAGCGCAAATGCCTGACCCATGACTGCCTCCAGTGACGATATTAATTCACAGAAAAGTTTATTAATTCTCGCTTGAGCACTGCAGGAACATTACAGAGACAGGTCATGTTTAACTAGTAGTTCAGACTGTGTAGAAACACTGGGTTAGCTTAGCCACAGATGGCCATAGCTCAGGCTAATACACAGCCTACAAACATAGATTTATCTGACATTTTGGGCAACGATTTTCTGCGTAATGGTCAGTGAACGTGTGGAAGTGTCGGATGGCATAGCCAGCTATCTTAATTGTTTACTCTAGAGCTCAGATGCATATAGATTCTGTTTTGACAAGCTTCTGAATCAGTAAATGACCTACCATCTTGCCTGATGTTCCGGGGGAAAAGAACGGCTACAAGTCTCGTCAGGCCTGATATCGCGCGATTTGAAGCAAACATCCGGCGGTGTCTTCCGGCGTCAGTTCCCTTTGTGAACAGCAGATGGCGCAGTTGTACCATTACTGCGGTTTCTGACCAGTGTCAAGTTTCTACCAACGTGTCCCGTTTTCATTATCGTTTCTGTGCATCACTGTTTAGTCCATTCTTTCTTCTGTATATGAGGAGGAGAACAGACAGTTACAGAGCAAAAACTAAACAGGAAAAAACTGTATTTTATTGATTTGTATATTTGGTTTTTAACACAGATGTAGCTCTAGCTAATAAAAGGCTCAAAGGTAACCACATTTACTCAGGTACTAACTTAATTCCAGTTTTGAGGTACTTGCACTCCAGTATTTCCATTTGGTGTATCTTCTAATCCAAAACATTTTAGAGGAAAATGTTTTACTTTTAACTGACACTTTTCTAGTTTTTTTTTTTTCCAGATTAAGATTTTACAAACATCTGAAAAGATCATAAAATACAATAGTGTTTAAGATCAAACCAGTGGGGAACCCCTTACAAAAAAGCAGTGTCTAGTTGGGCGCCTTCTCACGTTTCTTGCACTGTATCTCTGTGAGTTGTTACCAGCTTCACCAAAGTGACATTCCCCTTTAAACGTCTCACATGGTTTCATTTAAAGAACAGTTTGAGGCTCAAAGATGTAAAAATCTCCAATATATCACTGTTATACGAATTAGTTTTATCTTGTTACCACTGTACTAAACTGCCTAACTTTACATAAACTATCTCCACCAGCTACAACAGTAAAATGGTGCTCAGGCCTACAGAAACATGCCTCAGTATTAACAATCTAATAATGTCATACATAACAAATTATCAGTCACAGCGGCCACTTTGGTGGAGAATGAGTACCTTTGATACTTTAAGACCATATTGCTGATAACAATTAACACATTTATTCATGTCCTCTTTCAGGACCAATGATGACAAGGTCCTCAGTTTTATCCTTGTTTAAATCAAGAATATTTCACCACCCAAACATGCCCAACTAATATTTAATATGCCCGTTTGTTGCACTTCTTTACCTGATCTCTCTCGCACTTAATGAATAGATGTACTCCTATGTAAATATTTTTGGGATATCCAACACAGTTAATGTTTGAAAATTTGACTTGGACTTATGTTATGGAGTTTTTCTTTTTTTCCATTGCTACAACTAAAGGGTTTCAATATAATTTGCTTCAAAGAATTTATACTGTGCAGTAGCCACCCTTCCACCCAATTACAAAAACACATGCAGTTATTTCCACTTCCTCTGTTGGTGTCTAATCACTCAGTCAGCTTCAGTTTTATTTACCCAGGTTTAGATATATCTGCCTCCACCCGAACACAAGAGTGAAAGTCAACATGGACAATTGAATTAGTATTTATTCTAATTTCTCCAGTGTTAAAATGATATAGTCCTCATTTTTGTCTGTGATCTGTCAATTTTGCTATAGATGTCAATGTCTGATAATCTGATTATAGAGATTAATTGAATATGACTTCCTTTATTTTTTGGCTCTGTAGTGTTGTTTGAAAATGTGTACTCTGCATTCAGGATGTGGCTTTAACTAATTTGCTCATGTTGGCTGGGTACTTTTGCACAACACGATAATGAAGACTTAATTCATTGACTTTTAAAACAAATGTTGATATTGAAGTTTATATATGGACATTTTCAGTGCTCGGAGTTCCACAGATTAAATGCCATTCACCATCAGTGTTTTGGAGTGCAGGGAGCAGTCTCAAAACCTGAACAAAAATACAACCAAAACTATCTGCATACCAGAAAATGTTTTACACAGTGCATTCTATGTTCTTTTTTCACATTTTGTTATGTTGCAGTCTTTTGCTTAAATTGTTTAAATTCATTATTTCACCCTCATCAACCTACACTCAATACCTCATAATGACAAACTGAAAAACAGCATTTTACACATTTTTCTAAATTGTATCATTGTATTAAAAGGAAAAACTAAAATATCACATTGACATTAGTATTTACACATGTGCAATTTGGCTCAGGTGCTTCCCATTTCTCTTGATCAACTTTGAGATGTTTCTACACCTTAACTGGAGTCCTCCTGTGGTAAATTAAATTGATTGGACATGATTTGGAAAGACACACACCTGTCTATATAAGGTCTCACAGCTGACCATGCATATCAGAGCAAAAACCATGAGGAGGAAGGAACTGCCTGCAGAACTCTGGGATGGGGTTGTGTCGATGCACAGATCTGGGGAGGGATACATTGAAGCTTCCCAAGAGCACAGTGGTCTCCTTAATTCTTTAATGGTAGAACTTTCGAACAACCAGGACTCTTACCCAGAGCTGCCCGACCAAACTGAGCAATCAGGGCAGAAGGGCCCTGGTACGAGATGTGACCAAGAACTTGATGATCACTCGGCTTGAGCTCCAGAAATCCTTCTTTGATTTTAGCATAAAGCTGCAACATAACAAAATGTGAAAAAAACAAAAGGGATCTAAAGACTTTTTTTGAATGCACAGAATGTATTTCAAGTGAACAGGACCTTTGAAAACACAAGTTTGTTTTGTAAGGGTGACTTGCAGCATTATACAAAAGTGTGTAGTAATAGTACCGCTCCAGCACTGCATGCAGAGCTACGGTTTCATTGACCCTCCTTAAGTATTTTCTAAAGACTTGATAAACAAGCCTCTATGCAGCTAGTAACAAATATCTGTTCATTATCTTTTTTACTGAACACCCGACAATTGTCCTTTTATATTTGTCAGGCACTTCGAGCTCCGTCATGTGTATGAAAAGTACTTTTCAAATAATCTAATCAGTTTTTATTATAATTTGATTCTACATCACTGCAGACTAAGAAGTCACAGGCCTATCCTTTGTGCCACACATTACATCAGTCTTTTTACAAATCAAACGGACACCAGATAATGAATACACATCTTTATTACATAAAGATCACAAAAAAAATGTTTTCCATTGGCATAAAAATTATTCCAGAGGAAAAACCGATAGTCCAATACAAAATGTTATTCAGAGTCAAGGTACAAAGTAGCCCCCATTCAAATCACAAATAAGCATAAATAATAATCTTAATGATCAAATATAATCATGATTGGTTCACATATCAACCAATATTAAGATTGATTCACTTAAACATTACTGACAAGAAAAGAATCCAGTATTCTTGCTTGGAATGTTCAAAACTTCACTTGAGTCTTATTTTGTCCACTCCCCCCTGCTCTCCCTCTCTCTCTCTCTCTCTCTCTCTCTCTCTCTCATCCAAAGAAAACAAGCTCAACTCCAGTTGGACTGGTTATGCAAACAAAGGAAATATTTCCTCCTTTAAAAAAAAGAAAAAACTGAAATGAGTGAGAGAACAGACAAAATATAAGATGATAAGACTGGTTTGTTCGAAAAAGTAAATTGATTTTGTTCCCTCATCTGTCTGAACAACCTAAACGGTTCTACTGCATGTGTGAATGACCAATACTGAAGGAGATACTGAAGAAGTAACAAACACAAACAAATGTACATTCTCATTCACAGGAATTACAGAAATAACTTGATGTTGTTTACACAGATGTTATAACTATTATAGATAAGCACAAGCATGGGTGTCTTGATAGAAATAACATGCGTTTCCTACAAACCTACAAAAAAATGTTTTTTTTTTTTTTTTTTTTTAAAAAGCCCCTAATGTTTCACTTTTAATTTCATTTTGCCCTTAAAAAAAAAAAAAACCTAGGGATCTCCCTTAATGCAACTAATGACTCAGCAAAAACCATTAGGGGAAAAAAAGGGGGCTTTGGCACATAAAAACAAAATCCCTGGGATAGAAAACTAGCAAAGCCAAAGGGATTGGCTTTTGTGGTCACTTTAAATATTAAAAAAAAATAAAATAAAAAAGATTCCGAAATACAGTTCATGATATGTGTAACATTGGTCTTGCACAAATAGGGCTAAGAAAACAATTTCATACAATACTAAAAGGATGAGACCTAAAAAAGGAACAACATCCTATGGATATAAAAATAAGCCGCCTGCCTCGAGGAACACGCCTCGTCATTTCCCTTCCTCAGCTCTCTCCTTCCGCCTAGTAATCCGTCCCGTCTTCTTGGTACACCTGCTCTTCTTCCTGGTAACCTTGGTAACCCTCGTCTTGGTAATCTGGGATGTAGTCGCGGACGCCCCCTGCCCCGTTTTGATCACCTGCGACCTCTCCGGCTTTAGGACAGTACTTGGCGTCATAGATCTGCCTCCCCAGGCCGAAGTTCTGGCCGCTCTGGTTGGCTCCCTGGCTGTAGCCCATCTGCAGGGACATGGTGCTGTTGTCACACTTGTCTGTGCCCAGTTTCTGGTCGTAAATGGCACGCCTTGTACCTGGAGCCGTCATCCCAGCCTGTAGTAGAAATAGGGAACAAGGAAATGAGATAGTTTTATGACATTATAATATTTACGTAACAATTGTATTTCCTTCAAACAAAGTCCTGATTTCACTGAGCCCAGTTTTGACTCGGTGTAGACAATCCAGAGTGTAGAGCTGTCTACAAGTCTAAACATGACAAGCTTACAGCAGTGAGGGGACAGGAAATGAGTGAGGCCCTGAGGCTTATTTCCACTGCCGTCCTATAATACTGAATTTATGAGAAGTTGGGAATATGTTGGAGTACCTGGCTCGCCCCCTTGTTGGTTCCCATTTGCAGACTGATGGTTGTGTTGTCCATGGGGGGCTGGATTTGAGCTTTGTGGTTATATAAGTGCCTCCTGGTGCCATATGCATTCATACCTGCCTGACTGGCACACTTGTTGGTCCCCATCTAAAGAAAAGAAAAGAAAAAAAACAAACAAAAAACACCACAATATATCAGTTTTAAAAAAAACGAACAAAAAAGAAAAAAAATGTTTTTAAATTAAAAAAAAAAAAAAACATACAAGACTTGCAAAACAAGAGTGCTTTAAACCAACTCGCTGCACTTACACAACAAACAGCGATAAAATGTTGCATAATAACACTGTATTTTAGGGAAAAAAAACTTTTTAAGTGTCAGTCACTTGTTATAAACCTGTTATAAACAGAAAGTTCTATTGTAACCTTTCCCCACTGCATAGGTAGCCCTCATTTCTACTTGACATCTTTGTTGTTGGCAGAAACAATAACAAGCAAGAGGCTTAAGAGGCCGTAACAATGAGCAGCTCTTACACAGAAGTATGCTATGCTTGACATGAGATCATGAAGTCTGGTTTCGCAGTAGTTTCGCCACATGCAGTCATGTGTTCAGTTTTCCAGGCATGTGCCTCACCTCCGTCAGGCACAGGCAAAGATATCAATAAGATATAGTGGAGCGTCATTTCACAGTCCAATACTCTTTTCCTTTATTGACAAAATTGGGAAAATTTTGTTCTGTCCCACTGGATTATTGTCTTCAATAGACTGAGTATCACTGACAGACCTGCTGCTCATCCAGGAGTCTCCGAACAAACTATACCTGTAGGCCAATGACGCACTGTCCCGCCTTCATCTTCTCCTCATCAAACAGCCTCTCCTGCTTGTCAGCGTACTTCACCCCGATGTCCACCCGTGACTGGCAGCCCTTGGTCTTGGCCTTAAGAGGGAAATAAAGTGTAGAAGGTTGTCATTGTGGATTTCCAGAAGCGCAGTCATAAACATGCATTTTTTTGTTGTTTTTTTTAAGACTCACCATGCTAGCCAGTGCCAGCAGCGTTGTCTGGACCTGGGTCATGTTTCCGCTCTCAAACAGGTCGTTGGCTTCGAAGATATCGTGAGGTTTCAGGCCGTATGACGTGATGGCTTTGATGAAGTTCGTCAGGTTCTCCAGCTAAAACCACACCAGTTTAAACAAGATCAGCAACAGTGTTCGTGCAGGATTCGTAATGACATTTGTGCAATTATTTCTGTTTGCACGCCATCTTCTCGTCCTTATTAATAAGATGCAGTCATTTAGGTGTAAAAACAGTTTGTAGTCTGAAATGTGGAGCTGGTTTACAGTGACTGGTTACACCTCAGTGAAGAATCCAGTCTGAAAAGATGCTTACATCACTGCCAACACGCGAATATAACCATGACCTAGCATGATTCAGTGTGCTGACATCCGAACATTTAAAGCACAATACAAGAGCACAGGGAGCTATCTGTTGACCATTTATATATGTATGTAAGTGATGTCATTAGGAGGCAATTATTAGCATGGCTCCGCCACACCTTCAACTGGTTAAAAAGAATGTCACAAACTAACACACCTGATGCCAGTTCAGGGCAGACTGGTTGATCTTTTTCACTGAGCCTGGTTGAAGTTTGTTGATGAGTCTGTGGCAGAAAAGCAGAGAGAAAAACCATTCAGTTTTTCCAAAACACTGTACACAGGAAGACAAACGATCAAGGCCCTCGTGTCGCAGTGTAATGGACGATCGACGATCTCTGCTTACTCGCACAGAATGACTCCATTCTTCAGGCCTTTCTGGAAGTCTGGGCCAATGGAGGAACCGGTGATGTCTTCAATCCAGATCCTCAGTTCCTCTTCTTTCTGAGGGTCATACTTCTGTGCAATCTGGTTGGACAGAGAGGTGAAAGGGTCACATGTGTCTCACGAGTAACCACGATAGCCAGCAGCTCATCTGTTAAACAGTAAATGCATTGATAGTTTGTCATTATCTCTTTTTGTTCCTCCCTGCCCACGTTGACCTCCCGCTCACACACATGTGACGTAAGATTTATAAGAATTACACAAAGACACAGATAACTAAGCTGTACATCATATAACATAACATGTTAACATTTGTCCCGAAGGTGTTATGACTGCATGAACTCATGTTTCATGGTCACCCCTGAATTTCACTGTGCCTCAGTGTAGTAAGCTATGTCTACAGAGGTGTTTTTGTCTTGTTTAGCCCTCATAAAAAGAAAGGTGACACTGACATGCCCTACCATACACACACACACAAGGATATCCTGTTTGGTAAACTGCTAAATTCTGCACAGGAAGGCAGCGACTGAAAAAAGGGAGGGAGGGTGAGTTTTAAGGGGCTTAACATTGCACAAAGATTGACTCTGGTGAGGGTGCCACTGTTGAGGCGTTACTTTGATTTATAAGCTTGTTTGGATTGGTGACATAAGTGTAAGAAACGTGCTACGCCGACTCTGAAAAAGACCATTCAGGAAGAGCATTGCTGTATGGTCACATAAACAACAGTCCACTCTGTTGAGTGGCACACTGGGGAGCAGAAATGAGAAGAACAGAGGCAAACATTTCTTCTCCTCCGGTATAGGATGAGGTGTCGAATGAGCTGCGTGCAAACTATCAACCAGCTAACAATCTCCCTCTGTTCCCAGAGGGCAATGAGAAACTGAACCGCAGAGCTCAACCTACCATATACATAGAAGTTGGCCACACTCTGCTCACAGCTGGTTGCACTCTTAAGGAATTTCTGTCTTCTAATTATGTTTCCTTCATTCCGTTATCCCCACATTAAAAAACAATATTGGCTATTTTAATTGCCCACAAAGAATTTGACAGATGTAATTTGCAGAGACAAGCTGAACACAAGGAATTCAGTCCGCAGTGCTCGGATAAAAGAGCTGAATGAAGCAGCGAGGGAGCAGGATTGCTGTGTGTTGAGCCAATGAATGAATACAGACTGTGTGGAGACTAAAAAAAAAAAAAAAAAAAAAAAAAAAAAAAAAAAAAAAATGTTGTGTACTGCTGCTGCTCAACTTTAAGTTCAGGGTCTAAACTTCAGTATTTTCTCGCCGGTAAATGTTCTGCACCTTTTTAAGCAAAAGGAAAAAAAAGGGGAGGGGAGCCAAGGGGAGAGTAAATCCTTAAATGCCTCACATTTCACAGAGGGGGCTACGTCAGCAATGGCAGGAAATACCACTCAAGTCAGCATCTCTTTAACCCCCCCCCCCCACCTATCAACCCCCACCTTCAAGGACGCCACTAGTAAGAGACAAGGGAAATCTGCATGTTTTTCTTTACGTCCGGCACATGTTGTTCTGTGGAGATTTGGGGAGGGGACATGACCCTTTCTCTCCTGTACAAGGGCACAGCCAAGGAATGCAGATTAAAAAAAAAAAAAAATCAGTTGACGGTGAGTTAAAATAACTCAAGAGAGAAGGTTGAGCAAAACCAAAGATGTCTGAAGCAGGTCAGCTGCAACTTAAACTACATTTGAGAAAATGTTGGCCACGCTAATGAAGCAGTATTAAACAGTAGCACCACATTTATTCCCTACATTTAAAAAAAAAAAAACAAGGGGGAGAGTTGTCAAGGTTATGCAGCTCAGGGTGATACACACTTAATCTCCAGCATCAGTCCTGGTATTTTAAGTGGATCCGGGTGTGCAGAGATCTGTGCAGACAGGCCCAAATAAACAAGGTGCTTTCCTCACCAAGGCCCCACTCAGAAAGTTACACATTACCAAAGAGTGGGGTTTACTTTGAAGCCTGGTTTGGTTTGAGTGACTTCAGTCTGGGGCTGATTATACAGGGTGAAATCTTGAAATAGGAAAAAAAAAAAATAACCCTAACCCTCTCCTCTTCCATTTTGCATTGCAGTTTTGAGCGAAGAAAAGTTAAAGTATGAGAAGCAGCACGACACCTTACCACAAGGGGGGAAGTAGGAAACTATTCTTGTTATTTCAAAGAAGCAATAAAAAAAGGGAACAGGGAAGGGCAATAAAGAGGATGGACTGCATCCAATGCAGGGGACTAATGGGTGAATTACATTATCTGCTAATGCAGGTCACAACGCCGGGTAACAAGCTGCACACTCAGGGAACAGAAAATCCTGGAAACGGGGATAACAATTTTGCCACAACGACAGACTTTTTTTGCCAAGAGGGACAACGCCCATAGTCTGGTTTTAAGTTAGTCTCCTGCATGGGAAACTTAACATTAGCTTCTCAAGATGCAAAACTCGAAGATGGACATATACTTTGCAAACGAATCACACACAAAGAAAGTTTCATATAAATCATAAAGTTAGTTTAATCTTTAAAAACACTTAAATCTCTCTTTTGACGTCTTTTCATCCACCTCTGGCTACCTTTTAACCTGGGCACGCGTATCAAAATGGACGCCAGGTGACTTTGCTGCTGCCGTTCAGAGAGACGCACAATGAGGATGATGGGAGTAAAAGTTGAATGCAAGTTACTTTATAATGATATATAAAAATATGTACACATACCTTGTTCTTGACTTCCGCAGATAATCCGTAGGCAGGACCTTTGTTAAAAGCAGCCATTGTCAAAGAGTTGTTATTTTTCTATTGGAGTTATAAAAAAGAGAGAGACACTGACCTAAGAATAAAAACTGCGCTAAATTATCTTCGACTTTCTCTTCCAATGAAACCTCGGTGAGAACTAAATACTTCCTTTCTCTTTTACGGCCGCCAATTAGAGCGCTCCCACGGTTTCTATCAAAGATAATGCGTTAAAGAGTCAAGATAGTTCACTGCCGGTAGTCCAGCAGAGCAGTACAGGGGAGCGAAAGCTGGGGGGATGCCTCTTATATGAGGGAAGCCTGAAAAAAAATCAGATCTTAATGAATATTCAACACAAGGCGTCAACAAGATGTAGTGTTAAGCTACTTTACGATTTCAAAAGGGGAGGGATAGTCTGAGGACTCAGAGGAGGCCCACAAGAAGTTCATGTCTTTTATTTTTCTTTATGCTATGTTTTGAGTGAAAACTTACATACATGACAGGTATTTTTAAGTGGATTTTTTTAGAAACAAAAAATTTGACTTATTTTGGCCAACCACATATGAATGAATAATGACTTTCCACTGAATTCATCCAAGAATTGTATTCTTGGTGGTGTAGTTAAGGCTTTGAAACTGTAACTACACCTTCATGATGGGAAATTAAATTCACACGAAGTTTAAGTGAGCAGGTAACTCAATGAATGAAACACGACAAGTTATTATGTGCCACTCACAATCCACATGACAGAAAGATGTGTCATTTGTCACATGTGAGGTGATGCTTGCAGTAGCACACGCCAGACACATCAGAACAAGTAGTAGGTGGGATCTACCAATCCAGGGAGTGAATGTGATGAAAGTGCTGCATTTCTGCAGAATTGAAGTAACTAAAGCAACAACTAAACTCAGATGAGGGTGAGGGTGAGGGTGTTTTTGCGCACTGGTGTGTGTTGAAATGGTATGAAAGTCGTGGGGGGTGGGGTGGGGGGGACTCATGACCTCGGTATTTCCAACAAGCTGGCGATAGCCTTGTGCACAGCTATCTAATATTTTTTCAATGTGATCATGCATTTTTACAGCATGTAGGATTTGTGTTTCGAAGCTGATTCATTCATACGTCAAAAGGACGCGTTCATTAAGCTTCACTGGTTTTTATTACTATTACAAGTTTATTGTAATAGTATCTGTCTTTCTCTTCATGTAGCCCCAGTAATACCAATTGGCGAGAAACAGCTTTTACTTCATCCTAACACATTCAATATCAGTGAATATTGTCTATATTGACTATCCTTGTGATGCAAAATATTGGGATAGCGACACTATATGCTTAGTTAAAAGTCACCTATAGCCTATACTACAGACTCTATAAACCAACAGTCACTACAATGTACTAAACTGCCCTTTCATCCCCGCTATAACAAGTACACAGGCAGACATCCTCTTGCTTCTCCTGAATACTCTTTGGTTATACTCTTCGTTAATCGATCCTAAGCTCCACCTTTCCCCTGCTCTTCCTTAGGTCGCGATTGATATCAAAAACTCCTTATATGGAAGGAAACTTCCCAAATTCCTGAATGGTGGGAGTGATCCGCGGGTCCCGCCCTGCATACCAGACGTGCAGTGGACCAGACGAATGGTCGCATTTTTTGAGTCACTGTCGATTAAAAAAAAAAAAAAAGTTTTGAGGAACTAAACTAAGCACAATGGGCTACTGAGGTGACGTAATGTCGCTGCTATCGGGTTTTAGATAACAGACACAACTTCTCCTCACTTGCCAGGATTTGTAAAGCTACTACAGAATAATGTCCTGTGGTCCAAATTTCAGTATGAGACAACAGTTTACAGTTTACCCTCTGTACATATTAATGTCACCGTGTTTAATGTAACCTGACAGAGTTGGAAAGAACGGGGAATTTCTTCTCGGGGGCTTTTTCTTTCTCTTCCTTTTGTCAAGTCAGCTCCACAACAGCAGGACTGGTCTATGCCTTGGTGCTGTTTCTAAAAATGGAGAACCATAACTTTTAAATGGAAAACTATCTAAAAAATATATCCAATTTTATTTTCCTCTTCACACCTAAATGTGGGGATCATGAGGCAGGAGTACATCGTGTTTTGTTTTGTTTTTTGTAAAAAAAAAAAAAAAAAAAAAAAAAAAAGTAAGTGTTAAGATGTTGCAAGTTAAAACTTACCCTCACAAGTCCATCAACGTATATTTCCTAATAGGAAGCCTAGACACGGTGACACATGACCCAGCCGTGTTTCCAGAGAAACTGGTGTCCCGTTATGAACAATAGTGCTACTAGTAAAGAGGGCTACTGACATTTGGAGAGTCAAAAATAAAACTGGCCAAAGATACAGCTAGTTACCTTAAAACCTGATTTTTTTTTTTTTTTTTTAAATAGTTTTCAGTTTTATAGTAATTATAGTGATTTCTTTAGCGACAAAACTTTGATTTCTGTTGGAAATGAAGTTAGGTGTTATGGGTCAAAGCATGTTTGATGTTAGGGAACTTCTGACTGGGAGGTTTCATGCTGAAAATCAAACAGTCGGGGTCCGTGGTATTTACCCAAAGGACGTCTTCCAATAGCAGAGCTCTCATTGCACTATTGTCGTTATCTTCTGCAAAGTGAAGAGCATTTTTGTGGTTAATAGTTTTCATACAGATAATTGTTCAGTTAGCTAATCAATTAATCTTTTCAGCCATTTTTCCAAGCAAAAGAGGAAAACATTTGCTGGTTCTAGCTTCTCAAATCTGAGGTTTGATGCGTTTTTAAATCACATATTGAATGAGAGGGCTTCACATTGATGAAAAACGAAAGTCTAAGGAATCGTATTGGCCTCTGGGAGATCGTATAGACAAACCAATCAATTCATGAAGACAAAGGTCAGCAGATTAATCAGTAATGAAGGTAATCAGTTGCAGCTCCAATATCAACATCAGCAGATTTCAGTGAAATGCACAACTTCAACCTGACGTAGTGTTCGCTGAGTCTGAATCCTTCATGATACATTGCCAATCCTTCTCCACAGATTCAAACCAGACAAGATGGGACGTAAAATCTTGGGAACGTAATAATGACATAAGCCCAGGTGTCTCTCCTCTGACAATGTGTCTGGTCGTAAACACAGCTGTTATTTCTCAACTTTTATATGGCTGGTAATTACGTCATACAGGTGAGCAGAGGGCTGATTCAGAGTCAGAGTAAAGACACCCGAGGCGAGGCCAGTTACTCATCCTAATAGACTACTTATATGAGATGACATCAGCTCACTGAGTCATGGCAGGAAGTAATGTAGCTGTGATGCCCCTTCAGTCCATCAAACTGTCAAACATGTAGGGAACCATATGTGGTCTCTGTTGAGGCCACAATGCTAATAAAAACGTCACTTTTGCACAGAAGGCAAATTCTTAACTGAGGTGATAACAATTCCCGGCTTCCGCAGATGGAAGCTGATGGGAATCTTAAGTATGATTGTTTTGTTTAAAAATAGATGCTCAATATTCTCTTTGGGCTTGCAAAAATTATATTTTTCCCCACTGAAATTACTCATACCATCCCACCCCTTACATCATACATACTGATGCAGACTAAAGAGGCAAATGGATAACGTGCACCCCCACGTGGAGGAACTGGGTAAGTACAACAAATTACAGCAACTTCTACAGTGTGGTTCAAAACAGAAAGCAGAAGTATACCGAGCTCAGACTGACCTTTAAGTTTCCATTTCGGGGGAAAATATTCAAGATCAATTGCACTGTAAAAGACCCACCAGTCAGTCGACTGAGCTGAAGATTTAGATCATTTTATTTTTCAAACAATTGAGAGATGTTAAACACTGAACAAATAAAGATGCCCCAGTCAAAACTCCAGAAAACAGGTTCTTATCAACCAGTTGTAGCACTTTTCCTTTATTGCCAGCTGTGTTGTTGTGCAGTTTCTCATTGTCTGCAGCTTCACCCTTGCTCGATCAATGTGTACAAAAAGTTAACAGAAACGGTGCATATACCAGCTTCATTTTGATCATGGGATTTGGAATTCTCGCACATAAACCCAGCTCCACAGACAGGCGTGTTTTATGCGGAAGCAAATCCAGATTAACCATTTACCAAGGCACATTGGTAGGGATGAATGACTGAAAGAACAAACAAACAAACCAACAAGAAAGGCTGCGCATAAGCCTATCTTAATTCAAATTGTGAAGAAAAAGTGGTAGTGACTGATGAGTATAAAGGGAAAACAAAATTAAGTATTAGTTGTCACATGAACAATACCAAGAATATCTGATGCACACAGCTTTCTCTCTCCCTTTTATGTTTGCTGTATTTAAAAATTGAAGCAAAGGAAATGCTACCTCAAAACAATGTCCTAATTTTTTTTCTAGACTCTTGAAAGCAGCTGAAAGAACTTTAAATGTGTCTGAATAAACTACGGGCACATAACTGTAACTTGTGGGAGGATCACTCACTATTCACACTTGAATCAAGTCAGCGATGAAATGACCAACAAATTGTCAACTTATGTACAAGTGCATAAGAGGTCTCAATCCTGTACATTCACTAAGGCTGTTTAACATACAAAAGTCAAGGATTTTCAGAAGGCAAACAATATCTAAAGGAATGGAAACAAAGTGAGTTCCAGCATTCAAACATTTCCTTGTTGTTTTTTTTTTTTCGTCTCAAATGCAAGTATTGATTGGCTTGGGAGAGAATTAGTGGGTGGCAATAGTTTTCACTGTAGTGAAGTTTCAAAGTAGCACCACACTATTTAATGGAACCATTTGAAACCAAATAATTTCTCAGGATTTACTTCTTGACAGTTGAGATTACTTGGACATATAAGAGCTGTGTGATGAGACAGAGAGAGTGAAACTGGGTGAAGGGTGGAGTATGGAATGTTAATAACCAAATGCATTGATCAATCTTAAAGAAAGACCATGCAAAAACATTTGTATGCCCCCTTTAACATTGAAGATTAGGCTGACAACATTGTGATGCAAACAGGAAAAAAAAGAAATCTATAGGTTTTTGAACATCTGTTTTGATGAACTGGTCAAAAATAAATAGATGTATACATGATACGAAATTTATAATTTACTCTTTATATCTCACATAAAGCTTCTTGTAACTGCCAAATATGCTCCAGAATTTCATACTCTGGACATGTTCAGCTCTACCTGTGCTAGATGAGCTCTATCAACACCTTTTCTGGGCACCAACATAGCGGTCTGGACAGGACAGCTAAACCCCAGCCTTCCCCTCAAATTTAACACTAGATTGTAATTCCTCATTAGAAACTAGAAGGTAAAAGAAGAAGGCAGTATCATCCCAATAACCCTGAAACAGGGGTACAATTCTGAACATTAAGAATTCACATCATAACACCATTTCTGGTTGTCTGGGATAATTCTGCCCTCTCTTTTAGGCCTTCTGTGTTAGTACCAGCACTCTGCAGCTAGGGCCTCATTATTCCTGTGGCTTTCAGTTTGAAAAATAAAACAGAAACAGCCCTTGGTATTACAAACTCAACTACTTCTTTTAATCTTTACTCTTTTTATACCAAAATCTCAATAGATTATCACAGAAAGAGGAAGAGGCATGGGGGAGTTTAGCAGGCCTGGCTTTTGCTAAACTCACAGTGGACAAACAAAATCACAAAGTATCTTGTCTCTGTAGAGACAAAGAAAGGAGTGGAAAAGGACAGCAACCGTCCCAAACCCCTCAGTCTAGGCAAACATATGGCAGGATGTTCAATTTGCTTTCATCCCCATGAGGGTCCAATGATATGCACTCTGTCCAATCATACCAGGTGCCCTTGGTATCATAACAACCATTCACCCCTGGCCAGTGCTGTGTGTGTATCCTGTCCAGGTCCTCGTCTGTCACCTCCCGGCTCACGCCTGGTAAATCCCCTACTGAGCTGTCCGTCTGCAGAACATGTGTCTTCCTTGAATCCTTAATCTCCTGTTCTTCCCTTTTCAGATACTCTGACATGAAAAAGTGTGCACTAGGGGCCTGGACCCCTGAGGAGGTGAGCACATTGCTCTGAAGGTTCAAGTAGGACTGGATGATTTCATTTCTGGACAGCTCCTTCCAGTTTGTTTGGTGGAAAGGGTTAGGGCTAGGGCCTGGGGCTGAGGATGGGGCTAGGGCTAGGGCTGGGGTTGGGGTTGGGGTTGGGGCTGGTGGCTGGGGCCGGGGCCGGGGCAGGGACTGGGGGAGTGGGCTGTTGTACAGTGCTTTCAGTTCTCTGCCTAGATTCAGAAGGTTCAGGATTGGGGATTTCCTCTGTTTGAGAAGGTTCTTTATGTACCAGAGGTTTGATCTGACCTGTCACAGGGTCAAATGTTAGTCTGCGTTCTTTTAACCGTACAGGTTTAGTCGTGTCCTCTATTTTCTGGCCATCTAAGTTGACAGAGTAGTCTCTAGACCTGTACTTCCTCCTTTTATGCTCTGAGTTAGGGGCCGTTGACCCGTCTGTGTCATCAGACACAGCCATGGCTCCCTCAGATGTCGGTCTGTGTAGTTCTGAGTTCTGTTGGGGGAGAGAGGTTGAAGGGGAGACTGACGGGGATTCCAGTGTTGCAGATATGTCTTGTGGTGGGCAATGAGAGGGGACTTCTGACGAACTGGGCCAGTGCATTGAGGACCTATGAGAAGAATGTGGCAGCTTGTCAGCGTATGATGCTTGGGCTGGAGAGGATACAGGCTGGGACAAAGACAAGGGAGAGTCCCTAGAGGAAGGGCTTGGGATTGGAGTTCCTTTCTGTGCATATACTGAGGAGCGCTTGGTCACTGTGTCTTGCTTCATGCTCCTTGGACTGGTAGTGAGGCCACGGGGACTTTTGGCTTGATAATAGCCCCCTCCTCCTCCTTCATCCAGTCTGGCCTGTTGCTGCATCACAGCAACCTTGATCAAAGAGGAAGTGCTAGGTAGTTTGGCCACTCCAGGGGAGCTGGGGCGAGGCTTGACAGCATTAACCGGAATTCTGTTGGTTTTATCGTTATCAAGGTGCTCTATTCGAGATCTGTCAGGAGACGGAACAACCTCCTGATCAGGCTGGGCATCTGGGCTGCCTGCAATCCCATTGGTGGGTGGTGGTGAAACATTGTTATCATATGGAGACATCTTGGAGATTTTTTCTGGTAAGTGCACTCCACTGTCTCTGTGCTCTGCCCGCCGCTTACGACTGCTTGATTTTTCAGCTTTTGGTGAATATGTGTTGTGAACATCATTTCTGATTTTGACCTCAGTGACACCCTTCCCTGACACAGAAATATCAGGAGGAGAGGCATCTGTTCTGCAGGGATGAGAACTACCATTGGTAGACCCAGGGGCACTCGCAGCCACAGCTGGCCCGGGTTCAATCAGCTTTTGCCAGTTCCTTAAGAGTTTCTTAGCACGCTTTGCAAGGTCTTCATCCTTGGTCTTCTTCCTGACATCATTGATCAACTTTCCTAGTCGAGTTTCCTACATAAATAATGTGTGTGAGAGTTAGAAACAAATAAAGCTCACAATTTTTCTACATGAAGTAGTAGTTCATGTTTAATTACTTGTCTTACCTCAAGTGCTTCTTTGGTGATAGGATATTTTTCAAGACAGGCAATTACCTCCAATACAACCACCATATTGCATATCTGCAGGGAGGAAATACAAACATTTTGTATTACTTCACCTCCACACAAAGAAAATGTTTGGTATTAGCCTAAACTCAACCATTACCTGTGGAAATAACAGTAGAAGTGATTGTTGAATTGGAATTCCAATCTCACTCTTTATTTATGAAGAAAAACAACGCTAATGACCACTGCTGGCATGATTAACCAAGTCTCCCAAATTGATGTGAAAGCCATTGAATCGTGCCTACAACGTGTGTATGTGGGGCGCGTTAACGTTAGCTTTCACGTTAGCCTGGGAAACATTAGCTTGTCTGTCTGTACGACGCTGAAAAGTAAAGATGGAAAAGTGTCAACTCCAAAAACCTTTTTCATTGCAAAGGTTTTAACAGAAGTGTAGCATGCGAACAAAAGCTAGAACTAGGAAAAAAACACAAACTTTAATCTAAGCGAGTTTCTTCGTCCTGTCGACAAAGTCAATCAGCGTTTGAGTGTCGGCAGACTTACCTGTTAGCTGAATTGGCTACCGCTAGCATTTAACTAACTTGAGAAGGAAGGATCCGACTATTTCCTACAACGTAGCTTCAGCTTTTCAAGCTAAGAGTAAGCTAGCTACCACTCACACTTCGTTAACATGGAATTTTTGGTGTGAAACAATCAACAACGAAACATAATCTAGTCAACAGATTAAACAAGCAGACGATTCAATAGTAAAATAAGCATTCCTAGGGAATATGTATGCTTTACGTCCATGCCGTGAAATACTCTAAAGTGGCTTCTGTGTTTGGGCTAAGCTAACAGCTAGCATGCTATACAGCTAACGCCAGGACTACTGTCTAACCATGGCAACACTGCTACTATGTTAGCTTACAAGCTGTCAACTGAAGAGTTCGGCTTCTCTTCGCATTTCATGGACATGTTGGTGCTCACCCAAAACATAAAACACGCATATTTAAAACAAACAATACACAGTTATTTGACAGTTGTTGTGTGAATTGCCTTGTCGAGTGTCCTGGGGTGCAGGTAAACAAGCTAACGTTCGCCAGCTAGCCTGTTAGCTTTAGCGTTACTCACATTGCTCTGACTGTCGATGGCCTGCAGCAGCCGGTCCCTCATCTGCTGCGGGGTTGCTGAGACCGTTGTCATTGCCTGTTCGGTGCGATCCGGAGGATGGAGGGAGGAATCCTCCAAAATGAAAACCGGGTGACAATGGTGACTCAAAAGCCGCTGCGGTAACACGTCAGGCGTCCGAACAGCATATTCTTCTGTCGCCTGTAAGGTACACGGCTCAGTTTGTCTCACATGGAAGTGGGAAATGTGTGCGCTGTGTTGGCCGCTAGCTGCTGCCTGCTCGGCGCTCTAGCAACTCACTACCAGCTGCTGGATCTCTCAACGGCCTCCTGCTGCATGCTGGGATACGGTGAGTGCGCTTTGACGTCTGCACGTAGTCAAGTAAACATCCCTGCCGTACACCTTCACTCCTGGGTATACCCCACTGCTTCTTTCTAAATGCCTTACTGACCCATAGTAAATTAATTTTACACAGCAGATCACTGAACTGAACAACGGAATTTGAAACAGTCCCCCACAAAAAATAATGAGCATGAGTCTATTAATATGTCAGAAAATTGTGGGCAGTGGCCATCGCAGTTCAGATTTCTTACAAGGTTCAAAACAACATAAACAGAAAAACGTGCAGCAGATCCACCAAAAGAATGTTTGGCATTTTTGATGGCTAAAGTCTTCTTCAATTCTTCAATACGCAATATTGTTGTTGGTCGATTTTCTGTCAATTAACTAATTGAATTATCCACTCATCATTTCAGCTTTCCCCAAAGCCACATGTCAAATCAAAGGACAGATATCAAAATGCAGATTACATGTAATACATTTAAAATGCACTATTTTCTGTCAGCTAGATCTCTCCTCTTTCACTCCCAGGTGAGAGAATTGCATCAAAATCAGCTGAGGAAGTTAACACTCTTTTAAATTAACTCAGGGTTTTTTTTTTTTTTTTCCATAATTGCATCAGTCAGCCCCCAGAAGCTCAAATAATGTGTTTGTCACAAGATATAGATTGTTATGAATGATGGATCTTGCTGACTTTATGTTACAACATTCAGCCAGCAGATGGAGTCATGCATTTAAAATAGGGTACAACTGTAAGAGGGGGTTGAGCCAGGAGAGAGTCAGGATGGCTGGAGGAAAGTGATTGTAAAACACTCTTGAGTCATTTAAGGGTATCAGTTGTGGTGAAGCGCGGGAACTTCAGCGTGAGGGGATCAGTCATGCTTAGTTTTAGTGCAGTATGTTATATTTTATTCCCCAGTGGCTAAATATAATATCTACAAACATAAAAATAAACTTGTCAAATTTCTTGCTAATTTTATAGGTATTGGTATTAAGAAATAAAAATTGGAGATTCATTTTGAGATGTGTCAGTTCTAATAAAACACTTCCAGGCTCAAAGTAACTCCTCGACAGCTGCAATATAAGCCAATAAATGAAAACCTTCCCAACATCATCATGACCTTACCTATTGTTAAAAAAAAAAAAAGACAGAAATCTTACCACCAGTCATCTTGACTTTTGTCTTACCCATCCCACATGCAAAATGTCTACTATCAACTCACATTAGTGTGGACAGAGTGGGAGAGGCAGGGCAAATGCTGGGCGTGAAGCTGTGCAGTGGGAGAGAAAGTCTAAGTTATGCCAGTTATGGGGGCTGCAATCACCATGCAGCTACTGCTTTATCTCTTTGTTTTCCAGTGCTTTTTGTAATCCACCTAAGGACAAAATAAGATGAAACATCTCTGCTTATTCAGATATATTTATTCTCATTTCATTTACAAATAATAATGCAAAGATACAAAGACATAAGCCTTCACACAAGAAAAATACATCAGGTACAGTTCAAACAGAAGCATATTTCATTTGAATATAGCACACATTTACAGCCAACTTGGATTCTTTTGGTCCGATTTGACAGAAATTAGAAAACACACAATTTGAAGGATTGAACCAGTCATTTTTTAAAGGGTTAGCTCAAAAAAAAAAGTACCAACTTGCCAAGCTGTGCTGCAGAACGCTAGATTTTGCATATTCTATGAGCATAATGTTTCCTGTTGCTGTGGGTGCACTATAGGAGCTTAGCGCACCCCTTCACGGCAGTAAAATGCATGTGCAGTGTTTGGAATAGTATCACTGTACTCTGAAACAAAATACATTATGTAACAATTTAGCTGCCATTGTATGAGGCTTGAACCAGCAGTGGGCAGTCCTCAAAATGCACACAAAGGATTCATAGATGTGGGTAACCCACAGAGTGACCATACATGATTACGTCTCCATTTCATCTTTCTGATTCACTATGTGTACATGTTATGTCACAAAGTCAATATATATATATATATATATATATATATATATGTCAATATATATATATATATATATATATATATATACACAGATATATATATATATGTAGCCTGACTATACAGTGTTTGTATCTGCTATTTCTAATGTTATTTCTTACTGTATGTCTATGTGATTTCTCAGACAAGATGTATATAGTTGTATTCACTACAAATTAGTGTTTGACTGCAGATTTATAAAACAAAGGCAAAACTAAATACTTAATTTAAAGCAAAATACAACATGTCAAGGTATTTTCTGACATATTTTGAAATTCAGTATCATGCAGAAAAGAGATTTCTCAGGTAGTGGACGGGACACATCAGTCACATCTCTTTAAGTTATGCTGCAAGACTTTCAGTAATCATGTTCGTTGTAAACAATGCATTGATAATATTATGCATGAAATAATTTGTACCGCAATAAAGTATTTTGAAAAACAACGTGTTTCAACAGTTAGGAGGATAAGATGTCTCAATTCTCTATCATTTATGGCTGTTTTGAACTTTGGCTTTTTGGCTTAACTGTTGATTTAACAAAGAAAAAAAGAAAGAAAAGAATAAACAGTGCTGATGACAATTTTTTTTGTAAAGCTAAATCCAATGAATCTAAATAGTACCTACTCTCTTAAAAAACGTCTGCTGGCAGGCTGCCAATAATGGGACATACACAGGGGAGGGAAATTTCTGCAGAATAAAAGTCTGTGAATTAAATAAAAAGTGCTTTCAGGGCCTCGAAATGCACAGGGATGAAAGAATATAATTACGGTCGTACAATTGAAATTACATTACTGATTCAAAGTTGATCTACACTGCAAGTGGTTCATATGTAGTCTGTTATTGTAGATAAAGTATTTAACTAAGTTGAAACATCTTATGAAGAGAAAAACAAACATTGCTCTGTTGTAAACTCTTGTTTCTGTAAACACTGGTGTAACACCAATGGATACCTGAACGTTGATGCATAAAAAGGTGGCAGTAACAGGCAACACATCAGTCAGAGCTATCTACATGACAACAAGAACGTTCAAAGAAATATCAAAACATAAAGTGGACCTACAAAGATGTCAGGCTCACTATAAAGTCTGAGGTCCAGCAGAGAATATAGAGCCACAATAACATATTGCAGCACAGTATTTCTCAGTGCATTTTCTCACTTTGACATCATATCACATAGAGCACGAAAAACATTGTTCCTATAATAGCCATATACAAAGCTAGTCTATACCATGACATAATAAAACTGTGTGTGTTGCACAGAAAATAAGCACATACTGTATATTGCAGTGTAAAACATAGTACCAAACAACAGCTTCTACATGTGCATAAAAGGCTGATTACCATATTTCTGATGCTTTTAGGTTTCACGTAGCAGTTACTTAGCCAATCCATGACTCTGAATTCAAAAGGGACAAGAGACAATTTTACCACACAAGAAAAACAAAACACTTAGACAAACAAAGCTGAATCCACCATTTAACGGAAATAAAACCCAAGCCATCGAGGGGCGAACATGTCCAGCGATTCATGCAGTCACAAAATTATTAAAATAGAAAAAAACAAGCAAAAAAAAAAAAAAAACCAAAAAAAAAAACCACTGCATCAAAAGTCAGAAACATGATGCATCCAGAACATTAGAATATTTTTTGAAAAGGAAAAAAAAGGTCAAGGTCAACAACTTAATTTCAGCTGATTCGATCACATTTCCTAGAACATTTTTGATTCACGCTGTGTGAGAATAATGGTGAAACATGCTGGCACAAGAGGACCTTGACACACATCAACAGACATAATGTAGCAGCTACAGATTAGCCTTTTTCATAGTGTGGAATATTGATGGGAAGTGGCTATATAGTGTCCTAGAAAATAAATTATACTTTATTTTATGGGCATTTTAATAACAATATACCTGGACTGAATTACAATATGGATTCCATAAAATACATTTCAGGGACTTATTGATCTCACCTGGCACAATATTGTGATAATATGCCCCGCAAATTTGTGAATGTTCTCATTTGAGAAATCACACTATATCTGTATCTTAAACTATTTTAGTAATAAACTTTTAATTTGCTACTCAGTGATTAATTATACACATAGTTCATTTAGTTGAATTTACCCGAACCTGCTGTCAGTAGCAGAGAGAGCTGCAACACAGGAACATGACCGACACAGCTCTGATCACCACTGTCCCAAAATACAAATGTTTTCCAAAATTTTGGAAAAACCGTGTAACAGTAGAGAGCTAACAAAATACTCACTGATTAAGAAAAACAGCTCTTTTAAATAGACAATCTATATAAGAATTTTCAAAAATAACTATAATTTAGCTTTTTTTCATATTTCTCTTTTGTTTTTTTTTGTTTTATACAAGAAGGCAGTTTAATCAAAGACAGGGCAAACAGGTCCAGTGCACATAACAGTCACAGGGGGTGTTTGGTATAAACTCTCATAAATCAGTGGTTTAAATAAATGCATAAAGTGCAATAATGACATACAGTTTTGAGTGAATCCAAAGGATCCATTCACTGAGAAACACACAAAGGAGCAAATGCTTGAAGCCATATTAATGCAGAACCAAAGACCATGAGCTCGATGAGGGGCGCACACAACATGAGCATGACGAAGAAACTGATATTCAGTGTCACCGCAGTGTCAAGGAAACAAGCAGTCATATATAAAACAGTATGCCACGTCTCCTCTGTAGGGAGAAAATGAACAGGTGAAAGATTTTTGGTCCTACAGTACATAAGGGCTAGAGATGAGAGGCGATGAGGACAAGATGGCAACAACACAGCTGTACAGATGTGACCTAAATACATTCTCATTGCATCAACAATGCTGTTCTAGGATAGAGGCAGTTCAATTGTCTGGAAAAATATATATATCTCAACTACACTGAGGTCACATCTTTGGGAGTAATCCAGGAGAGTTTCTACTGTATGTCACACTCACCGAGCCTTTTTTTTTTTCTCTACACATCACTAGTCTGAAAGCAAAATGTAAAGCGTTTCAAAAGAAATATAACATGGCACCATCACTGTGCATTCTGTAAGAATCCTGCACATTGGCTTCCTCTATATAAGGGTTCATTTTATCTGTCTCATTTTACAGTCCTAAATCAATCACTGTAGTTTTGCATAGATACTATTACGCAAAATCTAATCACATTCTGTACATGTAAAATGCAAAATAAAACACGCCTGTAAACATCTATTTCATAACAAAGGATTCATTTATCCATTTATATTAGACTGATAAATGAATGTGATAAATGATATGGTAGTGACAGTGGATGAAGTAATGGATAAAGATCAGCACACCTCAAAAGTACAACTACAATAATGCAACTGTGAACACTGTAGGCCAAACCACCTGTAAAACAGTAAAAATGACTATTTTTCTCATTTACAGAATAGAAAAACAAAATGTAAAGCTATTAAGGCAAAACAAGTATGCACAGTGATTTGTGATTTCATGCATAACTGATGACTGCTATTTACTATGGTAAAAATCAAAATTCAGCATTTCCTAAAAAATAACTTAGGTGGCAAAATAATGACTCATTCCGCTTTACATCTTCACTCAAATCAAACTGGACCTGACTTTGGCTCCTCTAACAAACCACACAGGGATCAGCGCAAAATTAATATCTGTACTAGCACAGAGGGAGGTTAAACTTGACATGTGCTTCCTCTGAGTTATCAAGCTACTCTATGTTAACAGACGAGCTGTGCACTGTAGTTTGTGAAGGGTTTGCTCTGCAGCTTATAGCTTAGTCAGTCATTGATAGAGATACGAGACTTCCGCCCTCATGATGTTCTCATCAAGCTCCCTAAAATGAAAACTAGGTATCTGAAATAAATCAAAACTGGATGACAGAAGAACCACGAACATGATTCATACCATAACTCGTATGTCATCAGTCGTAAATCATCTCTCCGGTTCTAAAGAGACGGGAGGCTGGCAGCAGTCTTCAAAAACATTTTCGATGCGTTTTCTTACAATACAGTTTCTTTTAAAAGCTCTCTTGTGGGGTTTGATTGGGTCGCTTGGTGTGGAATTGATGCTAAACCCAGACGAGGTCTATACCAACATACTTCAGAAATCTGCTCCTCCTAGTTTTATCCTCTCAGACGAGAAACTCTCGCCTCCTTCCCCTACCCCCCCACCACCACCCCCCCGCCTGGGGCTACAGCGTTCACACACCTGCGCATGAGCATGCTGTGCGGTGGTTAGAGCCGGTCGAGGCGAAACGCGTCCTCCGTGGCGGGGTCGGCGAGGACCATGTCTGGGTCGTTCAGCATGTGCAGGCCGTCCAGCGTCAGTGGGTCGATTTTGAGATCGTCCAGCGGGAACTGGGAGTCGACATCGAAGCTGACATCGGTAGACAGTGGGCCTGTCAGGTCCTTGGGCAGGCAGGGGGGAGACTCTCCACTCACTGCAGAGAAACAAGACAGCCAATTAAAACAACAGATGTACTAGTTCAAGACATTAGTTGGCAGAATCCCTGATTTAAAAGAAAAAAGAAAAAAGAAATCAATGGCAGCAAGAAAAGAAGTTGAGGAGTCTGGGTTATGATTTGATAATGACTTAGGAGGTCTGACATCTTGACATCTTAATTATGCATTTCAGTAAAGAGGCAGTTCACAACAGACTCAGTTCAGAAACAGCTGAAGGGAAAACTCAGCGGGACTTTAAATTTCTGTTAAACGCAATTGGCCAATTCATTTATTCCTAGATTAACAAGGGTTTGAGTTATGAATCTGAGTTAAATTTTTTGTTGTTGTAACTGTCATTCATGGCAAAATTTGACAGTCTCATTTATATAGATTCCCCACTCCCTTGTGTTTTTATACTGTATTCCTTCATTTCAAAATCTGCTTACCTGTGTCAGGCTGGTTCATGTCCTATAGATTTGGTGGGACATGTCACTTTCTAGTAATGCAGAACTCAACACGTCCCTGTTACATTTCGAGATTTGCTTATTGCATGAGCGGCAGATTAACAACAGTTTATTGGGTGCACCGGTACAATCTAATCTATTAAAGCAGACCTACAACAATCAATCTTTGTGAAGCTCATAATGTTTGGTTTTGGTTGACACAGTCTCAGAGAAAGTGTTACAATAAACAGACATGTAAGCACATATGAAGCACAAGCTTTAGGGGTTTTACACGTCTACCGCTGAGAGTCTAAAGTTTGGTGCTTTAACAAGAAGTCTGCAGTAAGATTCAAGAGGCCACGCGATGTCGAAGCAGCACCTGTGAGAATGATGTTGGGGATGTTGCCATGGTTACTGTAGCCCAGCTGCTGTGAGTCTTGAAGGTTGCAATGGCCACCAGTCAAACCCATCATAAGCGCCTGGGAGTAGTTGAGGGTGGAGGACTGGGTGTACAAGCTGTCAGAGCTGATGGGGGTTTCAATCATGTTGAACTGCTCCAACTGGCCATCACAACAGAAAGAAATGAGAAAACTGCTCAACATTTTTTCGAATGCAACTGTATCTAACATGTGCTCGCTCTGAAGCGAGAGCAGGTAGAAAGCAGAGCTAAACATGGACGACACAGACAGTGCCCGTACCTGTTGAGAGAGGGCACTGGCCTGGATGGATGGGAGCTGCTGGTCGTAGAAGTCTGCGAACACGCTGCCCAGTATGGAGTTATGCTGCGGGAAGAAACAAGCAAATCTGTTTATTTAGAAGCAGGTAAAAACTCCTTGTGCGGACGACCAGTATGAATATCCTTGAGCCAAGCTGCAGAAGTTACAGTTGTATGCAAAAGTTTCTACTGACTTCTTTTCACTTCAGGGGATGCCCAAACTTTTATATACAACTGTTTACATTTAACATAAAACGTGGAATATGAAAAGGACACAGTCAAAGCAGTCACAACACTGAAACAACAAACTGCTTAAAATCACCTCAAAACAATGTGACAAAGAACAAAGAAATGTCTTTCCTCTTTAGAGTTGGCTTTGCTGATACGCAGCCAGTTTATGTATGCTAATGCGTCCACTGTTCTGTATGTGCGTCATACAATATGTGTGTACACGTTGCAGTGTGTTCACGCATTAACACAGCTTAAATGTGTGCTCACAGAAAAAGGGGACGGTGCCAAAGAAACGTATAATTCAGAGGAAGCATTTTCATTCTGAAAGGATGTTTAAGACACAGACACCAACCATCTGACAGTCCACCAAGAAATGTGTAGCCTACTGTTTCAATAATAAATGCAAGCTAAGCGGGTCCCTGCAAGACTTTCAACATCTTGCATTATTTGCAGTGTTTTCTGTGATATTTACACGTGTAGCAGGCACAAACTCGCTACCACAAGAAAACATAAATATTTCACTGAATGAGCTACTTACAAGGAACCTAAGGGCCACTTGGCAGCTTTTTTCCATCTCCAGAATACTTAAAAATTGCATGGATATTATTGAAACCCAAAAAAATATTTTTTATTTGGTGTGAAATAAATAACTAAATAAATAGATGACTAAATTAGTTAATAAGCAAGCAAATAAATAACTAAGAGATTAATACCTCCATTCCATGCCCTTTACCATTATCCCAAAGGTCAATATACACATAACACTGACAAATGGAAACCCATGAAATATCAAAAATCAGTTAGCTAGAGATACGGACGGAGTCACCGCCTTCCACATGAGCCTCTTCTGCCGCCTTCTGGCCTCTGTGTTTTAATTAACATGAACCAAATGGAATGAAATTCACATGAAATAAAGTGAATTATTGAAAAAATAATCCATTTGTGACTTTATTCTCCCTCCACTGACTCATCCAATGAAAGATGATTCTCTTGAAGTCCCTCATTTGACTGTCCTCATTCAACCAGCAGCAGAAATCCTCCTATTTCATCGTGGCCTCTTAATGTATAAGTAATTGGATCATATTCTCAGCCCGTGCTCCTCCTAGTTCAAAACCAAATTATCTGTGTGTGCTGCAGATGTCCCCACAGGGCAGAGCAGGATAATAGAGCACACAGCCTGTCAGTTGTGGTTTAGCCCGTGGATAACCTCAGGACTACAAGTGAGCCACTTCAGCTCAGGAAAGAAGTGAGTTGGGTAAGCAAACAGCAGGACGAACATGTACAAATGTGCAAACACACACACACACACACACACACACAAACATACATACACACACACACACACACACACACACACACACACACACACAGCGTATATCAGCACTGTCACTTGCAACGTTTCTCTTCCTCAGCGTTTCAAGGATACAAAGTCACACTTACAATTCAGTAGAAGCAAGTGCTTAGTTAAAATGCTACCTGATTGTTTAAAGGCTTTATATGTTTTCAATACTGAATTTAATACTGTACATACTGTACAGTTTAACATGTAATTAAAGGATTTATTCAGGCAAATTTTCTACAAGCAGTGAACAATTTGCACTACTACCTCTTTACCGACTGACTCAGATTAACAACCCTGATCCATGTTTACCTTATCTTACAACACCACCCTCAAAGTTTGTTGAGATTCAACCATGGGAATGATCAGCAGCTTCTCCTCAAAAATGCTTTGAGGGGGACTTGCACCATACGCCCCCCCCCAACCCCCCCCACCCCCCTCCCCTCCATTTGCCAGCTCAAATCCCCATGCCAACAATAAACACAGAGATCTGATTAACATAAAAACTCCAGCACAGAGTCTCATATAGCGGGACTGGGGAGGAAACAGTGGAGATGCAACGCAGATACCACAGAAGCAGCAGAGAAGGAAGGTCAGGGGACACAGCTACATCACAACACACCAACGACACGGAGTGTTTAGAGAGACTGGTGGTCAGATCTGGGCAAAAGAGGAGCTGCTTTAGACCTCACAGTCTATCAGTATTTAATCTAATCATCTATCACTGTAATCACATAACACTGTAAAGTGTGAGATACAATCTTCTCGTGTGAATTCGCATGTTCAGTCAGTTTTCTCCCAGAATGTTTCTTTGACTAGAGAATGTTTTGCTTGACCTTTTATCATGTCACAGCATGAAAAGCACCGCTGTAATTATTAACGTCAATTATGGTGTTGTGGTTGCTGGGAAACTTCCATTGACAGACATTTCCTGCAATTTCCTGCTATGACATGTTAAAATGTCAGTTGAGGAAGAAGTGCATTGTGTTGCATATTGATATCAGAAGATCTTACTACTATGATTTTTGAGCTAAAAAAAAAAGTGACTACCAAACTAACTTTATGGAGAAAAATAGCCTGGTTTGATTTGATTCATCTCTATTTTATTTTATTTTATTTTTGCCCAGATCTACTCATGTCGACACAATAAAAGCAGCTGTAGGGGGTCAACAGAGTCCTACTCGGCAACCACAGAACTACGATGCAGGGGACGGTGAAGTTTATACAGAGCGAGCCAGCAGCTCGTTGGTTCACACGCCCTTACTTGAGGCGAGCCTCCAGGTGAGAAGCCTTGATTGGAGACAGGGGAGGTTGGAGACTGATTGGCAGAGGATCCGACCCTACTGCGGTACTGTTGGAGGGAGGACGCCTGATACAAGAGGATATGTTTGAGTTATTCACAGTGGAGGATTATCTTTGTTGGCGTCTATGAATGTTAATGTGCTCATGCTGGATATGTAGTTTTGTTAAATATATCTGTGCTGTTTGTCTTACAGTCTTACAATGGGTAATACTTTTCCCAGCATCAGCTCAGCTGGAAATCATAAACAGCAGGAACCCTGACTGAGGAAATCACTGAAATACTGTCTTTAATGGCTGCAACGCAGAATATTTGTATCTTGTACCAAAATTAAATTAAAAAGATTGGAGAATGTGAGTGAGAAAAACAATGTGAACACCATGCACTTCATGTCACATCAATACTGGAAAAAAGATCTAGGAGAAACAGTGAAAACTACAGGGGATTAATTAGGAGAGGAAAAATATTGCCAACAATCCAAGCAGAGCAGCTGAACACTGTAAAACTGGAGGATCAGAGAGAACCGACTGCGTTCTTTTGTTCTGTTCTGCCATATCTGCTCTTTTCTGTGTACTCATCCAACAAAATCAAAAAAAGGATATTTGCACAAACCAAAAAAAAAAAAAAACGAAGATAAAATCACAGTGAAATTCTATTCAGATAACAAAATCAACTTGACTTAGGCAATACACGACCGTAACTGTGGAGGGAAAATATCAAAGTTACTATCACAGTAAATAACAGATAAACTATCGAGTAATTCAGATGTAGAGGTGTATCAAATCAGAGTGATAAACTCTTATCACTCAAAAGCCAACAGGGGTTCAAATCACAGCATTCCTAATCTATACATAGATAAGCTATCAAAACATCGGTAGCATGAGATATAGAGGTGATAAAGCAGTTCAAGGTCTCTGGATACAGATATAAACTAGAGCAACGACAATTACTACAGTAGACCTGTTTGAACTCTCAAGAAACCGAAACTGTATTTGCTCCAAAACTAAAATGTACAGGTTAGAAGTGGAGGAAGAGACATGTGAAACCACCTCTGAAAACAAAGCAGTGCATAACTCCTAGACAGCTACAGATGAGATTCTTAATCGGGGGGTTTATAAACACAATGTTAAGTCTAAGCTGCAGTCCTACTGTGTCTCCTCACAATGTTTCACTTGACCCCACACAGCAAAGTCTATAACTGAGATGAAGAGAATGTAGGCCACTTCATTTCTGCAGTAATCCAAACACATTCCCACTGCAACAGAAGTAGAGCAGCGAGAGCCAAGATCTGGAGGATGCAGAGTGCCTTGCAAAAGCATTTAGATTCCTTGATGTTTTACACATGTTGTTGTGCTTTTATTTTTTTGCATTAATTCCGTGCATTAATTCAGTTTTATTGTCTTAGTTCTGTGCAAAGCTTGTAAAGGTAAAAAAACGAAATTCTGAAATTTTAGATAAGAGAAAAAGCAGAATTGTGCCGTCACGCACACTTTTATACAGAAGACGTTTTCGATCTAAGCGATCGTCGCACAACTCGGTCTTTCCACGATAAATGCATCCTGGAACAACTTCATATCTCAACAAAATGTGCACAGCGCCAACAAGTCTGAATACTTTGACAAGGCGGCGTGTATTCACGGAGACCGACACACTGATGTCGCCTGAAAACACACTTCCAGGGAGACACAAGAATAAGCCAGGGAGAACCAGTCACCACCGGCAGCTTCTGTCATTAAAACCACACCTGATGCAGACAGATGTGTGCGCTGCTCACCGTGTTCATGTCCATGGTCATGTTGGTTTGTGAGGACGTGTGGTTGTCTGATGTGGAGCAGGAGTTCACGGAGGACGGCAGCTGGATCAGACCTGTCTGCTGGAAAATAAAGAGTAGAGTCATAAATAGATACAGATGATATGCAAGTCATCAAGTACCACTTTATAGCTTTAATACTGGCTTATCACAAATAGTACATCAGTATCTGATTTATAGTGTGCTGGCAGATGTGTCAAAAGAATTAGCAGAGCCAAATGGCTACAGGCTGAATTATTATGTATATTAGGACATTTTAGTTCTAGTTTTATATATACATACAGTATATATTATTTATAGTCATTTAATTTCCAGTGGTTTACTGTTCAAACTTTACCATTATCTTATATTTATTCTTACAGTTGTATAATGTAATATCCCACATATCTTGTACATATGTTTTGTACAACTCTTCATTATGTGTTTATGTCATAATAAATATCAAACATCATTACTAGCTGTGATAATAATGGTTAAATGTTAATAACTATATCAAGAGAACATAACATTAGTAAGAATAAGACATTAAGGAGGTCTAATTTTTTAATCATGACCCCGTCAACAAATCATAGTCAAATCATTCATTAATGAACTGCTGCATCAGAGCAACTCTACATCAAAGGGATTTCCTCAGAAGTGTTGAAGTGAAGTGTTGATCAAAGGACAGAGGAGAGTTTCCAGAAAGCCAAGGAATATCAGTGGATTTAGATTTGGGTTCTGGATTTTAATGAACATATTTCCTCTTTCCTAGTTTCAAAAATGTTTTAGTATTTTTCTATTTTCTGGTGGGAACCCTTCGGATAATACAATTTATGTGGGAGAGACTGAATCGCAGAGTGTGTCTCAGGGATTATCAAGCACAGCTCAGAAGAAACTGAGGTGACACACAACATAACAGAGGTCTGTGCCTTGCTGGTAAATAAGAGATTTATTTATTTATAGAAATACGCTTCAATTTATAGATGACTATCAAGATTTTCTGCAGCAGAATATGTCCCATTTTGCTATTATTTATTTGTATTTGAGATTAAGAAGATTATACCACCAGAAAAAGTAGTTGAAGGTCAGGACAAATCATCTTCAGTGAGTCTAGCTTTTATCTCAGATGATTATCCCAGATGTGTTAATTTATCTCATTTAACCACAATTTAACGGCTCTAGAAAGTCGTTCAAGTATGACTATAACCCGTTTACAGAGACAACATTGGGGTTAATAAAATCCCCATCATCAACCAATCCGCAAAGAAAATGATTGGCTGAGAGTCAGGATTGATTTTATTTGACACTGACTTCAAATTGAATTATTTTCTGTATTTAAGAGCAAATTCATAAATATGCATAAAAGAAATATGCATAAATATTTATGCATAAATGCATAAATATTTCAAGAATTGGACAAAACCGCTCGCTCTGGTTGAACGTTATTCAGAGATGTGATCACAAGATTGCAGGAAATAAGGAAATGATGGAGTCATATGTAGAATAGCAGTTTGCAAAAACTGAAAAACTAAACAAAGCCACAACTCTGTAAAAGAAAAGACGGCTAGCCTCATTTACAGCACCAATCAAATTTGTCAATAATTTCAGTGTAGTTCAATGTGTTTTAATGCAATGATGGAACCCTAAATGCATATTGTAAATCATTTAATTTTGCTTTCTCTCAAACTAAAATTAGTCTAGAAATGCATGCGATCTGAATAACAGTTAGTTTTTGTGTGTGTGTGTGTGTGTGTGTGTGTGTGTGTGTGTGTGTGTGTGTGTGGAGGGGGAGGGGGTTGAAACTCACTTGCTGGCTCTGGTGAGTCTGGGATGACGGCTGCTGGTTGAAGAAGGCGTACTGGGACAGCTGCTGCTCAAGGTTCATAGCGTTGATGGCCGCCTGGGGGAGAACAGCGGCAGATAACGGATGAGGTTCAAATATTTTATGGAAAATGCACTGATTTCCGAATTAGCAGGCTGCTCAGCTGCCGGATTTTACACCTACCCAGTTAAAATGTATGTACCACCTAGGTATTTATACACCACGAATATAACCTCATAACAAAATGTCAGTCTGAACCGATGGGAATAGTAATTGTATATGACTAGTAAATGTAATCAAAAATGAAATCAAATACACAATAATTAACTAAGCTTGCATGATTATTTTTATTCAGGTCAGAGAGCAGGTCTGTACCTGAGAGAGAGTGAGAGGTGGAGATGTCGAGGAGAGCTGGAGGTTCTGGTGCTGGTGGGAGTCTCCTGCATTCAGGATAAGAGGAACCATGTTGTCCTGCCCAGGCTGCATTTCCATGGTTACTGTGGGCTGAGAGGTGTTCACTCCTACCCAGCACACAAACAAGGCACATGGAAAGAGTTTTCTTAACAGCACACACACAGAGTCTGAAATTGGCACCCAACAAGTGCCAAATTCTGAGATACTGCATTTAATTACAGGAGAGTCTGAAATTTTCCATAGTGCTACCTTGCGTGTTAGCCAGGCTCTGCGTGCTGTTGGAGGAGCTGAAGGAGGCGGCTGCTGCCTCGTCCGAGTCGAGCGGTGTGGGCAGCGGAGGAGGGAACTGGATATTGGTCAGGTCAGGCAGAGAACCACCAGTGTTGTGGGCTGCTGGTTTTAGTGAAGTGGTCAGCTGCTGGTCCGGAGACGGGAATATGCTGCAGAAAACAGAAAGATGCAGTGAACTCAACAGTGACGACAAGCTCAATACCCTCTGAAAAATGTAATCAGAAACATAAACACTTATGCAGATTACTGAGAAACACTTGAAAACGCTTTCAAAGACAAACAACTCCAGAGATATTTGGACTTCATGCATTTGGCCAGTGGTACTTTTGCTAATGCTTTGGCTCCATTATATCATTACTTTGGCAGTCGGATGAGTACACTACCGGTCAGATGTTTTACTACACATCAGTTTTTCCAGCTGTTATTTAAATTGACATCATTCAATGTCTCAGTGTTTCTGAAATTAAAGCATAAAACAAATAAACATTTGGAGAAATCATGAAGTCTTATTGTTGAACTAAATTTAATTTCTATTTTTGACTCATCCGGCAGCTGAACACACTCGTGGTGTTCTTTCTACAATGGAAAATAAACATTGTTCAGAAAGTTCCAACACTGTTTCAGAAGTTCCCACAAATGTGTTGTGTGCTGGTCTTCCATCATGTTTTGGGTCATTATCTTGTTGTGGGATGAATCCCCTGACCGACCGGTCTGTATTTCTCTGTTACCTGGCTTTTTCTCTGAGAGAAATATACAGCACTGCTTCCTGCATTACAGGGTTTGTAAGTCATCACCTCTAGGAATTGTTTGCATCAACTTTCTAGGTGTTATTTAGTTAAAAAAATTTGAATCCCTGGACAATCCCTGACATGAACTTTTTTTTTTTTTTAAACCTTAAATGGCTGAAATTTCAATAAAAACTGAAAAACTTTGGTGTTTTAAACCTTTAGACCCACAATGTAAATGAAGATGATGTTTAATTAAAGTCAGATGACTTCAATTTAGAGGTATGTTTTATTCATACTTGTTCTATTGGTGTATGTTAATATGCACGAAATGTGAAGCTGCCTGTCAGCTCTTTATAACAGAGCAGACAGCAGCCAGAGCTAAAACATCAATTCATTATGGTAATCGTTAAGCATCCTCAGAATGGCTCACATGAGGAAAACAATCAAATACTCACTGGATCCCGGGAACTTTGCAGGGCTTGGACCTTGAAATGTTCTAAAGGTGGAGAAAATTTACAGCTGGAGTATTGTGAAGACAGTGAAAGCTGAAAGAAAAACATTTACTTGTGTGTAGATCGTTTTTCACCTTTTTACAGTCCCAGTTCTGGTTTTGTGCATCTTCATCAACCTCTTGTTTAATTGCTTCAGACCCCGGTACAGTGAGCAGGAGAACTGGAGAGACAGAGAAAAACGAATCCCCTCAGTCTCTTGGGTCCACAGACGTCCAGCCCGTTTGAGCTTGTAATAATCACAGCCCACATGTCCTCGTTTCACATGATCAAATGATATTTCAAGAAGACGATAGAAAATCACGGGGGAAAGAAGAAGGGACAAGAAGTGTGACATTAGGAAGCAAAAATCGTAACTACTGAATGGCAGTAACGGGTAACACCCAAAATGTCTCCGAGGAGATTTACACAAATTCAACCAAAGTGCATCAAATTAAAAGAATCCGCCTCACACGGCCATTAGCAGTAAAATTCATCGAACACTTAGATGCAGCCCGTCTGCTCATCAGTCATTTTCCTCCTCTGCCTTCAAAGCCACATTCAAACCCTTTCATCATACACTGGAGGGCACTCGGCTGAACCATCAAGAGAAAGCAGCAAAATACCACAAAAAAAAACGACAAAAAAAAAAAAAAAGACATCACCATCCCCTACTGCAGATAATAAGAGAAAAAAAAACACCTGAACAGTCTGGTTAGGGATTGTGACATTAGAGGTAGACATTGTTTATCGGCTCAGTTTATACAAAATGTGTTAACTTTATGTGTTGTAACAGCCTCTTGCGTTACAGTTTTTCACTTAACCCACACATTTATATAATCATTTTCCTCAATACTTAAAGTACACAATGTCAACGACCACGTCCTTGTGTGTGCTAACAACTTTTAAAATGTCGACTCTTTCAGAAAATGCGTACCTCGTTTTGGCTGGAGCTCCTGTGATCCTCCGGTGAAAGAGGCCTGCTGGGCTGGGGTGATTGTGCTCTGGTGCAGTGCTGAGTCAGAGTTTGTCCTGCAGCGCAAGAATTTAGAAGTCACACAGAGCGATGTAAAGTGAAATCAAAGAAACTTCTGAATAATGTGCATATGTGTAAAAATACAAAATACATATCAGTGAACAACAGAGCTCTGCAGCAGATAGAAACAATAGAAGGAATAAATCTCAATTATCACCACAATTTAGCCATGATGACAAATCTTTAAGTCTCCGCTAATCCGTGAAAAATAGGGAAACACGTTCACACGTTTCAAAAATAACATGTTCTTTGTAAGGGGTTTATGTTTTAAATCTCTTGGTGACCAAACTAAGCCTGAGACTAAGTATAGCAGTCACAACTATATCAAGTAATGACTTTTATCACCAGAATCTATAACAATCTGAATGTGATCCTGTATTTTGTGATGAAAATCTAGAGTAAATAGAGGATTTGAGTATATGACTGTAATATGTGAAAGTAAACATGTGATAATATAATGTGTTTTAAAACTCAGTTAGGATTTTAAAAGTGCTGCAGTGTGTTCAGAGACTTCACTCTGAACCTGTCTTGCGTTGTTGATCTGACACTGCGTCTAAATGATTGATGATGATAAAAAAGAGTAAACACTAGTCACACAGAGACAATGTTTCATGCTTAGAGGCTGTCTTACCTCCTCCAGCTGGTATCAGGTGGCGGTGACAGATATACTGAGCCATATGGACAGCTGTCAATGTGAGATCTCAGGTTAAGCAAATACAGCTGGAGACTGAAAGTCTTGGCAGAGTCAATGCGTTCATCCCCGTGAATTCTTTAAACACAAGAAGATATAATTAAAAGCACAGTGCTGATGGTATGTCAGCCAAACCAGCATGTGATTTAAGAGAGGAACAGTGAGCTTCACATCAGGGTCTGATATTTGTCAGGGCTTCATTTGCGATACTGATTGGCTCATTGTCCATCTGCCTTTTTACCTTCAACCAAACACTTCCAAAATGTGTCTTTAACATCTTTAATTAATTACACACTGAAGTCATTTACAAAACTAGTTCAGTGTTTCTGGAGCCATAGAAACATCTGTAAAATTTAACAAGAGACCATCTTGCGATCGGATCGCTCCAGCCACGACACATGTCAACATGCTGAGTATGGAGTACTCACGGGTCGGAAAAAACGCCCATCTTCAAACACAGCCCTCATTTTGATGTGAGCTACACACACCTGTAAAGTTTTGTGACTCTATCTTACACGATTGTGACGCTGTGGCAATGACAAAACCTGTGCACAGACGGACATATAAACACCCGCCAAAAGTAGACTCACAAGGTGCAAACGATGGCAGCCACACGCCGTCACGGCTGGTAATTATCAGCAGACTTGAATGAAGATTTAGGCCTTATGGACAAATTAAAAATATTACCTCTATATCATATGTTTGCCAATGTAATGTGACTACACTGGTCACTTAACGGAGTACACCTCACTAAATCTAATTCAATACTATACATCTGACTTTTTTAAGACTTAAGAGTTGTAGTCTTTGTTGAGACTGTATCAAACAGCTTTTTCTGGAAGGTGTATTTCATATTTTTGTTGAACTGAATTTCATAATATATTATTATATACTTTTACTTTACAATATACTTTACTATAATGCTATACACTTAATGCTATATGTACTTGTACACTTCATAATAAAGCAGCCTTTAAGGCCAGGAAACTCAAATTTACTTTCTACCACAATATTAAGACAAACCAAAATCTGAGGAAATATGTGGTATTACACATATTTACCAGTGTGGATAGTTGTACTGATTGATCACCTAGTTCTACTGCAGTGATTAGATTTGAGCCGCTACACATCTCCACAGGTGATTCACAGTTTCATTTCGTTGCAGCCATTAGTGGAAATTATAACTTCATCATTCTTGTTAGTAGCTCGAGTCTGACAGCATGAAAGGATATCTGGCGTCCGTGTTTGTCAATAGACAGGGGTTTTCGGTGGGGGGATGTGATGCGGTTCCGGTCCCGGTAGACTCTGTCCACCAACCCGTGGTGTCGCGTCGATCGGTTTGTGTCAAGCCCTGAATTCTGACAAACGAAGACAGAAAATTTTTTTATTAACTGATCAAATTGGGAACATTACTTTCCAGTTCAAGTCACCTTTTTTTTTTTTTTTTCCAAAGTAATGGGTGTTCAATATGAAATGCAAACAGAACGTTAAACTCTATCGCAGAGGCTCATGTAGCTTGCGCTTTAGAGGTTTGTCTTGGCCCCAGTTACACTGTCCTTGGCTCGCAGAGAATAAACCTGTGTTCTGAGCTCTCTCATCAAATGGGATGAACGTTAATGCGGCTTGAGGCAAAAATGACGACAGAAAATTGGGAAATGCCTGTGAAATTAAAAATTAAAATTAAAAGGATCTGGAAAAGTGCCCATTTTGTTCTGTTCACACATTTCTTAAAGTATTTTCTTAATATTTATGAGGGCCGTCATACTGTAGCTGATTCGTGGGGGAACTGAGTGTTGACGGGGAAACAATAGCACTAACTCCCACCATCTTCAGTCTAAATAATAACACTTCACCTACGTGGGTTTTGCTGGGTTGTTAACGGGAGGGTCTCAGTCATATTCAACTTTGTATCTCTGTTCCCAAAGAATCAATTTCTTTTACACATAAATAAATAAAGCCAAAGTGTTATCAAGCTACTAATGCCACTACAATCCATTAACACCTATCAAATTTAATTTATTTCTTTTCACATGGGCATATCATGGCAATAAACTGTATACATTCGTCTGTATAGAGATATAGATATCCATAGAGATATAAGGGAAAAAGGTTTTCACCCCCAAGAGCACCGCAGTGTTAGATGACCATTTCTGCGAGGAGCTAATATTTCAAAAATTCCCTATCTTGGTGAAGAAATTCAATACCTTTGTTTGCCTTGAGCAAGGCATTGTTTCTGATGCTATTCTGAGTTTAAAAAAAAAGGGAAAAATGGAGCGTCTTCTCTCTTTCATATACATAGCCTGTCACAGTGGACAATACTGCCATCACACAGCTCCATAACATTTACAAAATAAACTGCCAAAATATGTCAAGTAGACAAATGTTCATTTGTGATGGAGCAATGTATGTCCCTGCTTAATCTCATAAATTTGAATCCAAGTATAATATATGGTTAATGTGTTGTGTCAGCAACATATGACGTTAAAAGTTACTGTTGAATTCTCTCTGTAGATGCTGTAAGTAAATATTTACTGTTATTCTGGGACAGAGCTCTGATGCTGACACAGAGGAAAACATGGTTCAACGTACTGTAGTGAAACAGACACTTAATGTAGGTTGTGGAATGGTATATTTACTCTCCTGCTGTCTATTTATTCTAAACATAGCACTGTTGTTGCTTGCACATACAAAGTGTGTTAACTTCCTGTAGCACATAATTTAGCCCAGGAAACATGATAGTGTTTAAAAAAGCAAATGTAAACATTTTTATAGAGCGGCCACAGGCTGAGTCAAAACTGTGGGATATTATTTGGACGTAGACACCGGCAGAGATGATATTTACTTATTTGAAATAGCGGCGCATGATTACTGTAAAACTAAACCTGGTACAAATTACATGTTCACTTTCCAGCATTCAAGACAAATTTCATTGATACAGCAGCTGTTACCAAAAAGATTATTTTTAAATTCTGAAGAAAACCTCAATAAATCGCTCACCTGAAAAGGCACATCGACAGTGCTGTTTCCAATCTGATTGACATTTGGCAAAGATCCTCCGTAGTACTGCCCACGATTCTGTCCCAGCTGCAAATACTGAGTCTTCTGCAACTGTAACTGGAAACAGAACAACACCAGGTAAGACAAGGTGAAATTATGTAAACTATACAAAAGAAATAAATGACTGTTTCTCAGTCACGGCAGGTTCATGCTCCAGCGACAGAAAACCAGTAAATTGGCTATAAACACCGAAACAGACCTACAACAACAACATGTAGTCAATCATATTATTGATAATGAGCTCAATGTGATTCCCTGCAGGAAAATTTTAAGCAAAATGCTGTAAAGGGGACATTTATTTATCCTTACACTAGTCCAACCCCAATCCCATTAAGTTCTTACAGCTGCGTGATTATGTTCTATAGACGGCAACATTGAAAACACCATACTGATTAATGATGTCTTCATTAACGACCTGTTTGAGGAGCCAAAATAAAGAAAAACATTTGCTGATGTTTGCTCTAAATTTAAAGCTGTCACTGCAGCAGCATATTGTGATCTTAATATCTTTGGTAAGAGGTATTAAGAAACTTTAGGTGGAAGCAAGGCACTGCACAGAGAATTCACAACTGACTGAAGTTGCACATGTGTAAATTTCTAAGTAAACTCCCTAAAGCCTTATGACAGAGTTTAATTCAAAACAACCTCCAGTTTCATTTCCCATTACAGCACCCATACTCGGTCAATTAAATTTTCTCATGCAGGCCCACTGCTCACTGTTGGCAGGGCAGAAAATCTAATAAAAACAATTACTAAGCCTGCATCACAGGTGTATTTTGATAAGCCTCTGACTTTATTTGTTTAAATACATGCAAACCTACTCTGTTGACAAAGGATTACATATTGTAACATCTCTGGATCAGGAAGAGGCCAGACCTAATCTTTTTAACCACATCGAGTCAGGTACAGAAAGAAGAGAGAGGAAGGCTGAAGGGGAGAGGGAGGGGACAGGGCGAAGAGGGTCAAACTCTAAACCTGAGGCCTACTTCTAACAAGTCTAACTTTGGCTCAGACAAGAGCTTCCTATCATTTCTCCATTCATTAATGAAAATAAAATTTACAAAAATGAAGCCAAAGGCCTCAAATCAAATACACACATATCCTAAAATATACATTTATAATAACATATTAATCATGACACAATTTGTATGTCAGAAAATTAAACAAATGAATTACAATTTTTCAATTGTATCCGTTGCTGTTGTCGTTTATCGGGGGAAAAAAAACGACATTTGCTGAAGCTTAATGAACAGGCTATTTTCACAGCAACATTGTGACTCGTCACAGCAGGAAAAGCATAGAAGTCACTAATATCATTAGCAGTGGCTCCATTCTGTTCAAGTGTCCCACTAAGTCATGGAAGTGTGACAGTGAGACAGCATGCACAATACCAGGACCTTGACACTGAAGCAACTAACTGGAATTCAGCTATTGTTAACTATTAAATATTCAAATATATACATATTACAATTTCTGTGAAAAAGGCATGTGAGAAGAGTTTTTGTCCTGCTGGTCAGACTAAATTTGCAGTTTGAAGTTTTATATTCTGACATTTTTTTCTACATGCACAGTCCTCTTCCACTCTATACTGACAGTTAAGAGTATACAATAAGGATTACAGTAGCTCCATAGCCAAAGTCTTTCTGCCCATCATGTCTCCACTCAGCAGCAGCCACTACTGAAGCCCTGCCTCCATAGGATTTATTCTGGAGGCCTGTGCTGTATGTGGCTTAAATTCCACATAATCTGGTTGCCGTTATCTTTGGTGTAAGTGTCAATCATGTTGCAGTGCACACAGGCCTGAGGACCTGTCAAACAAGTTTACAGAGCCACGGTGCACAAACACCTCACCGTACATTACTGCCATACATACAATGGTCAAAAATGATTATTTAATATTACAACACATATGTATATATCTATTTTAATGGGTGATAACCGTTTTGTCTATTCGCCTCTCCTCTGTGAGCACGAGAGGAGGAGAAAATCATAGCTGCAGTTGGCCGCGCGCTGTCAAATACGCATGCACGCCCCTTTGCTTTCTACTTGCGTGGGACAAAAATTGTAATAACTTTTTCGGACGGAGGTCCCCGTCGTCCATTTGTACATTAAAGGACTGTCACCTCCTGCCAGCTCTGTTCCTGGTCACTGGAGGGAGAAAAATGCTACAGCTGGCAGGAAGCGTCGTTTGTTATTGTTTACCTATTCTGCCCTGGCTGCGTGCAGCCGCCGCGCTACAAATGCATATTTGACAGCTCGCTGAAAACAAACGGAGAAGAGGAGGTGAGGGGGAGAAAAAACAAGATCCGGTTTCGTTACCCTCGCTGCCCTGGTAATGCTGAGGTCTTTCATTACTTCTTCAAACGCCGCCGTCTCCTCTGCCTGCTTCTGGTTATGTAAAGCGATTTTCTCGCTGAATTTCCGCGGATTGTTCGAAGTCGCCATGTTTCGCTCTTCTGCTCCGTTTTCCTTCAATGGTCAGCATCAAGTTAAGCGAATTACGGACACTGAACTTCCGGTTGGAGATGTTGACATAAAAGAAAACACCAAAGAGTAACTCCAATTTAAAGGTGCATTAAGAGGGGTCTCTCCACCAGGGGACAAGGACGACTCACAGAATCCCTGCCCTGATATAACCAGCAGCTAATCAAGTAATTGTTGCTAACATGTTAGCAAATATTTGTATATGCTGGTGGAGTCTGACCATCCGATGAGTGGACATTTAGCTCTATTTCGATCTTCTTCAACTCTTGACAAACCATTAGCATTATCTGTATATTTAGCTCGCTCGTATCTGTTGTGTATTTGCTGGAGATGAATACAGTTTTATATCGGTGATTTGTGTGAGCGGTGAGACAACCAAACCAATGTGTAGGTCTTTTCCAAAACAAAAACAAACAAAACAAAAAAGCACAGGTGTAGCTAATGACATAGGCTACAATAGCCTATATAGTGGGGGCTCCATTACATTATTTATCCCAGCAAGTCGCTTCAGTGAGCAGGTATGCACCACCGCAGAAGTCCTATCAACATGGACTGTAGCCATATCATTAATCAATATTATCAGTTACACCTGTGCTTTTCCACATCAAAATATCTGCTGTGGAGAAAACTCTATGAACTCAAATCTGCAAAGCAATGCATAGATGGGCACAGTCACTGCAGTTGATCAGTTGTCTGGTGATTGGTCAATTGATTAACCAACTTCACTAGTTGCCAGTGGCTTTTATTCCCTCCTTGTCTAACTAAACAATTTGTTGGGGCAACTGTATGCTTTTATTTTGAAGCCAAACTCGTTTCATTTCCGGTATATGTTGGGTTTACTCTAGTGGACTTGACGCAGCTCCCTCGTTGGGGCTTTGCGTGCTCACGTTGCTGCTCGGGGGGTGTAGCGGAGGCGCACCGCACATCTGGACTGCAGAACAGCCGCAAAATCGCACTTTTTAAGAAGACGAATTTGTGCATACCTCTTCAATATTCAGTAAATTATTATTATTAATATTATTAATATTAGCATTATTATAATTATTATTGTTGTTGTTGTTCATGCTAGAGCATAACTGGCACTAGCAGTGTAGAACATGTCTGTCATGTCCATTCATTTTTTAGATCTAAATGACGGGTTATGAGGAAATCATACATGTGTTGGAAAATAAGCCTAAATTCAGTTTACTTGCCTTTTTTTATCAGTGGAAAAGAAGAGAAGTAACATTTCTGTTCTGACTTGGCCTAAATATTCATGACATGAATTCTTGGGCCAGAAAGTGGCAGTGTCTGCCTCCTCTGGGGCTGTATGTGAACCCCTGCTGACTGAGGATAAATACTGTCACAACACTGTCTCCCCCTGCTTTCCAGCTGAATAGATACACAAGGTGAATGGACTGCACTCCCCTGTTAGAGAATTACTCATGTGGAGAAAATGAGAGATATGTGAGAGAGATAAGGGCAGTATTTCTGTCATTTATTTGTTAAGCCTTTCCCCCAGTGAATTGATAATAAATGCTTCACGATCAAGACACAAAGAACTCAGCATGTCCATTCTTGTTTCTTGACTGCAGTGGGAGTTTCATTTTCACAGTTTCTGCAGCAGCAACAGCAGACTCTTAGCCACATAAACAGCTGAATACTCAACAAAATCACCAGTGAGTTTTATTTATGACTGTATATCAAGCAAAGTAAAAACAGCTCATGTGCAAATTCAAATTAATGCGAAACATTAAACATCTCAAGTATTTGTTTTTCTGAGAGGCCGGACGCCACACCTACAATAATTGTTTCTTCTTCTTCTTTTTTTTTTTTGTTGTTACAGTCACTGAAGGCACAGTGGAGCTGTTTCACCTGCCATTCAGGAAAGTGTAATTTGGTTGTAAAGTAACCATGGTAACGTAGAAAAAGAGGTGACTCCAGGGCAGGTGGAGGGAAGGTTTATTCTGTTATTGCTGAATAAGCCTCCAGGGGGGGAAAAGAGTTGAAGTTGATTCCGTTATAATGAGAAAAAACATATGTTGCGGTGTATTTCTGTATCCAGCTGTGCTTTGCCAGATATTATTAATGTGTATCTTATCCAAACACAGCAAGAAGCAACATCTTTCACTTCACTTCATCATCAACATCAGTTAAACCTAAAAGTCTCTCCTTTGTTTTCTTTTTGCACCACTAAACCACAATTTTCAGCCACTTTGTTGTAGCCTACTATGATATTATTTATGGTGTACAGAAGGATGTTGGAACAGTAACAGACGTACGTAGTATGTTGTTAATGCATGTGAAGTTCACTCTTGAGGCCTGTGACATGTGCGTGATTCTCGGAGCAGTATGTTCACATAGATGGAAGTAGCCATTTAACATATTTACATATATTAATTAGATTCTGATTGAACAACAAAACAGAACATCCTCTCTCTTTTTTGGCACAACAGGCTCTCGAATACCAAATGATTCAAGTTAATTCATGTAGTCCAAAGTAATCACCTTCAATTCCTCTAAGAGGGCTTTCCAAAAAGTACAGTGACAGTAGGACTCACCAACAGATGCCTGCATGTCTATAAACCCATAGCCTATCAATAGCAGTATGTGGTGTGAGAATAAAAACTGTATCTCACAGCACTTGACAACCTAACACGTGTGAGCCCTGTTAAGCAGAAGTTTATATAGAGTTATTAGTTTCATTATGTGCGGTTGATTCATTTATAGTGCAAATGTAACAAGATGGCTTGATATATTCTGTATATGGGGAATCAAACTGACGGCAGGGGGAGGTAAAGGTCCAGCTGAACTAAATAACCAGCAAGTTTAGTGAGAGAGTGTTTGTAGACTAGTTTCACTTTTACAGTATAATGTATTTTGATACTACTTCACACTGCTTAAATATTGCATGTTTGTTGTTTGTTGTTTTTATCTCTCTCTCTCTCTCTCTCTCTCTCTCTCTGCGCGTGTTTGTGTGTGTGTGTGTTATAAATCTCCAATCTATGCGACACACATATTTATCCTTTCTGCATAAACTCCGGCATACATCCAGAGTTAGAAAAAAAAATTTTTTTTTTTTTTTTTGCAAATTTGAGACTTTTCAATCAGAAGAAGATAGAAACACAATTTTATTGCAAACTTTCTTCTGTTCAGAATCAATTATTTTATCACAACCAACATCCTGTCAAGCTAAAGTTAAAAGTATTTCAGTGCTCAGGTTGGAAATTTGTCTGTTGTGTCATATTAAATTTAATATAACTCAAATTCAGCTCCTGTCAGCAGCTGTCTAATTGCAGAAGGAGGTTTTACAGGAAATCTTCTGGTTTCAGCTCTTTCGTTTCCTAGTTCCATTATTTCACTAAAGGGAACTTCTTCATTGCAAGTGTGAGGTGCTGAAGAAAAACTACATGACTTCACACTCGGCTTAGACTTTGACCCACAGCATTGGAGTATTGTCTGGTAAGATCGCTGTTTTCTCTTTAGCCACACTTTGACAGAAATTTATTTGACTTGGCTTATGTGCTTTATTTTAAAGCATTTCATGGAATGTATGTATTTTAATCACTATTAAAATGCAAATCATTTAAGAATCTTTTCTATTTTGATGTAATAGAACCTGGATTGGTTAACTGTTACCTGGAAGTGAGGGGTGTACTTTGTTTATTTACAGACCTTTTTGAATAAGAATCATAAATGACTAAAACTTCTTTAAACTGTTTCAGTTAATTATCATGTAATGTAAATTGTTACACATGACTCCATATTAGCTTTAATTCTTGAATTTTCATATTTGCAGATCATGACTGTCAATGGCACAGAGACACCTTTTGTCAGCGCCTCCAGCTCCTCCGTGGGGTTGGCTGTGGGGCTGACACTCTTCTTTCTGCTCCTTATGACTGGAGCTGGTGTGATCATGTACAAATATCAGAATAAAATTAGGAATATATTGCAGTCTGGACAAAGAAGAAGCCCGAAGAAGGAGGACTATTCGGAGACGGCAGAAGCTGATTCTCACCATTATACCAGTATGATCAGAGAACCGTCAGCAGGACAGGGGCCTATCTATGAAAACCTGACAACTCGAACTAGGCCTGCTGACAACCACAGCAGGTAAGCTGTAGTTTAAGTGTCTTTACACCCTGCGTTTTTTTTTGTAACAGTCAGGGCAAGTTTGAAGATCAATATGGAGGTAATGTGGAGTCTGAAATGCCACTTATGAAACCACAGCGGTTCAAAAAGATCAAACGGAAACAGATGAAGAAACACTGTGCATGGTGTGAGTTTCCCCATTTTGCACAATGCTTTTGTAATATATGCACACACACAATTTGGCCGGCGTCTGCAGGTGATTTCATCTGTTGTTTTATGCAATTTAAAGCCTATTAATCAAACGAGACAGCTCATGACTCAGTGCTGGAGTTTTTCTCTGAGCAAGAATAGAAACTGGCGAAAAGTAAATCCACACAGTTTACATATATTTGTCTTGCGTCACAATGGTTTTACATCAGCAAAGTGCTTTCTAATAGGAACATTTTCTGCTACACTTATTGTTCCTCCACAGGCCGCCTGCTCAACCTGAAGAGGATTTGTACTTGGCGTGTGATTCACCGGATGATGCAATATACAGCAATGACCCAGAGTGTAACCTTGCCATCTCTCAGGAAGAGGACGTGTACATTATCCCAGATTCATGACATATATAGAAAAATATCTGTATAACCGTCTGAATATTTCTATTCCATTTACTCTATACGCCATTCATTGGCTCATGCTATAAATATATATTGTTACAAGTTAAAAGCTGACCCATAAACAAAAATGAAATTATCTGTAGTGTATTGATATTCAGTACAAGTGTATAGCTACATGTATTATATTTCATATACATATACTGTATGTTTTATTCTGCATCATCTGTAAAGTTAGTTTTCTAGAAGCACTGCCATTAAATTTTGCAGTTTTTACACAACTTTTATTGCACACAGTTGAAATTATGACAGAGAGAGGATGAGTGTGGACAGTTTATTCACACTTGTGTTACCACACACGAGTCATGCATACTTTCTGCTGTCCTCTTTTGTGTCAGCAGCTTTTGTTTTCAGCCTCTATATGATTTAGAAACAGCGGCATAGAAAATTTATATTTACACTAAGTATTGTTATTTTCTTCATATTGTTCACAAACAGAGAGTTTAGAATAAATCTACAAATACAATTACTTAAAAAAAAAAAAAACTTTAACACTGAAATACCAAGAGGGGGAATCTGAATATAAAAATATGATGCACATAAATGCATATGCATAAGTACGTGGATGTGTGAACTTCTATGCATAGTATTCATTATGTTTTGTAATAGAAAACACTTCTAAAGCTACCATTTATACATCATGTTTATGTGATCAATGAACTTTTTGAACACCCTCAAAGTTTGTTATAGGATGTCATTGTTCACAGCAGCTGCATTACTGATAGAGGTTACTATGATTTCATTGAATTCATTCTGTTTTAACCCTTTAAACTTACTTTGTTCTGTATAAAATGTTCTATAACTTGTTACAACCAGACACATTTTAAAACATGTAATCCTGTTAAAATAAAGAGAATATTGATAAAAGTCATAAAGCTTTTATTACACTGACTAAGATAAGTTTATGAAGATAAAACACAAAAAACATATTAAGCAAAACAACAACTGAACATTTATTTACAATAAAAATGGTCTCATGTATTTTAATTTGAACTATCATGTTCCTTAAAAATGATTTGCCATTAGCTACCATTTCGGTGTCATACTAGGTTTTAGAAAAAGAGATGAGACAAATATAATTTACTTTCTTATCTGTCAAATACTGCAAATGCAGATACTGAAAAATGTTTTATACAATATATGCAGAAAAACTAAGAAGAAAACATGGTGTTTACATGAAAACGTATTTAAGAAGTGCATCAAGTCAGAACAATGCAAAGGTCAGCACTATAGTGGGTGTTTTGTGGTCTGTTGGTTTTTCAGAGGAGATATATAGAGGATGTGAAAATCTGTCTGGCCATGTTGCTGAGCTGAACTGCTGTTGAAATGATACCAGACCGAGGCAGAAAAAAAAAAGGAGCTTAAAGCTTTGTCTAAAATTTGTAGAATAATAAGATTTAAAAAAGATTTGTGCTTCTCTGGGCGGATAATGACTGGAGATGGGCAGGAAGGTTTACAGAACATGATGTTTTCTTTGCTTTTATTTTTGTTTCCTGTTGTACCGACATTAATTTCAGTAATAGTTTTCCAGGTTAGCTACGTGAGGATTAAAACCAGGGGAAAGCCAAATACCGGAGGCTAATGAGTTCATTCTGTCTATCTTAGATTACACACAGAAGGCTTTGATAAATCCTGTCTCTAATTCTTTCATACTTGTATACTTTGGGTGGTACTGAAACTCTGGACCTTTCAGAGTCTAAGATTGAAGACCTTTCCATCCACCCACAGTTGTGTAATGAGTGAGGATGTCATCCCTGAAACAAAGAGTAACAGAACCAAAACAAAGAAATGAATGAGCAGTTACTGGACACAGGTCTGAATTTAAGTGTAATTACGGTAAGCATTTGTGTCTGCAGCTCTGATTAATCACCTCTTAATTCATCTGCCTATTTATTCAATCGTCCAGGATCATTCAAGATGCCCCACCCCTTAAATGCATCGACTTTATTAATTGTTAAACAACAGATGTTCGCATTGTGTGACCTTTACTCATTGAGAGATAAAAACTATAAAACACTCATTAGGGGTGGTGGTGTCACTTCTTGGAATGATTAAACTATCGACATTTCAGTTGAGCTTTCTTCTGATTTGGGGTCACCTGAGTTCACTCACTTAATATCACACTTATCATCTGTTTATCACTTTTATTACTTTTATTTAAGCTCCAAAACCTGGAGCCGCACTCAGCTGCGTCTTCTGAGAGTCATCTATGAGCTGCTGTTGTGATCTTTCTAGTCTTGGCCATCACACTTATCGGAGGATATCTCACATTGTTATTTGTTCTTTTTCTAATAACTTATCTCAACAGCACTTAAAGGCAAATATTACAGACACAAGCTCTGATAATGTGCAATAGAAATCTATTTACAGTATTGTCAGTGATATGTAATCTGAACACGTTTACACAGCAGGCAGCTGCAAATTCCCATTTTCCCTGTCAAGTGAAACTGTTCATTTTGTCCCTTTACTTTCTGGTCAAGGACACGGTGAACACAACTGCAGGGTTAATAATGGGAGATAGAAGTTATCATATCTTTACATGCTGATTTCTCTGTCACACCCTGACCCTCATAATCTATAGTGGCTGACGGTGCTTATTCAGCGAATAAATGACAAATGTGAGAAAATATAATGCTCATGTGTTTATTATGAAATGTACATGTGGATACATTCAAGTGCGACAGTTCAGTGGGAGTCAATCACAACATTTATTTGGGCATATCATTATTGAAATGTAGAAGACAAACAAAAATATCTCATAAAACAGTACTTTAAATAATAACAGTAAAATTAAATAGAAAACAGCTCTAAAATAAGTTGTAACAAAGCACACAAAACAAAACACAAATAGGAACCATAAATAACTAACTTAAAATAAATAACTAACTTTAAAGGCAAAGATATGAAAGAACAGATCTACTTTTTGATTCACAATGCAAAACAAAACAGTGGCTCTGTGCAGCAGTAACATCTTCCTTCATCTTAAACAAAACAAAAAAAGAAGTGATGAATGAAAGAAGGCGTTTTTAATTTAGTTAACCAATGAAAATATGTGATAAAATGTTCATTTAAGAACAGTCAGGTTCACAATGTAACATATATTTTTCTAGTGGAAATGCTCTCCCAATGGTTTGAGTTTACAGTAAAAAAAAAAAAAAAGTCACTTGCATTTTTTTTTCTTCAGGCACAGTGACATTTACTGACAATCAAGTCATCGAAAGGTGTCAGCTTTAACTTTCCCCTACTGTCATAGTGCATGAGGACCATGGGCTCGTAGGTGGCTGGCACGCAGCAGGGGTGAGGTGTCCCACCTTTGGTAATCTGGTGCAGCCGAGATTTCACCTGTGTGTGCATGCTGGCTGGCTTGTAGTTGTGTGGGCAGGTGCCGTCACAGTAGTGCATTGTGTATTCGGCCGGGGCCACCACCCAGTCCGTCCAGCCGATGTCCTTGAAGGACACGGCGAGTGACTTCCGGCAGCACCAACCCCGTTCGTCGCAGTCGTCCTCCTTGTTGGAGCGACGTCTCCTCTCTGCCGGCTCTGGCTGCACGAGGCCTAATTCCAGAGAAATGGTTGGGTTTGCCTCGAGGGCATCTCTGTCAAGCACAACCATCCCTACATCCACCACCAGAGCCTGACCGCCATCACTTCTCATCCACTTCTCCACCTCAGGGCTGATGTCCAACATCACATCTTGAGTGCTGGACACGTTGCCATGGACGGGAATGTCTGTCTGTGTCCAAGCAGGAGAGTTCATTGACTTCCTCCCGTTGACTTTAACTTTAATGTCTCGTCTTACCTCAGGCTGAGCTGATGTGTGTTTATTTATGATCTGCCTGGAAATCATCAGTTCTGCCCGAGTGAGTGTCAGTTCAGTCTGAATGTTTGGGTTTTTATGGAAAACAGCTCTGTGCCACTGCATGTGTCGATCTGACTGTGGGTGTTTTTCTTTCCAAAGCACTTTCACTTGCTCCACTAAAAAAACACACACACACACACACACACACACACACACACACACACACACACACACACACACACACACACACGCACGCACACACGCCATTAGGAGTTGGCAGCATCCTGTAATGATTTAGCAAAGAACATATAGGAAACAACATGGCATGGAACAACTGAGATTAGAAAAACAAAGGAAACACAAACATATTTTTAATCTATATTGTACCTATCGTCACTGGTCGGCTTATTATTGATGACATTGATAAAAATGTGTTCGCAGTGTAACATCATGTGAAAGGTGTGCCAGTCACGCTCATGATTTCTAAAAGCTTGAAGGAATGTGTTTGCTTTGTTTACAGGACTGTTTGTCTATTCACATATGTTTAAACTCTGCAGATAAATTCCAGGAAGTCAGCGATCTTTACCTGGAGCATGAACTATAGGGACAGAAGCTATTTGTAGTGTTTGTAACCACACCAGTACAATAGCTTTTGTCTGTGTCTGCAGAGGTAACTCACAGCGTTCCTTCCTGCTCCCACTCAGACTTATCAAATTGGCTTTTCACATCAGTTATTTAAGTGCAATGATGACTTAATTAAATGTTTTCAAGTCGCCTCCTCTTCTAACAAATGTCTCACCTGTGGCTGGAAAGAGGACAGTAGAAACTGTGGACTGCCCGGTTTCCCTCATCGACTGGCTGGCATTTCCTCTCATCACTCTCAGTTTGTCTGTGTAGAGCTGATGCATCTTCTTCAACTCCTGCACCGTGGCCTTTTGGGTTGGCCTGGGCTCCCTGTCCATACCCAACGAGCTGAGGATCCCCGTCTTCACCGCCTCCAAAAGCAGGACCTTCTGGCTCTCGGTCCCGCCCACGTCAGGTGTGCCTTCGTGGGCCTCGGAGTGAGGCCGGCTCTCCCCTGAGCTGGAGAGGGAGACGAGGAGCAGCAGCGTGCAGGGGATGAGTCGATGGAGTGTGCGTGATCTGAGCATGGTGAGCCGGCCAGGTAGGTCTGGTTTGAGATTGCTGCAGCTCAGTGGATGGGGTTTGTCCATGACATGAATGAAATTCCTGACACTATTTATAGCACCTCTGTGTTGCCACACCCCTGTCAGTCAGGTGAGTCAGGTGAACCTGTGATGGGCTATATGTCATTATGTTACGACATTTCGCACTATTGTGTTATGTATTAACATGTGACCGATGAAATTACAAATCCAAATTAAGAAATTAAGCTTTAATTAACAGGGTTTTATTTCAGTTTTATTTCCACAGTGGGGGGGTGAAAGCAGAGATGGGAGAGACATGAAATAAAGGGGTTTCTGGATGAGATTTAGATACGTCACAAGTACATAGTGTCACCACGATTGTCCAATAATGCGTCACTTAATCAAATAAATGACCGTATGTCTTACAGTGACCAGTTCTAAGAAGAGGGAGAATGGGCAATTAGCTCCTCTGGGGTTATCAATGACAATGTGATAGTTTATTGATTCCTGTAAGGCTGTGACGCTGGTCCCTTGTAACCCTGCCCAGTACGGTCAGCGGTCAGGATCAGCTAGAGACGGATTTAGAGTTTTGTTAATTTGCCATCCAGTTGCCTAAACCTGGGAAGCCCCATCTCTGTACAGCTCTGCTTGACAGCATACAATACATCAATAATAAACATTAAATAAAGACAGAAAACAATGGAGAGAGTTAATTTCCTGTCACCCCTCTCTCCATTAACCATAAAAAGAGATAAACAAACTGAGAAGTTATCTCCTCTGTTGAAAAAGAGAACTGTCTCTGGCTTCTGTGACAAAGTCTGTGACAGACTATTATGAAAGTAACCATATCATCACACAGCTTGACCTTGGGGAACGCCGTGTGTAGGTGCTCTATTTTATGACGATTTAAATAGACTGAAAAGATAACTGATCTCAACCCGTACTGGTTAAAAGAGCAGCATTCCTGCTGTGTCAGTAGTGATTGTTGGGACAGACCAAAGAGCAAAACACTAGATCTGTGTCTGCACGGTGGAGTACTCGTCAAGTATTAGCATATTATGTGAAAACGCTCACTTCTGACAGTAAATAGGATTAGGACACTTCCTGATTAGAAAGTAGTTTCACTGTTACGTGGCCTTCTGTGTCACTGACCCTATTCTTTCCACATAAGGGCATTCCCAACCATTTGCTGATAAAATAACCGTATATTGAGTTTATGGACACACAGATTGTGAGTTTGGAATTATAATATTCTGCCTTTGAGCAACCAGATAGTAAAAGTGTTGTGTGATAAGAGGGCTGTTGAACGTTCAATTAAATACTTACATGTACATTATAATATAATAAAATAATAAAATAATAAAACAATAAAAAATAACTGCCGCATAACCACATGATTAATGAGGTGAAATCTAATTTAATTTGAATGACAAGTCATATTAAATGTCATAATTCAAAGCTCATGCAATAAATTGCAAAGGAGCAGTTTCAGGACAAATTGGAGAAGTCAAGAGAGAGAGAAAAAAACATTTCTGCAGCATAACATTATGTTTTTTTCATGTGAAGTGATGACCTATTATTACTAATAAACATTCAAATTCAAACAATCAGAGAAGATAACGTCATTCTTCTCCTTGTCCTTCCAACCTGTGATGATGGTTCACAAGAAGCCATTGTAGAAAAAGCGATGGGAGTAAGGGCTAGAGCAAGTCTGGCATCTTTTTACCAACAAATAATAACATGTCACAAAATCATGAATAATTCCCAAAATTCAAAGCAAGAAAAATATTCTGTGGTATGAAGAAGTTTTTGTCCAAGTATCAAACGATGTAGAGATGTAGCTTCTTCGACGGTGTGGAGTGTGAATTTCTGAGCACTGAGTCACTGAGGTGATGAAACAATCATGTGCTTTTTCCAGGTGAGCCTACCTTGCAAGTTCAAAGTGTGTTAAAGGTGTAAAGTGACTCATGCAATGTTGTTAAGACGGTCATGTAAGACTCTCACTCCTGTTCCCCCTGTTCTCTGGCTAGTTCCCCTTTTGATCGCGTGACAGAAGTGGAGAAAAGAAAAATTAAGAAAAACCACAAAATGGACATGAAAGAGAAGTGTCTGAGAAACAGCGGTGAATTTCAACATACGCTCTGGTAACGGATGGAGATGTTGGCTGTTAAACTTACTAATCAGACAGAGAAGAAGATGACAGCACATTGCATTATTCACTTAGTGCAGTTTTACCTGATCTGGAGGTTGGGACCCGCAAAAGAGGATGTGAGAGCAGTTATTTTCTAATACATGTATATTGTATATATATATATATATATATATATATATATACACTCGGTACACTTGTGCGTAGGTTTTAAAGGTACTGGGGTGATTTGCTCCGAGCATCTTTGAGAACTTGCCACAGTTCTTTTGTGGATTTGAGGCGCCTCAACATCTCTGTGTCTCTTCATGTCGCAGACTGACTGAGGAGTCCTTGTTCGTCTTGTCTCTGAAGACAGTTCTTCATGACTCTGGCTGTGAGTTTAAGGTCATTGTCCTGCTGAAGTATGGATTTGGGACCGATAAGACGCCTCCCTGATGGTATTGCATGTTGAATAAGAATCTAAACAGCTAAAGTGCCTAAACTTTAGCACACTGCTGTAGATGAAAGTGTTAATGGTAAATGTGCAAATAAAGAGGTAGAGAAGTTGGTGTTTTGAGTCTTTTTGTTCCACTGCCATTCTTTCACTATTAATTCTTTCATTTATCAATCCATTCATTACTTCTTTTTTCACCATTTTTCCCTCTCTTTTAGCTTTCATCATATTGTATTCAGAGCGGCAAGGGGACTGGGACCTTTCCCAGGATGGATTGGCAGAGTGGATAACTAGTCATACACAGGGTTAATATAGCCAACATAAAGCTCCATCGCACCCTCTTGTGGCCATAAAGCACAGTACAGGATTTAATTAACTAGGTACAGCCTGCTTTGGAGTCAGAGGGAGCTGTGTTTTCCAGAAGCTCAACTAAAGGCCAAATGTAAGAGTATGATATATAAATATATATATATGTGTGTGTGTGTGTGTGTGGGTGGGTGTGTGTGTGTGTGTGTGTGTGTGTGTGTCTGTGAATGTGTGTGAATTTCACAGAGAGAGAACGTCTGCAAGAAAGAAGCCACTGCTTGGTGGGTTCTGATTGGTTTGTTTGTTCAAGCTGTTCCAGTAGAACTAACCAGGTTTATGATTTAACCCGTCAACTAAGAAGCACTGACTGTGCCAAACTTTCACATAATTGAACAGCTGGACTGTCAGAAAACTGGGAGCAGACTCTTTTTTTTTTCTCTTTTAGTTCTGTAATGGAATAAAACAAGTAAGTGAGGTTAAGATCTAAAACACAGGGTTGGTGGAAACACAGATGACTGTGAAAAGAGCTCTGCAAAAAAGAGGAAGAGCTGACTTTCATGCCTGACTGGACCCTCTAATGAGCATGGAGAATTTGAAGATGACCTATGCTGGATCACATGGAGATCATGACAAAAAGGACACATACTGACTTTGCAGCCTGCGCCTCCCTCGCTCCATCTCCAAACTCCATCATCAGTCTGGTGCAGAACAAAAGTCCAGATACACATGTACACACGGACAGTTCATTTAAAGAATTTTCCTCTCATCGGTTTGTGATGTTCAACTCATAGAAAGAAAATGAGTCATACAAAGACAGTAGCAGCTCACAAAGATGGACTCACCCATCTTCCCTGTCACTTGGACTGAACTCTCTGAAGTCTCTCTCCTTGTTAGGAGCTTGTTTGTTGATGAAAAATGATAAAAGGGCGAGGGAATTACACAGCGACAGACACACACACACACATGCACACACACACACACACATTAACGATGACAACTATGATCTGCAGCATTAAAGTATTGTGGATCTGGATGCAAGCATTAATATAAGAAAAAAAACAATGATGTTTGTGTAAAAAGCAGAGAATATATAAAGATTTGGACCACACACACACAGATGTGTTTTTGTCTCTACAATGGCAGATTCCTGACATTCCTAAGTGGCTGGTTCACTTTTACTCTTTTTTACTGGCATCAAGGCTGCAGTTTGAAAAAATTAAATCAAGCAAATCTTAATTAATAAACAAAAATATTAATTTACAATCATTCAAAATACACGTGCTACAGCACAAAATTAGGATTGCAAACACACTGCTCAATACAGAATACTATAATGTATTAGTGTTTTATTGTCCCTTCTTGAATCGATACAATCTAAAGCCAGGCAAAACCAAACCAAACTGTACATGAAGCAGTGGGAGAAAGAAAGAAAAAGACACAGTATGGCCCCCCACCCAGACCAGAAAGAGGGAGAGAAACAGGAAAAGAAAGCATCATTATTTACCATTATTAAAGCATTATTATAACCAATGATTTCAACTTCAGATAGCCTATAAATGTATTTCATACAAAGTAGTCGCCTAAAGCAAATCTTGAAAACCCTAAAGGGGTATCTAACTGGGCCGCTCACTTACCCTGTAAACGTTTGATTTTGGACTCTGACTTTTCACTTTACACTTTCAAATAAACAGTGAACCTCAAAAGGGAACAAGGGCGGATTCACGTCCATCTGGCTTACATAAATGGACATGTGACAGCGCAGGACAAGAGAATAACCATTGTTGGACATGGAAAAACACATCATGGTACCAGGCACAGATCAATCACTGCCATTCAGCTCAGCATCAAAGCACAATTGTCCTTCATCCTCTCTCTGTGGTGAGGGTTTGTTCCTCCAGACAGACACTGTGTTATTTTACACGAACGGTGTGTGGTAAATTGACTGCGTCGACTCCTGTGCAGCCAATCAGCCTGCATGTACCAACACATATGGAAACAAGTGGGTGTGCATGTGTTCCTGTGGTTCATGTGGTTAATGCCTTTACAGCTGCAGGTTACTGCTAAATTTTGCAAAATAATGGTGAGGTTTGTTAAGAAAACCCTAGAGCCTATGATTATCTATCTGGGACATGTGATGAGGACATAACAGGATGTCTTGAGTGTTTGTGGATTTGATGGTCCTTGACTTGAAAAATGGCCATTACACAATAAAAGCAGTATTTTTGCATTTGTTAATTGACCACAGAGTATCAATAAGTGGGTGGGGTCAACACGCCCTCTCACTCCATTACGAGGTCTAGGTTAATGACTCTCCTCACCCGCTTCCTCCCTCCACTGCCGATCAGGTGATCAGCTGGCTGGGGTGACTACCTTTTCCTGGCCGGCAGTGCAGCTCGCCCCGGGGAGGAGGAGGAGGAGGAGGAGGAGGAGGAGGTGGTAGTAGAGCAGCAGCAGTAACAGCAGCAGCAACAGCAGCGGGGAGGACTGTATCCATGCTCCCGGGGAGAGGAGTATGTATGGGCTGACTGACCGGGGATCCGCTCTGGGCTTTTTGTGTTTTGATTGTCTTCAGTGATGGACGAACCGAATATCCTGAGACGCCGCGGTCTACAGGTAAATGGAGACTGTCATGACAACGACGTGGTTGTTTGCAGGCAAACGGGATGATGTGATGAAGATGATGAAGAAGATGGGCCATTGGCGACGATGCGAGGGAATTTCTTCAGGATTTGCTTTGGGTGTAGGAGCTGATCCGCTCTTTGTAGGCCTATAGCTTATATGTTGTATGTCATTTACTCTGTATTGTGTGACACCGTTACAAATGTTATGTTTGCTTTGCATTTATTTCACCATGTCTGGTGTCCATTCATGAGAACAGGCGGTGTCACTATCTTGACTCTATGAATTGGAGCCATTAGAGCACACAATGCAATTTCTGAGCGTAAATGCTGTCAGAGCTGCTTTCACAACCTAACGTGTTTATTTTGGAGCTCTTCAATTGGTGCTTTGGCGAATCTGGTTGCCTTGGTGATAGGAGCACAAAACCCCTTGGCTTCGTGCATGATTGGCAGAAACATCCCTTTAATCTTCCCCCGAACCTTCATGTTTATCTCTCAGGAATGTCCAGAATGGGAATAATGAAGTGTTTTTTTTTCTGCATTAATGAAGTAGTGAAAGCTGCACTGTTATTTCTACCTGTTATGGAAGAGCTGATGTTAGGTTTGTAATGAAAGACCCATCAGTCCAAACCGGGTGTTCCCAGTCAATTATAGTAATTGGTTTCCTCTTTACCTTACATTCATCTGCAATTTAGATTGAAGCACAGCCCTGTCATTATACTAATAATGAACAGGAATTGAAATTATTCAGGTTTGCTTTCATGTCTCCCTGAAATCCATTATGTGGTGAAAACAACATATTGTTAGTCTTCATTATGGACGGTTCGACATATGGGTGTGTTCTGATTAGTGATTAAGCTTAAAGTATATTAATTAAACCGTCTTTTCTCTGTTTGGGAATCTGTTTATATACCTTGTTTTTAAATGTGACTGTGGCATGAATTAATCCCTGTCTGTCTCTTGGAGATAGGATGAACTCAGTGCCTCAAAATGATTTCATGCACAAGCTCTCTCAGTCTAACAGGGTGCCACTCTTCCTTGTCCTTCGAATCCCGACTGAAAAGGGCAGTTTTTGCAGTTGCCTGAGCTCAAACGCAATTGCCATGGGCTACTGAGGATTTGTACATCCTTGCCATTGAATGAGTACAAGACCTACTTGTCGTGCAAGAAACTAGGCCACACTGCATCTAATGATATTTACACTGCATTGAAATGAAAATAAGTGGAAATGGCAGAGAAGGGTAAGCATTTAGGGGAAATCCATTGGAAAACTGATGTAGCCTTAGCTTCTTTTGTAACATTTTAGGAATGTCTGTTAAACCGCAAAAAAAAACATTCCTCCCTGTTTATTCTGAGGGGTCAAAATGTGCTTTCATAACCACAGAAATGATTAAAAATGAGAATTGTCCTCTGATAAGGGAAATATACTGATTTGTGAAAAAGCCCTCCAGCCAAACAATAAACATTTCTGCTCAAACAACAACAGCCGATACCTGCGTTTCAAAGCAATGTTATCAGAAAAACATGAAAAGCAATATATTTTTAGAAAGCATTCTTAATTCAATCTTCCCTATCTCTTCTATTCTAGAAAGAACTGAGTCTTCCTCGTAGGGGAAATGTGTAAGTACTATCAACTGACTTATTGTGTGCCCTGTCTCTTTCTCCATTTGCTCCCCTCCCTCCTCTTAAAACCAGACTGGCCAGGTGTGTGTCACTTGTCAGCTTTATTGTGCATGCATGCCCTATTTTACACCATTATACAAGAACCTCTGAAACTGCTCATGAAGATCGCTTGACAGACGGAGCAGTCTCACCGCTCAGACGGGTTTTACATAAACTTGGAAGTCGAGAGGGCAAAGATTGAGATATGGTGCAAAACCCTTTGATGTTATAACAGGGAAGAGCTACCGTAGATAATCTTCTCAGTGAGTCAGAATCAATACTTTGCCCCACCCTTGTTGTTAGAATAGATGCTTTTTTTATCTGTTTTTCCCAATTTGCTACAGCAGAGTTAATAATCTAGAGTCTACGTGATAATATATTTTAATATTTGGTAATGAGCAAGCAAGCTGAGCAGACTCTTAGGTTGGTGTGTTTTTTTTGACCTTCATCTTTTTCCTATCCAGAATTCAGGAGTAATCAGCTGATAATTAATAGGATTTTTACAAAGCAGAATCAGATCGTATAATGTTTTATGAACAGAGAAGTGACACATGTGAACAACATGAAGGAACTTGCTTGTAATTTTTCTGCTCAAACAGGAGATACCCCAGTCAGAACAACATCAATCTCCTCACTGACTCTGGGCTGTTCAGGGACTTTCCCCCTGTCTTTAGTCAAGAGACTCAGTTAGGCTCGTTCCACTGTCAATGAGTCAGAGGAAATATCAGGATCATGGGAAATACTAAGAGCAGATAGCAGCTGAGAGATGATAAGATTGGAAATAGTTAAAAATATTTGTGTTGCTCACCTACAGCTCTCCCCTTCCAGTGAGGTGTTTGGGACAAACTAGGAAATTAGTAGGTGTGTGAACTGAAACCCTTTGCTGTTTGTGGCAGCGTCCAATATGTCTGAGTGGTCAGAATATTAAATGTATTCTAAATAACTTTTAATATTTTTAATTAGGGACCTGTGGTGTGTCTGTGGTTTTTTTTTGTAATGTCATTGCTCTGCTAAGATTTCTCTACCATGTATTTGAGATCTGTATAGTAGCCCACAGGACTAGATAAACTCACTATGGGGCAAATATAAACTGTGGGCACTCATGAACTGACTCCTTCTTTGTGGTAGTGTAGTTAAACAAGAAAGGAATATCCACCATGTGAAATTCTGACACAGACAGAAAAGACATTCCTAAACAAATCCAGCTGACCATGACAAGCCCCAGGCCAGTTGCCCGCTTTGACCGGTTGTTATCCAACACTGAAGCTTCACATTGTGATGTGTTATTACTGAAATATAAAACATCACATCTATGGATTATTATGTACTATAGCCCTGCTTTTGAAGTCGTCAATAATGGCACAAACAATGGCTGGGTTTTAAAAAGAAAACAGTACTATTGCACAAGATCATGTGCTGTGCAGTTTTTGAAATCCATGAAAATCACACAAGGGTCCCAGTTACATCCTGATGACAAGAATGCAACTTTCATGGCTACTCTTAAGCTACGTATGACTTGCTGTGCACGTTTTACCTTCATTTTTTAAAGCTATTTATGCGTAGACACGTAAATGATTTTGAGTTTTTGTTATCACCAGAGATACACAATCCAATCTCAGTCTGTTAGTCGCTAGGTGGTTCATTCGTGTTTTAGTCGATGTCACAATAATTCCGACAGCACTTGAAGGCATCATTAGTCACTCCTCCCTCCGGCTCGAGCTGACGCGGCTGCGCGGTGCGGCGGACAGTGCTGTTGCTGGAAAGTTTGTATCGCTCTTGATATCTTCGCGGAGGTATCTTTCGATAATGTCGCATTCCGGTGAAGACGGACTGTTTCGGAAATATTGCTGGTGACAGGGAGAAGGGGCAGGGCGGACATGGCCGTTACAGTCGCTCAGTACCACAGAGCTGCCGTGCCGTGGGTCTGGGGTCAGTTTGTACCGAAGCTGAATGGAGTTTCTGCCGTTGGACACTGCGTACTGGCCTAGCTAACCACCAGCAGTAGCAACAACTCCACCGGAGAGACTGTAACACGATGCTCCCGCATTAAATAAAGGATAATTCTCATATCTGGATTGGCTTTATCACCACCATTACCATCACCATCATGTCTGACCAAAACTATTATTGGACCGTGTTGCCGAGCTACAAAACTAGTTTTGTGACTGGGGCCATGATGAAACGATCAAAAAGGTAAAAACAACACAGCCTGTTTTACTAGTATTTTTTCTGTATGTGCAGACAAAAACATACAGACAAAAAGACACAGTCCTGACTAAACTGCTGCAAAGCGAAATCGTCTGCTCTGCCTGTAGTTGTCATCAGCTCCCCGCAGAGCTGTGCCATTCAGTGTCTGACAAACGGCAATTTGTTGAACGTTTATGTTGAGCTATTTGATTCGCAGCACGTAAACGCAGCCCCCACCGTACAGTACACCGTTATCGGCATACAGCTCAGATTGATAATGTCACTGTGGTGTCTGTGATAGCCTACAGTACGTTACTGTGTGTGTCTGTCACATCCGCCCTAGTTTTTGTTTCCGACAGAGAAACGTGGCCATTGTAGAGTGTTGTGTATGTGTGTGTGGGCAGACTGCATTGTCTGCTGCCAGCTGTCGCATAAAACGACACAGAGTCCCAGTTGCCGATCGATACACTGTTATGGTTAGTGGCACTGTAGTGTTGTAGATATGCTTTTATCTGTGAGATAAATGTAATCAGCCGTCACAAAGCGGAAAATTGCCCTTCATGCCCTGTAAGGACGTACCTTTGACCTTATCGTATTTTATGACAGTTTTATTTTCTTTGTCATAAACCCAATATTTCTATAATTAAATCTTTTGCAGTTACCCTGCTATACAATCCATCTGTTATAGCTGTTTTCGGTAGCATTAACTATAATTAAGTGAAACTGGAAAAAGAAACTATGCTCTCATCTTTTAAATTAGTGTAATATAGTTTCCCCAGCAGCTGTAGTCTGTCCAACTATCCACTTTTTCCATGTGGCTTGTGATCAAGCGTCAGCCATGTAACCTATTCAGCACAGCCTCGCTTTGAATGGAGCTCAGTGAATAAATGCATCCCCTTCACCATAGGCAGACGTGAAACTTGCAGGCCTGCATCTCAGTGACCTATATTCATCATGCTACATGCCTGACTGCAACACTCTCTACAAACCACTATTGTTAGTCTCAAATATGAGTAGCCTTATCACTGCTAACTGTTGAGAAAGCTCACATGTGGTCATGGTGTGACACAGTGATGCTGTCATGCCAGTTTTGCCCAGGCTCTATAGTGTGAAAAGGTTGTCTGTTTATTTTCTGATGAGAATAAAATAGTGCACACTAATAGTGTATTATGTGGTTTGCAGCTGTGTCCTCGACATATTGAAGCCAAAGTCAAGCACCTACCAGCTCTCTCTTCTCTCTGTTGTTTTGCCGTAACTGCCACTTTTTGGGTTGGGGGCCATATACTGTGTGAATCTGCATCAGCTCCGACCCAGAAATGTCAGGCTCTGTTGTCGTCTCAAGCCCTCAATTATTTTAGGTCACTGCCAGAGAGAAAGAGAGATCATCGACATCACTGGGATGAAACAGAGAGCGTGATGGGATTACACCCAGCTTTGTGGGGAATGCAAAAACAAAATAAAGAAGAGCCCAAATTTTATTCTGAATGAAGACCATAGCACTAGATGCAGGCACCATATAACAAACAGGAAGTGGAGAACATAAATGTGGACTAACTGCATAATAATTACACTATGCATCTATGTGGCTTTCTCTGACTATGACTCACGTGAGTCATAGTCAGAGAAAAGCCATTTAGTAGTATATGTCAGCCTTTAAACAGGTCTGCCAGTCACCACTTTGATATGTGACTTTTCAAGGAAAAGGTCTTCCTTTAAAGGAGCTCAGTAGAAATGGCTGACTGATTTTACATTGACAAAAAAGCTGCATGGTAACAAAGAGGAACACTGGTTGGAAGTTGAAGCCACAACTTTCATCAAAACAACACAATCAACCAAAAAAACTGCAGAACTGAAACAACACCTCTTTGACATGGTCTCAATCAAAACTGTACATCTTGAGCTTTGAAAAGTTGGCATCTTAGGCAGAGCTGATGTATTATTTAGTACAAGCCTTTTTCCAAAGTTGCATCAGCTGTTGAACCTTTGACTCAATGCAGTGGAAAAACAATCTGATCCTTGATTATCTGATATATGGACCAGTTTGTGTTGTTTGCGTGTGGGTAAAGATTGTGTTCATCCATGGTAATGGATCTGTAATTACAGACAGTATATTGTGGCTTGCAGAGTTATGTCACAGGAGTCATATGGTCCACTTATTTCTCTGCATCGTTGTATAACAACCAGCCAAGGCTATTTTATAGGATCAGGTGCTCTCGATTGTACTAGCAATGATATTTCCAGATGTTTCCCATATTCTCACATGGAAAAATCCCTGCAGACACGATAGACATCATTGAATCATCATTGATACTTTGGTGTAATACCATAGCACATAGTTCACACTCCTCATTATTTATTGGATATTTAATTATTTTTGGTCTTTCCATTGTTTTGGTAACTTGTAGTCAGAAGCAGTCCTTTTGAGTACAAGAACACAAGGAATAGGATGTGTTTAATTAGTGCATCTGCATACATACTTTGTATGTGTTTGTGTGTTTATATATTTACATACATACATGTTTGTAGCTACACATGTATGTGTATGTAAACACACTATTGCTAGTGCCATCACAGATATCAGTGTTTGCCTTGTCACGATCAACAATTCTAGTTTATAGGTTGAGCGTGTTTTATTTTGCAACACTGTTTACTGCACTGATAAAAGACTGATAAACAGCATGTGCCTCTGGGTGATTGTGCTTGTAATTGCATTGCATAAGTTAATTTTTTTACCTCTTGTTTTTTTTCCTTCCCTCACAGTTCCCGTAACAACAAGAGAAGGAGTTTGGCGGTTGGGACCCCGTCGCCCACACTCTCACGACCGCTTTCACCTCTCCCACTTGCCACAGGTACTTGTGTGTTGTATCAGTTGCGTGTCTGCTCGTGTCTGCTCGTGTCTGCGTGATATTGTTGAGTAGAGGTTCATTGGTGAAACTGTATATAGACATGATCACATATAAAACAGGGTAAGTGAGGATAGGTTGATGACATGAATGGTTCCATCTGTGACAGGAGGAGAAAACTTTATGCCTCGTATATTTGCCTTCAGCCTTGTGTTTGTTTTGATGCTGTATGTCACAAGACTGGCACTGGTTTCCCTGTGGTGTTCATAAGTTTTTAATTGCTGTTGGATTATAATGTGGCCACAGTATAGTGCATAAGACTCAATGATTTTCCTCCACATGATGGTGTTTTTCATGTAGCTTCCTCCCGGCTATTCATTCCTTGATCCAACTGCCTGATACGGGGAGTCATTCATTCTCTGACCCTCTATCACCCTTTTTTTTTTTTTTTTAAATGATTCAGGGTGTGACTTGGATTTGCCCTCAGGGGCTGGCATAAAAACCCTTTAGTGACCCTTTCAAGAGTATGTGGTATGGTGTGGTGTGGTGGGGTGTGGTGTGGTGTGGTGTGGTGTGATCAACAGCAGGACTCCATGCTGTCTGCTGAAACTGAGATTCTTTGATTGGGCAAGGAAGAGACCTAGTTACTGTGTTACTGTAATTAAGTTTGATAGCTTCAGACTGAAATATGAAGTGAAACAAGATGATCATGTAAAACAAGGGGACAGCCAATGGAATGATTCAACACATTAATAGTCATATACGTTGTTTGTTACATTTTCTGATCATTTCAAAGTTTGTAAAGTGTGTTTTTGTTTCTTCAGCTGGCAGCAGCCCTTCAGAAAGCCCCAGAAATGTCTCTGCCAGCACGTCTGCCAACTTCCAGTTTGCCCGCAGGTGAGAATTAACTCTAATGCTTTTTAATATGGATTTGGTCTAAGGTACTCCAGCTCAGCCAGCTTACCACAGTAATATTTTCCCAATCCAATGCATAAACTAGAAGATTAGTAAAACACAAAGAAAATAACGTTGTTGATTGATTCTTCATGCAAAATGTGATCTAATATAACTGCATATAGCCGACGTTCAAAACATAAGAAATAAATGCCAGTATAAATACTTTTCCATTCATAACTCATGCAAAAGTAGCTGCCAGAACCTGCAAGTTTGCCAAGGTGCTTTATTAGTGACTTTTTCCCCAGCAGTTAATGCTCGACCAAACAAAAACCGGTTCATAACGATTCAAACAGAGCATCAACTTTTCTCTCTTATTTTAAACTGTAGCATTTTGAATAAAAACACAAAAATAACTTATGAAATTTGGTGGTTTTTGGAAGAAGCTTGAATTGCATGAATAATGAACATGCCCTGGCTTGTTCCCTTTTGCCCCTGTGGTGGAAATGAGGCAATGGAGAAGCAAATCCCGACCAGCCGAAAGGCCCCAGGGCCACTTGCTGGACATGCATCTTGGCATTTGTCAAGCCAATTAAGGCGACAAGTCATTGCACACACTCATTACTCAGGACTCCTGTGATTATGGGGGAATGTTGCAGAGCTTGTCCTCGCATCACGCTTCTTGCAACGGCGCATAGACTCACTGGGATTTAGAGGAACATGCGATAGAACTGGCATCCTATTCCGGTAGCAGAAAATAGTGTGTTATTGATTTGCTAGTTGAGAGATTATGGGATAAAAACAGCAGCATGTTGGTTCATTCTAAAGGAGATGGTTACAATTATACATGCGTTGAAACTTCAAGAATGTGTCTATGTACTTTAAATGTATATGCTGCTTGTCTGAACTGTCATGTGTTATGAATTAGCATTTAATGTTGCAGTGCAGTATAGCATATTGCACCACAAGCTCAGGGACAGAGAAGGGATGTCTCTTGATAGAAACGCCTTGCACGAGCCTGCATGACTCATCTAAATTTATTGAGACTTTTTAAGCTGCCAGTGTGTAGACAGATGCTGTGACTGCACTTTTGAGAACTCCACTGGGTTTATTTGTTATTCACACAAGCTGTATAGCTCTGCTGTTTGTGCAATTATTTTTTCATGTAAACATGGAATATCCAGGCACATAATATCTTGCGTCCATGCAAAGAATAAAAAAAGTATTTTAATGCAAATGAAGGAAAAACGTGGTCAGGAACTGTCCCAAGAGTGAGGCATAATCGTTTAGTTGCAGCTCCCTCTTCGCCATTAAATATGCTTTTTTTTAACCTTGGGGAATGAGGATTGCCAACACTTCGGCCCACAATAGTTTTTTCCCTTTACACCGCAGGCATCGATTCTAACATCAATTTAAAACCTTGTTTTTAATCTTAACTCCTAGCCCCTTAAGCCTTGAAGGGCCTTAATACAACAAGCTAGCATCAGTAGTAAAGATTTTAATGACACATAATGGATGGCATACATATCAGATATGGACCAGATGAGAAAATACACACGTCTAATACACTTCACTAATCCTCAGATCTCAGAGCAGAACCATCCAATTTCATTGTGTCACCTCTGGTTTAGCTACATGTCCCCAAGAGCTGGTTTCTGTGAGAAAACATTTGACCATCCTTGTCACCACAGATTGAATCAGTGAAAGAAACTGGGCCACGTCCCCAGAGTGCCATATTGGATGGAAAAGTAGGGGGACAATGACGATAGAGGCACTGTTACAAGTGGAAATTTCACACATAAAGGTTGAGGTTTTCTGTGTGTAGTGGCAGTCTGGCTGGGTGCTTGTATATGTCTGCACTGTTTAGGGGTGTATTTTCTTTGTGTGTGTGTGTGTAATGAGTCACAAGCTAAGTGTCTGTGGCTGTCAGTGCTGCAGAATGATAGCAGTTTGGCAGGTCCTCTTCAGCATCAGCAGACCACCACTGGCTGAGAGTCTGACAGTGAAAACAGGACTGTAACTGACAGGCAGACTTACTCTGTCACTATCATTAAACGCTGTATTTTATTTCTCACTTTGTGTCTCACCCTGCCCCTCTTCTTCTCTGCATCTCTCTCCTTCCCCTTTGTGTCTTCCTCTTTTTTATATTTGTGTAGCCAACTGGCCCGAACTGAAAGGTAAGAAAATGACAAGCTCTCTGTCTTCAAACTTGCATGCAAAGATTTTTTTTTTTATTAAAATGAGATTTGCAGGTATAAAAAGGTGAAACTGAAGATTCGAGTGAGTCATCAGGACATGTAGGTTTTATTTACAATAGAAAGTGACCACTGAACAGTGTGCTACTGTTTTGTCTCTGCAGAGCGGATGGGCGAAGATGGTCTGTGGCGTCAGTTCCCTCATCTGGATACTGCACCAATGCACCCAGTTCATCAGTATCTGTAAGCTGAGTCTATTTCTGTATTTCAGTGTCTGCCTCTTCTCTTGTCTTCCTGTAATCACCATCCTCTGTAAGGCTTGTCTCTTTCCTTTGTCAAATATTCAACATGTTTCGAGACCACTGCCATGGGAGCATTTAGCTTCCTGTGTATCACTCAGTTTACAGTGCCGTGGTGTCTTGTGAACTTATGGCGCTGACTGACAGAACTGTAAATCCCATCACATTAGTGTTGGTGTTCCAAGGAAATAAATCTTCCTATAAATGGTTGTTGATTTATAATACACCCCTTATGGTGTGAATTGCTTTATAAAAGTACTCTGCGCCTGGACTGTATTTTAGATGAAGTGTAATCTAAAGCAAGGTCTTTCAGATTCCGCTTGTATTATAGGAGTTTAAAGTGATGCTTCATGAAAAATCTATCACCCCTTGTAGAATTGAAACTGTTCTGTGAGAGATTTGTAATGATGTTAAAACATATGCAAACCAATGCACACACACGCCTAGGCCCTGTTCTTCAGATATGGCTTAACTAATTCAGGCTAAATTGAGGCTTGATATGTTAATCCAGGATAAGGTTATATTGTGTGCACTTATTTTGAAATAAAGCCAAAATTAATAGATTGAAAACACGATTGGCTTAGTATTGATCATGTTATATGGAGTAGTTGTGTTGGGAACCCTCCCAGCATGCACTGGGGCAATAGATTCATATACATAAGTCTCATTTTATGTGTGTTCCTATATTGTTCCCTGTGTTATTTTGTTTGTTCCACTGTTCTCATACTTTCACTAAGCAATTAGATATTACCCATGGATGTTTTAAGACTACCAGTGATGTTGGCTGAATGATAGGTGACGTTTTGCCTACTGTGAAAATGGAACCTTATTAAATCTCAAAAAGCATTTTTATTTGCATGTAAATGTTTCAGAAATGTGACTTCCGCAGTTAAAGCTAGAATATGCAAGTTCTGGAAAGCTAGCACAAGCATGAGACTCGAAGCACAAACTGATCCGCTGCTCACACCCCTTCCTCTCCCTGCTCTGTTACACTCCTCCCAGCCCTTCACCTGCATTTTTGTTGTGTTCGCTGTCTCAGCTAACGCGGGATCTTGCCTGTCAGGCATAAATGTCTTCCAGCAGCTAATACCAGCTTGAAGCCTTGGTGCGAGAAGAGGAGTAGATCAAAAGCGTGTTCACGTATTGATCGGCAGCTTCCACCCCTGACTTTGGCCTTCTCTGATTGGTTAGAAGGGTGAGGCTTACTCAAATACTTCAGAAGGGAATATTTCTGCACTGCTGCCAGGCTGTTTGGGGCCTGGATCACCACCTCGACAGGGTCAGCTGTGATGTGATGATCGAGACAGAAGCAAAGTATAGAGTCATATTTTGGCAAAAATACAAGTGCTTCAAAATTTACTAACGATCCAGTGGATGACAGAGAAGTGGATTATGCTGCAGGAGTTTTTTTTCTTTGGATGTTTTCATAATTTTTTTCTGCTTTGAAAACTAGTCTCTGTTAGAATCACTCATGAATCCCAGCTGACGACAGCCTCTATTCATGGTGAAGACACAAACTGAATTTTTTTAACAACCACTTTTCAAGTCTACAGGTGGTGACAGTTTTATTTTCAAAAGATTTTCAATCGTTATTACTTAACATGGACCTGGTGGCAACCGTAGAGCGTTTAAATTTAACTTGTTTGAATACCTGACACGTTTGTATAAAGACACTGTGAGTACATTCTCGGGCAGATGGAAAACACTATTACACGACTGTCTGATCAACCATACTCTCAGCAGCAGTTGATTTACACAAAACAGCTGACTGGAACTGGATGTTGTATCATTTAATGACTCAGCCATAACAGGATACATCCAATGATGATGCATCCCTCCATCATCTGCCTTTTATCACACTTTCCACTGCAGAGAGGAAATAGGAATGAATCCTCAGATGCCTTTCCTTTTCAGGGTTTTCCTGAAATGAAACGGCTATGGTTAAAAATGCACGGTTTTATATATTATATATTATTTTTTAAAATAAGATTTTTCTCAATATTGTGCATTTCTCTGGCTAAATTCAACAATGAACTTAGTATTTGTGGTGGAACTAAAGAGAGATTAAAAAAAATTCTCAGTAGTTGGAAAGACATACAGTATAGTTAATGTTTTACCATGTGACCATCCTTATTAAATAAATGACTTCATACCAAAATGATTTTGCTTGTACTCTGCGTAGCCCCTTTAGACTGAGGGAAAGTACAGGAATAATAAGTCTAATCACTAAAATAACACAGGTCTTGATGAAACGCATGGTTTCTTTTTCCTGTGTGACATCACAAATGAGAAGGGACTGTACAGCGTTTCACTGTCTCTTTCAGGAAAAGTCAAACGCAGGGAGCCGGTTGAGTTGCCCAGCTACACCCATCAGTTATTTGTTGAGGGTTTCTGTGGTGATTATCTTGAGATTTTGTCTTCAAAGTCATTACTGGAGCTGCCTTTGGTTGTAGAAAAACAATACCCGGCTCCTCTGTCACGACTGTAATTTTGTATGGCCGACCACATGGCTTGGAGACGGTGAGGTCAGCCTTCCTCACACAATGCCCCTTTCAGGCTGGCTGTCAGTGAGGTCTTTATACTGCTCTCGCTCGGTTCTGACATGTCTCTAGTTTCCTCCTCAGGGTATCTTGGCCCCCCCCCTTTATATCCCTTATTTTCTGTTTCTTCCTTGCTCTTTCATGCTTTCTTTCTGTTTCTTTTCCTCTCTGTTGTCCTTTCACTTTTTCCCTTTGTTAGGCTTTTCTCCTTTCCTCTTCCTCCGGTGAAACAGAAGATCCCAGCCAGATGGGAGTTCTCTATAAATTCCAGGCTGCATGTTACACATTTTGGCTTGGAAAGAGAAATCGAATGCATGCATGGCCAACACAACAGCTGTTGCTTCCTTCTGCAGGGCATGCTGCAGCAGGAAAGACAAAATCCTGCTTCAGGGGAGCAGAACACTAAATCTCAGAGTCCCTTTTTTAAAAGTGAAAAGAGATTGATGATGTTTTACATTACTGCAGCCTTTCTCAGCATGACCTTGTTGAGTGTTACATCTAATTCAGGTCTATACTAGAACATGAAAGCCTTTAAGACTCAGAGTATTAACAGGATAATGAGTGAATCTGAGAGAACAGTGGTGTGACTCTTATCAGAGGAAGTCTTTTAACACAGGATGTTGTATCATCAAAGCTGCAGAAGCAAAACCTGACATAGAAACAAATGTGCAAATAAAAGTAAACAAAAGTAGGAAATAAATGGTGTTTGAACATTCCCTAGTTGACTGTGTTTATCACACATTTAAAATTCATTCTAATTCTTCTTTCCCACTTTTCTGTTTCTCTGTACAATCCCACTTCCCTCTCTCCCTTGTGTGCTTTTCCCTCCCAGTCTTCTTCTTCCCAGGAGTTATTGCACCAGTTGCCCTTCCAGCCCACACAAGATGATCTCCACTTCCTGTTCAAACATTTCCGGAGTACGGAGAGCGTGGCAGATGAAGAAGGAGCACACGCCTCACCCCCTGTCAGGCTCCGCTCACGTAGTCTCAGGTAGCTTGGAATCATACAACAACTATACCATCCAGATGTATGGACTGTTTGCATTCATTACACAAACATTTGCATAACACTGTACTGCACCGGAAGAAGAGATAATCGAACAGACTAGTTTGATTTGAGTGGGTGGAAGCAAAGAGCCACAGCTCTCCTCCTTGAGGTTTTAGTTCAGGTTCATGTTGAAATGAATGTTGGGCAAAAGATAAGAGAGATATCATGAGGTCTGAGGTCGAACTAAGCTCACCTTCTAATGTTAATTTGTGAAAAATAATTATTTAATATATTCCATACTATTATGATGAGATTTACAATAACTAGTGTGATTACACTGCAAAATGCTTTCTTCTCTTTATAAGAGTGGTCTTGATGGACACTGCACAACAATGCAGTGCACAACAGAAGTGGAGGAGTTGCTCATGGTTCAACTAAAACCTCTAACTTCACTTGTGTTAGTGTGGCTAAAATTCAGTCAAATGCTTTTGTGTTAGCTGGGTTGGTTAGCTAGTTAGCAAAGCTAACGTCTCTAGTTTAAACAACTCAGTTAAGCTTGTGGATCAGTAGAGAACTAAATAGTGAACCTGTTGAACATTACTGCCACAAGTGTGAATAATACAAAAGTAATTGGAAAAAAGTAATTACTAACATTTGTATTTTTCATTATTGAACCAAAGTTTCTTCTCTGTTAGTAGAATTTTCCTATAAGCAAACATTTACTTGTAATTTTTTTTGGCCTAGCTCAGAGATATGCCTAACTATAACTGCAAATGTGACCCTGCACTGCTGTTCCTCCACTGTGCTTGGAAAATTCTGCAGCACTAATTGAAGTTGCTAGCTGTGCAGCTCATATAAAGCCTACCACCTCCACAAGCCTAAGGCATATAATTACCCTACCTTGTGTAAACTTCCCTCTATTACACAGTTGCTTACCCAAAGATGGATTTAAAATCGTTTTTATGAGAGACAAAATTAACAGTTAGCAGCACTGCAGCAACTGAAAAGCCCACAGATAGCGTCAGTGTGCTACTTATTAGCAGAGCTGTAAACAGAAACGTAAATAAGTAATGCCACATTTGGTAAGATTGTTGCTCAGTCCCCAATTGATAAAAGTAGGCCTAATGTCCTTGGCATCTTTCATGTATGGTTATAAATATTGAAATACTGGCTTGGAGGATTTGAATATGGTGGAATAATTATTTTATGTGGTTCTGGAAAAAGCCTCTGTGCTGGTTACTGGTAATCCCTTGGATTAGAATCTAGTATTTCCTCATCAAACAAGCCCTCTAAATAGCTCTGGTGGTGGGGAGTTGTGAGGTTGCTGGAGACTTTTATGCACATGGCACATCTTGATGTGGTTGTTTTTTCAGTGATGTGTTCCTGCCCTCGCCACATACTCACACATACTGTAAACACACAAATAAAACGCGCACACATGGATACAGTGTATACTGAGGTGGGCTGAGAAGGTTCTGGATACTCTACATATGGTTACTGTTCCAGGTATGCAGTAGTGGTTGTTTTCTAGATGACAGGTTACAGTCAAGACTTGTGTACAAGGAGGTCAGTATCATTATTATTGAATAAACATAACAAAACATTAAAAACAACAAAAATACTTCTCCAGCATTTTCTTTCAGGTGGTTTGTTAATGTGACTGCTGGCTAATTGGTTGTTCACAGATAAAACATGAGATTCCACAAACTGTGTAACAGTTACACCAGAGAGAAAACTCCACCTGCTAAACTGTTGGACTGCGTAGCTTATTAAATTAATGTAATTGACTTTTGTAATGCTGTTAAAGCACATAAAAATTTCTGCACGCATGGATTATGGAAATAGATGACTGACAAGAATCCATGTTCCTCCAAAATAGCTCCAGTGGGTGTGTAAAGCATTTCTTATTGCCCTCAAATAGTTCTCAAGGGGTTAACGGTTGCTAATGCCCTCAAATAAAACCACACTGCATGTGCAACTGTTGTGGTTGCCCAGAAATAGTAAAGTGCTTGTCACATGTTGATATTGTTATTTGTAGTATGTGATGTATAGGGGCACACAGGGTTCCTATTTTTAACATTTGTGATGACAGTTCATTGATTTGTAATGTGTATGGACAGTTTAAAAGGTGCCCTCTCGTAACTGAAGCCCTGTGCACACAACAGATGTGGTCATGGATACTGCAGATGAGAACCTGATCTGAATCACATTAGTGTCATTTTCGAACATGCTGTGTTTACGACTTGGAGTGGCAGTAAACACTTTCAGATGTAATTTACACTTAAGAAATTCATAGATGTTTTGTATCTCTAATAACATATTTTGTGGTTGACATTATTTTACAGCTTCACTGCAACATTATTGATTTTAAAAGACCAATTACTTAACTTTAAACTTGCCTCTGTTATATGAGCCTCTTCCTTCTTTCATCTTTCCATCCCCCGATCAGTTTGAAAATCACTTCCGTTGATTTTATATGATTCAGATTTCGCATCCATAAATTATTTCATGGATGCATTTTTGCACTTTATCTGTGCAAAAGTATTGAATGGTATTTGTTGTTATATAGTATTTCTGATCTATTTTTCTGTTTTTATCTTTTTTGCCTGGTTCTCATCCAGCCCTGGACGGACCTGTGGAACATTTGACAATGAGATTGTCATGATGAATCATGTCTACAAAGAACGTTTTCCTAAGGTATAGTCAGTGCTTTTCTGGCCTTTTTTCCTGCCCCCTCTCTCTCTGACCTGTATTAACTAAACATCTTCAATGTTGCTAATGTATCTGCAAGCAAAAGGACGATCTACAAATGTGTGCAGGAGGTTTTTTTACACATGGAAACCAGGACAGGAGATTTTAATCCTCCTGGCAAAGTCAAAATCTTGAGCCATTCACCGATGGGATTTAAAGAAATTGTTAATACAATACTGCTGTCAATGTTTTAAATGAAGTCTTCCATCTTGGTTGTTTCCCAGGCGACAGCCCAGATGGAGGGTCGGCTGCTTGACATAATTGAAGAGTGTTCCCCAGGCACTGCTCTGCCCCTGGCCGATGGTGTGCTGGGATTCATTCAGCACCAGCTGGTGGAGCTCGCCAGAGACTGTCTGGACAAGTCCCAGAAAGGCCTGGTCACCTCCAGGTACTTTGTGGAGCTACAAGAGAAGCTGGAGAAGTTGCTGCATGAGGTAGGTGTTTTTTTTTTTTTTTTTTTATCTTCAATAAATGTTTTTTCATCTGACTTCAAGAAATACACTCATAATTTTGTTCACTTTCTTGATAGTTATTCAGCCATTCAGCCAAGTTTGTTTCTTTTAATTGAGTGCTAGTGGATTTCTGATTGTTGGTAGCCTCCTGGAACATTGCATGCTCATCTGTAGCTGCACAGGGAACATTGAATTGAAATTGCCTCTGTGACTGGTTCTCATTTGGTGCCAATTCCAGTTCATTGGCAAGTAATGGCGTTGCCATTTTGCATTATTACATATATCTGTGCAGTGGTCAAGTGTTTGATTATGTAATGATTTATTACGTAACATTTCCGCCAACAATTTTACTGCAGCAAATGCTGCCTCCTGCGAAATAGATTACTGCTTCTGCTGCAGACTCAGACCGCGAATGACTTTCTCTTTTTACTCAAAAAATTGGATATTTTAACATTGAGTTCATTTATAATAGTGCCACAGTTAACAAAGTCAATCAAGTGCTTTTTTTGTGTTCATCCAGTATCCTTAGTAGCCTACGGTCAAAAGGGGATAGCTATTTTTTTTTGTCTATAATTTCAACTAAACCACACTTCTGTAATTATGTTTTCATCTTGGCCCAGAAAATAATTTCCCAGCTTAGAAACAGTTTATTTTAAGAAAATAGTCCCTTATGGTCACATGTCTAAATGTTTTAATTTATCCATGTGCTTACTAGTTTTGCTCTGGATTTATAGTTGCTGTTTCTTAATGGAACTAACAAATCTTGTAGCAGGTTTGACAGGGTAAGACATGGAGCTGGTTACAAATTATCAGCTGACTAACTTGAACTCTGACTGACATCACTCTTTCACCGCCTCTGCAGCTCAGATTCGGTACCTGCTGTTTGACCAAGGCAAGGCAATGTAAGAGTAAGATATGGAGACAAGGAGAGATAATAAAAAATGTGTTCGCAAGTGTTTACTATTATTTATTAATCTGCCAAGGCAGCGAGCAGAAACAAGCATCGATGCAATATGTCTAAATACCAGCCACAGTCCCTTGAATCAACAACAGATCATGTAAGAAGATGAAATGGATGCTAAAAATAATGTGAGCCAGAGCAAAGTGCAGACAGCCTCAGTGGGTGAGCTGTGCTGCCTCATGGCTTGTGCCAATTGGATTAAGTTACAGTAATAATCCATCATCCTTTGTCCTTTCCTGATCAGGCGTATGAGCGTTCAGAGAGCGAGGAGGTGACCATCATCACCAAACTGGTCAAGAAGATTCTCATCATCATTTCCAGGCCTGCCAGGCTCCTGGAGTGTCTGGTAAGAATCATTTGCAGACAAAGTAGTGATTATTATGCAGGTATGAAAGGTGACTCACATACACTGATGATATGCTGTAGTAATGATAGTTTACCATGTCTATCAATGAGGACTGAATGTTTGTTGCAATAACATTCATTTTGCATGGTACATATTATCTTGTTTACTTTATTGAATCATACTAGAAAAATGCTGTTCCAGACGCTGCAACATGTGTTTCCTGTTTTATTCCCGGCGCATAGTTTGCAGCTTTTCTTTTTAATTATTTCCTGTTTAACACTTTGTACTCTCTTAGAAATCAGGGCCTTTTTTTGTTTTGTTTTACGAAAGCCATACAATAAATAAAGATGCTATGAAATCACAAGACGTCCTATATCTTTTTTCTCCAGGAGTTTGATCCAGAGGAGTTTTACCAACGTTTGGAAGCTGCAGAGGGTCAAGCCAAAGTGGGCCACGGCATCAAGACTGATATTCCCAGATACATCGTCAGCCAGCTCGGCCTCACCAGGGATCCCCTGGAAGGTGCAGCACTGACTTATTATTTTGTCTGCTCCATCTATCTAGGCATTTTTAAATATTTTCACTCAGTTGAATTAGTGTAATATTATTGTTGCCATCATAATTAGAGCATTACCTTATCATGTTACAGTGTTTATTTTCCTCAAGTGTGCGGCTATTGAAAATTACATTCTGTTGTGCATTCTATTTAGTAAAATCAATTTTCACCATTATACCACAACAAAATCACATGAAGCAAAATCTTACGTGAAGAACTGATAAAAGATGAAATCGGCACCTTGTGTTCAGTTTCCCTTTATTTTCCCCCAGTATAAGTTGTTGCACTGCTTAATCCTTCCCGTTCCAGTCAAGCAGGTTGTGTCTTTGCTCTATTTGATGAGAATATCAAAACACTTCTTCTACCGGACTGCACATCGACACTGCTCTCCACATTGATATCCTGCAGAGTAGAGCGTCCTCCCTATGCAGTCCAACATTAATCATTACACTGAGCTGGCACATTATAAACGAATCACATAAAAAAATCTGTCAAGAAATATTCAGTGAATACAGTGACAGGTGATTTTGTTTTATGAAGCATCATAAGTGAGTTAGAATCATTGCAGACAGTTGAATAAACATTCATTGTCCTCATTGGAGCTTATGTAAGTTGAGATTGATCTGCGTGTCTGATGCTGTTACAGAGATGGTCCATCTGGAGCAGACCAGCCCAAGTCACAGGTCGGCCAGCAGAGAGACTGATGACACCGGAGAGACCACACCTACACAGGTAGAAACTAACACTGAACAGTCAATTGACTTTGGGTTTGACAGAATAAACAGTGGTGGTTGGAGGAATCTTGAAGGCAGCAGAAGTTGTACTGAAGGAATATAAAATGTTAGGAGGTTGCTGGGATAGATACAGTTTTAAGTGATGAATGCAGCACTTGTTTGTAAAGGCAGACAAAAATCCATCACATTATCACAATGCAGTCATGAAGTGCATGGAGTCATGCTTTTCAGCAGTAATGCAGCAGTTAAGTTCCTGTTATTTTCCATCCCTTTTTTTTGGACGTGTGTGATTCAGAGCCGAGCAGCCTGCACCCCTCCTCGTAGGAAACCACTGGAGAGTGACTTTGAGACTATCAAGCTCATTAGCAATGGCGCCTATGGGTGAGTAAGACAGACTTCTTTGTTTGCATTCGACTGACTCAGTCTCTTTGTGGACACGACGGAGTGCCCAATAAAAGCGGAAAAGAAACCAAAATGAGGATTTGTTTTCATAGTATTTTTGTGTTTACACTGAGAATTTATTTGGGCGATTTTATTTCAAGTCTGAACTTGTGTGCATCAGTAAGTGATGCGCATGGTTCCTCATCTTTTTAATGAAATCTCTCAATTCATCTCCCCTCCTTACCTCATTTTACTTAATATTCCTTATTTCCACTTCTCTTCGTCCTCCCATTCAGGGCCGTATTTCTGGTGCGCCACAAGGACACCCGGCAACGTTTTGCCATGAAGAAGATCAACCGGCAGAACCTGATTCTAAGGAACCAAATCCAGCAGGTGTTTGTGGAGCGAGACATCCTAACCTTTGCTGAAAACCCATTTGTGGTTTCTATGTTCTGCTCATTTGAGACACGGAGGCACCTCTGCATGGTCATGGAGTATGTGGAAGGTAGGGTTGGTTTGGATATTAGAGCAGTACTCGTTAAGGTGTTATGTCTTCCCATTAAATGTTAAGTTTCCAGGGACTGAGATCTCTAAAACTATGAAATGCATATTTAATCTGGTTTTCCACTTTTTTCACTCTCATAAAAGCCTACAGAAAGAATCTGATCTGAAAGTTTCCATCATGTTGGCATCTTTTGTACTTCAAGGTGGGGACTGTGCAAACCTATTGAAGAACATTGGCCCGCTGCCTGTGGACATGGCGCGGATGTATTTCGCAGAGACTGTCCTGGCGTTGGAATACCTTCACAACTACGGCATCGTACACAGAGACCTCAAGCCTGACAAGTGAGTCTCCAGCCAGTCACAAAAGAGAACAATCCCACACATTTCACATTTTTCATTCCTTCTATCTTTCCTTTCAGGCAGCGCCTAGTTTCCTTAAAGCTTTCATCATTTTTAGACTTGCCATCATTTTTTTTTAAAGACTTCCAATCCTTCTGAAGTTGGAGCATAATTTTCTGAGACATTCAACCTTTGATGGTTTTTTTATTGCATCTGAGATTTATGATTTGGTTAGCGTTTGATGTAACATTAAACATCTTTGTGTTTTCCGTCCTTTGTAGTTTGTTAATCACCTCCATGGGACACATTAAGCTGACAGACTTTGGATTGTCAAAGATTGGTCTGATGAACATGACCACCAACTTGTATGAAGGACACATTGAGAAAGACACCAGAGAGTTCATTGACAAACAGGTTTGTCTCTTCTCTTCTCATCTTCTCTTCATCTCTTCTGTCTGTTGCGTTTATGACTTTAACTAACATCAGTTCCTCTCCTCTTGTGTTCTTCCTCTCTACAGGTTTGTGGGACTCCAGAGTACATTGCTCCAGAGGTGATCCTGAGGCAAGGCTATGGAAAGCCTGTGGACTGGTGGGCCATGGGCATTATCCTCTATGAGTTCCTAGTGGGCTGTGTGCCTTTCTTTGGAGACACACCAGAACAGCTTTTTGGTCAGGTGGTTAATGGTAAGAGATCGTCACATTTATTGTTGCATTGTTATTGTTAGTTTTTCTATACAGGTTTAACTTTTTGTATATTTTTGTCTTCAGAAATGAAGTCATCACCTTCAGTTTATGTACGGATAAATTTAAATCCTGTCATTAAATTACTGGTGTGTGCTTCTTTGTCCAGATGAGATCATCTGGCCAGACGGGGAGGACGCTCTGCCAGCTGATGCTCAGGACCTTATCACCAGACTGCTGAGACAGAGTCCTCTGGAGCGTCTGGGAACAGGTTGGTGGCAGCGTGACTGATGGTGGGTGGGTGGGTGGACAAGGCTCTCTGGAGTTAGAGCCTGCTGGGTCCCAGGTTCGCTCAGCACTGTGACCATCTGCTGGCCAAGAGGAGGCACGTACAGATTTTCTTGTCACTGTTACCTGTTCAGTTTTGAGGCCAGTGGTGACATGAGGCATCTCACTGGAAAAGGAGAGTCAGTACAAGTCAGATGAGGGGAAATGTAAAGTTTTAAAAACACTTAAAATGGCACTTTCACCTACAGTATAAAGTACATCTCAGCTCTGCTGCGGACAGTTCACGCCACTTTTGTAGCTTTATTTGATACAAATTGCCCAACCCATGTACAGTTAATAATGTAATGAAGACAGTGTTAATAAGGCAACATTTTGAGTGAGCAACTATTTTGTTAATCAGTTAATAGTTTCAGTAATTTTTCAAGCAGAAATGTTGAACGTTTTATGTTTCCAGGTTCTCAAATGTGAGGTTTTACTGTTTTTCTTGGTCTTAGCAAATTGAATATTTTTGGTTTTTGGACGTTGGGTTGGAATAAACAAGACATTCGATGACAGCAGCTTGTGCTGTAGGATACTGTAATTTTCATTTTTTTAAAAGTTTTTTTTTTACTGTCTTCTGATATTTTATAGAACAGACCACTAATTGAGAAAAATAATTGTCGGATTAATGGTGATGAGAATAATTGTTAGTTGCAGCTCTAGAGTAAAACATTCTAATCATTAAGCTCAATGTTTTCCCAACAAAGGAATATCCATATATTATGGTATCAAGGGAGCCACTCCTCACATTTTGGGGGAGGAGTAGCTGTAAATCAGGCTCGACATATCAATCTCTCTCTCTCGTCTTATTTCTTCTCCAGGTGGAACCACTGAAGTGAAGATGCATCTGTTCTTCCTGGGTCTGGACTGGAACGGGCTCCTGAGGCAGAAAGCTGAATTTATACCTCAACTAGAGACTGAAGAGGACACCAGTTACTTTGACAGTATGTGGATTTACACAGGGTACACAGACAAAGCTAGACACACCTCGGAAAAAGGATGTCAGAATTTTTTTATTTTATTTTGGCAAGCAGGCAGGCCCTGATTTCACAGTGATGCCTCTTAGCAATTTAATTTAGGATAAAAACAATGTCACCAATTTTAAATTTTTTATCGCACTGTCATTGTGATCCCTACAGCCCGATCAGAGCGCTACTGTCATCTGGGTTCAGATGACGATGATGAAACCAACGATGATGAATCTTCTTTGGAGCTGCGACAGTTCTCCTCTGTGGCCCACCGCTTCAGCAAGGTATTTCTTCTGGCTCCGCTTGCGGATCCTCACACAACCTCCACTGCTGTACACTATTCAAAGGCATACGTGAAGCCCTTGATATAGAATACAAAATTGGTGTGATTTCTCAGTAAAAACGCATCTATACATGACAAAAGGAGAGCAAAGATTCACCACACTCTCTGTATAACCTCTAGGTGTACAGCAGCACAGAGCACCTGTCCACCTCCACGCCGTCCAACCAGAGCCTGTCGTCATCGGAGCGGAGCCACAGCGAGGAGAAGGAGGAGCGGTGGGAGGGCAGGGGAGTCCTTTCCCCTGGCGATGGGCACAAACACTTGGCTAGTGGAGACAGGAGGGCAGATGGACACAGGGGGAGGTGAGAGCATGACACACCAGAGAGAGTGATGTCCTTGTTATGAGAGGAAAAAAAACACAGTCGTCCTCCTTGCCTTTCTTGCTCCAGATTTTATGAAACGTGAGATGGAAATGGAATATTCCCTCTCTTTTCATGAAATACCGATGAAACCTTGGTGTAATATGACTGGTTAACAGCCACACCCAGGTCTGATCCTTTTGGTGTGGAGTTTTTAAGTGTGTTTATATGATTGTCCTCAGTATGCTCCGACTTCCTGGCTGTGTGTTCACCACTTGATCTTGTGTTTCCTTTTGCAGTCTGCGTCCTCGTGCTTCATCCAGTTCCTCCCAGTCAGAGCGCAGTGCCAGCCCGCTGGTGATGAACAGCACCCAGAGCCTTGACATCATGCCTCGCTTCTCCATCTCTGCAGAAGAGGAGGGTAAGACTGACAAACGCAGATCTCTGTTTAGTGTTGTGTCCTTTTATTTTGCAATTGCAACACCAGTGCTGACACTCTTTGCTTCATGATTGTAGACGGGATGGTTTCCAACCTGCGCCGCATTCGTCTCCGGAGCAACAGCACAGGCACCAGACCGTCGTTCAGGAGAGGGGCGTCCCGACGCATTGCCCACCAGCTGGAGACCCCAGAGAAACCCAGATCCCCAGCTGGCAAAGTCCCAAAGTCTGCCTCTGTCTCTGGCCTCTCTCTCATCATCACCCCAGGTAGACAGGATGATAATTATCTGTACATGTAAACAAAATGGATGTAGATTCAGTTGTTTGTCAAATTTCAGCCGTAATTCTTTTTAATGAAGTCTTTTAGAGGAACAACTGTAATTTGACTACATTTGCTAAGACTATTCATTTGTTTACAGTGCCCTCTACAGCCTGATCCTGTGTGATATATACAAGAATCACACAAACCATAGATATTTATACGGTGCCCAAGATAACTCTTTTACCTTGAAGCGTAATACATAGTGGAATAACCTCTGTTTGTAGGATTATTATTATGGTAGTTTGGTAGAAGTAGTTTTTATCAAATACTGAATGGTGTGAAATTGAATGTGCAAAAGTAGAAGTACATACTATCTATAAACACTCAACTGATGAATCATTTTCCTTTCCTGATCCAGACGACTCAGCGGGTCCTCCCACGAGCCCCAAATCTTCCTTGTCCCTGTCGTCCAACCCCTCATCCAGAGACTCGTCTCCCAGCCGGGACCTGTGTGTCAACATCAGCTGCCTGAGGCCTCCTGTGGTCATCCACAGCTCTGGGAAGAGGTTTGGCTTCGCTCTGCGAGCTATCAGGGTCTACATGGGAGACAGTGATGTCTACACTGTCCACCACATGGTCTGGGTATGTGTCCTTATCTCAGGTGTAGCTGGTGGTGTTAATTACATATGAAAATTCAATATATTCAACAAATGTCGAGTGTTATTATTACTATGCAACATGTTGAATTCTAAAAATGACATATTAAACAGTCAGTATAAGGGTAAAAACACTTATGTGCCGTTGTCATGGTCAACATTCAATAACAGGCGAACACTATAGAGATTTTATGATTGTACTGAATCAACTCTGTGTTTTATAGTTTTTATGGAAGCATTTTGACTTGTCTAATGCCGTTCATGAATGTGTTAGAATTCGTATTTGTCCTTCTTTTCTCCGTGTAAATAAAATGAAAACATTGATTATTATAATTAGGTGAAACATTGTCTATAGTGGTAACAGCTGATTAGATGGTTGCTTGACCAGTAATTTGGATCTGAGGTTGTGTGTCTTTGTGTCCACAGTGTGTTGAGGAGGGCAGTCCAGCACACGAGGCAGGATTGAGGGCCGGTGACCTCATCACTCATGTCAACGGGGAGTCAGTCCAGGGACTCGTCCACACTGAGGTGGTGGAGCTCCTGCTCAAGGTGAGAGAGCTTGTTAAATAGGACGGTTTGAATTTACATTTTTTTTTCTATTCACATATTGTATATTGATAAGCACAGATAATATCCGCAATGTCTTTTTAGTATGTAAAAAGCTTAATTTACGGCCTTGTTCTTAAGCATTCTCTCTGACAGTGATAACATGTCAGTCTGTGGCTCTTCTCCTGCCTTGTAGATAGGTGTTTATATTAACAATCTGTTTTAAACAGAGTGGCAACAGGGTGACCTTGCAGACGACTGCACTGGAGAACACTTCCATCAAGGTGGGCCCTGCCAGAAAGGCGAGCTACAAGGCCAAGATGGCCCGGCGCAGCAAGAAGAGCAAGAGGAAGGACGGGCAGGACAGGTACATGCAGGGAGAATGAAGTCGTTACTGTTTGACTTTTTGAGCTATTTTCTGAAACTTAATATTTGAATTCAGATAGACTTCACTTTTCTTTCCTTTTTTGTAGTTATAACACTTAAACACTTGAATAATTAAATTAGACAGTCATGACACAAAATGAATATTCTTATCATCAAAATTCCAGTTATATGAAATATAGTTGAATGGATCTCAGTTTATGGAAGTTGTCTTTTTTTTGCTCAACAAGAGGTGCTTTGTACTTGAGTAAGCATGGAAAAGGTTAAAGGAAAGAACAGTGCTATAAGCTAAACACAGATCTGACACCCACGTTTTTCTTTTGCAGCAGACGACGGAGCATCTTGAAGAAGTTGTCTAAGCATACACCTCCTCCGCCCATGCAGAGCAGTCGTAGCTTCTCTTCAGGGTTCCACCAGTCGTCTAGTGACAGCCTCTCTGGTTCCCCCACACAGTCTCTCTCTCCTGGGCCTTCCACACCATGTCGCTCCCCTGCTCCTGACCACTCTGGAGGTAAGTGAGGATGCCTTGTATCACTTGCAGAGTGTAGCCGATCTGTATTTTGTGGTTGTCGTTTTCTGGAGGAAAAATACGATTTTATCTCTCTCCTTATATCAGATTCAAGTTCCTCTCCCTGCTCCAGCTCCCCTAACTCACCTGTGCCACAGGCCCGCCCCAGCTCCCTACATGTTTTGGGTCGCTACACCAAAGCTGGCCGCTGCAAGTCCACCAGCAGTATTCCTCCTTCACCGCTGGCCTGTATCCCACCTCCTCAGCCTCTCTCTCCCCAGTGCTCTCCATCCTGCCTCCCCAGTCACCCCAAGTCCCTGCAGGGTTTCCATGGCAAAACATTGTCCCCTCCCACTATCGCCCGCCATTCTGTGCGTCCCCGCAGTGCAGAACCACCACGCTCACCGCTCCTCAAGAGGGTCCAATCAGCAGAGAAGCTGACAGGAGACAAGATGACTGGGGGGTACCACGCAGAAAGGAAGGCCTACAGCACCCGACGCCACACCATGGAGGTTCCTCTGTCTGAGGGGGAGGGGCTGGAGGACATGGAGGGGGACACTGCCACTGGGTTCGTGTGTGTCGGTGAGCACGGCCGTCAAGGTTTGTACATCGGAGGGCAGAGAGGCCACCAGGACACAGCCAGCGGAGGCAGCGAGCATCATCGCATTACTGCCTCGCCACAACACCGTGGCGGCAACCACCACTCCAAAGAGGTGGTGGTGATGAGGAAGCTGGCTCTGTCGGAGCGCAGGGACTCCTTCAAGAAACAGGAGGCCGTGCAGGAAGTGTGTTTTGATGACTCGGAGGAGAGAGAGGTGACACCAAGCCCCACGATTCCTGTCATGCAGCCGAAGGCATTCAAGGCATCCTGGATCAACTCAGTCCAGGCAGAATCCGGTGTGAAGTTGGAAGGAAGAGGATCACAGGGTACAACAACACAGCAGAAAGCCAAGTCAAAAGACAAAGCAGGGTTTTAGTTTTTCACTTTGCCAGGGATAATAGGTCAACAAAGTGAAGCGAAGTCTTTGACCTGCTACTGTACTTACATTTGAAGGCCTTGCATGTGTGTCCAGAAAACTGTGACCCAAAATCATCATAAGCAACTGCTAGAAGAAGGAAGAACAATTTCAAATTGATTTTTTTCAGTAATATATGCATCCTGCAACACTGTTAACAGAATAATGACTGCCAAACTGTGTTTACTTCCAAGTTGCTTGTTTTCTCTCTCAGTTCTCAAATCACTGTGGCACCAGTAACTGACATACTTGTAAATATTTTTTGTTTTAAATGAAGAAACTTATTTATGACTTTTTATGCTCATCTTGTTTTTTTAGTTGTTGAAAATGCCTTGGATGCTTCAGCTGTTCTTATTTCAGGAATTGCACAAAAGAAAAAGCCACGCAACAACTCAGTGTAGTTTCACAGTAGGTGCAGAATAGAGGAGGTTAAGTCAGTCAATATTGTACCATGTTTCATTTTTATATACCACAATGCCTGTCTAGAACTGGGTGTTGATTTGTGTTCAGATTGAGTCTTTGAAAGAAACCTATAGTGTCTGTCCTGCAACATATAACGTATTGTAGAATTTGAAAAGATATTCTGCGCTGCCTCTCAGAAGAAATTTAACATAGACTTTGTGGTGGTGAACATTTAGACTCATCGATTCTGAACGCAGACTTTGTATAAATATTTTAAAGGACAAAATAACAACAACAGAAAAGTCTAGCGCTGGTGCCAAAGCATGGTTTAGCCATAGGAACCATTCAAAAGAGGTACTGTAGTTGTACATAAAAAAAACATTTAAAAAAAAGCTTCATGCATGCATGGGCTTTACCTCCACTTGCTGTCTGTCCTGTACAAAAAAAAAAAAAGCGCAAGTGCTGGCACTCCTCTAGCAATGGTTTAAACCATAACCTGATCAACATACAGGTGTGTAGATAAAGCTTTGCGACTACCTTTGGAAACCAAGCTGCTGTCTCTGTCTTCTAATACCTTGTTGAGTCAAACCTCCGTCCAGCTCCTTACAAACCTAGTCTAGCTCAAGTGTTTGCACAAGTCGTTGTAGCCGTAGACAGTTAGATTTATATTCCAGGACGATCTCTTTCTCTGTGTGATTCAAATATTGTACAGTGGATGCAACAAACAAAACTGGCTCCATAGCTGTTTTTTTTTAATGTGTATTATGAATGAATGTTTACATTTTAGTGCAAATATGTGTGTGGACTTATCATGGTTTTTTGTTAAATTATTATGGGAAAAAATGAATGACAGGGAATGGCAGAATTCAAGCAAAAGTGCTGAATGGATGAAGGAATGAGTCCAGGTGATCTCCTTTTGTATATTTTGATATGGAAACAGTCTTGTTGCAGTACTAATAACCTATGCTGTTGATGTATATTGTATAAACAATGGTGGACCTTATAGCAGCTGTAGGTGGTGTTTTTTTGAAAGTGACCTTGTATGGGTAGATGGACTCAGAAATAATGTGTAATGCCACTTATGTGGTGTGGTCTTAATCTCCTGTTGTGATCAACCTCAAATGATTGTGCATAGTACACATCCCAGTACAATTTCCCCACAATTTTAGATCACATTTGGGGATATTTTTTTTTTTTAAGATTGAAGTCATTAATCTCATTGGATAGGCCTTGAATTCTTGAATTTGAGTCACTGATTTTGAGCTTTAAAGTGAGGGAGGAGATATGAACATATGGGAATTGGTATTCAGCTATGTATTCCTTAATTTGTATCTTGTTCCCATTTTGAAACTGTTATTTTTTTGTTTTCATTCAGGAACTGTTTGGATCAACAACCAAAAATGCTTCCAGTTTCACTTGTTACACAGAAAAAAGTGTGTCTTGTGTTCTCAGTTTAATGAACACACACATAGTAGTGTTTTGCAAAGTAGAAGGAACTTGTGGGAATTAATAATCCTTGAATAATGGTTATAGACTGTTTTGGTTCAAACTAGAAGTTACACATTTGTTCATTGTAATTTAGGTAAAAAAAAAACATGTCTGTGTGGGATTTATCATTGAATTTCTGATGCAATATATACATCTTGGTATGTTCTTAGAATTTAATCTTTTTATTTTGCATCACTACCAAACTGTCATAGTATCTCTTGACCTTAAGTTGTATCTTCATGTTATACTTTTTTAAATTAAGACTTTATTTTGTGGAGAGCTCAGCAGCAGTCCATACCAGCGGTTTACCACACGTCAAAATGAAGCATCACAAAGAACTCCTCATCTCTCTTTTTGCCTCCGTGTGTGTGCGCGTGTGTGTGATAAACTCCATGTCTTCACATGGGTGCTCAACTGTCATACTCCATATTTGCCACACTTGTTTTAGCGTGGTTGTGTGTTAAAAGTTGTTGCTCCCTACTCAACCCCCTTGTCACCGAATGACAAACTGGCCTTTGTGAAATTCTTAACATGTGGGTATCTGGTGCAGACTGGTGTGACATTGTCTGTTTTTCTATTGTCTTAACAGTGCTTGAAATAAATGAAGAGGACTGGAAAGTCCAAGACTACAAAGTGTTTGTAATTGTCTTCTGTCCCCCATACAACAATGTGTACACAATAACTGTAACCACATACAATCATAATCTTTGTTCAATGTACTGATGATCAGGTGTAGCAGGCTACACTGATGTAGTCACTTATATAATACTGATTCTCCTCTGGAGTAATAATACACCAGAAAAGATAAATATTTAACTCGCTGACAAAACACACAAATGAAATCCAGACTTTTACTGTTTCTCCTTGTTGATAATAAACCAGCCTCACAGCAAGATATAGATATAGATGAGTAGTTTAGATGATGAAGGAATTTAAGCTTTGAGAAAAGTCAGATGTGGGTTGTATAAAAATGGGGCTGTTACTCAATATGAGAAGATACCCCTATGTAACCTAACATGGGATTAGACACGGATTTAACATGTGGTTGACCAATTTTCCTTTTTCATATGAACTGGAGTCTTTGCAGTAAAACAGAGCTTAAAGTATACGGTTTTGGGGGGGGAGAAAAAAAAGCAGCCTCAAAGCTTAAGATCCGTCAGGTTCAAATTTCCATCATGGGCCGAGGCCATTCGGTGACCCCTCACTAATCGTTCGGATTTTTCCGCTCGGGTTCGTCACTTTCCGCTCTCTTCATATTAGTTCCCACGCACTCTCCTTCCCTGCGCCGTGCTGAGCTGGAAAATGGCTGTGTGAGGGAGCAGGGAGTTAAGGACGGGAAAAGAAAGAAAGAGCGAGAGCAAGAAGGCGAAGTAAGAAGTGAACGGAGGGGTTTGCTGGAAGTTCAGTGCACACCGAGGAGGCATCGTCCGCAGATAAGGCGCCACACGGACTCTGGTCTCTAACTTGTTAAAGTGTTAAAGCGCCGCAGCCAAAAGTGAGAAGAGTCAAGAAATATCCGCGGGTGAGTTTTTCCAAGTTATTGCACATTTCCAGTACAGCAAGGCAGCAGCCACTGTACTGGAAAATGGTGGAAGCGCTGCAAGTGTGCTCTCCGCACGCAGCTCCATGCTGTTGACTTGTGCCCTACTTTTAAAGTTTAAACTCAAGATTTTTTCCCCGTGTTTGTTTTGTGTATGTTTTGCGCTGAACACATTGCACCAAAGAGTGATTTTTATTCGTGCAGCATGTTGCTCGGTGCTCGCGCTTGTCGACAGTTGACGTGTATCAAATGTCCGTTAAGTTACTGTAACAATAACATTTATTTTGTTTTAAGTTGCTTTAGACTCGAATTAGTGAATAATTTTTTGAGTTTGTTGTTTATTCCTGATATGAATGTGATAAAGACGACTTTTACATGCTAGCAGCTCCTGAAGTTGACACTTAATGCATTTAAACCTCCGAGTTTAGAGTTGTTGTTGTTGTTGTTTTTCTGTGTAGCTTCATGCTAAAATTCAAATATTTTAGATGTTAAAATTGAAAAAGTTGCACTGCAAAAGTTACAAGTCAAACGTTGCTATGTCCCTGTGTACAACACTGGTAGTATGAGGTACACTATAATAGTGCCTTTACATTGACTGCAGACTGCAGGCGGCCATGCAGTGTGGAGGCCTCACATAGCTGAGGGCCTGACATGATGTGTGTTATGTCCCTGGTTTGAGTATTTAGCATGCATCAAGAAGTTAATGGAAATTGTGCCACTTTCATAATAAGAGGAGTCACTAAACAGTGTGGAGACACCCCCCTCCTCCCTACCCCCCTTCTCTTGTAATTACTGAATCCAGTATTATGCAACCAAATGTCAATCCTCCATTATGCTGCTTTATCAGTGTGAAGCATGACTTGTGGCAAAAGCCTTCATTCTTTCTCTAAATGTCTTAAAATGCTCTGAATGACTTGCAGGGCTTGTTGCATTAAAACTTCCAAAAGAAGTGGAGCTTCGCAAAATGCCAAGTGTCACTTCTCAGAGGGGTTGAATAAAAAAAAACTTAAGCTAACTTCAAGTTCCACCTGACGCAGTACAGCTGTGTCATTTATTTTTTGTTATATGTCCTTCAGCTGGGGGACCCAGTTAAACTGAAATGGTGTTATTTGATCAAAATAGCAACAGAATACGGCTTTAAGGCCAGTTTAGGCATGACTACACTGAACGTGCTGGAGACTCTCAGCTGGGATTTGTACCAAAGAAAAACCAAGCATCTGATAATTTACCAAAGAACGGCTTTCTTAACTCTCCAGGGAGATAAATGAGCCTATTTGGATTCTGAACCTGCCTCCTTCATGGTTGTTGGGACCATGTTAGTGACATGTTGACTGTTTTTCCTCTGCTTATTTCTATGATCCAGTAAAGAGGTTCAGAGCATAATACTACTACTGATACTATATTTTTATAGTATCAGAATGTAAAATGACAGACTGGAAACGAGATAAATGCACCCATTGACTGACAAGTTAAATAAATTTGCTGTAATTGCTACTTAATTTGTATTATCACATTACCAAGCAAGTAAAACTGGTTCCTTGATAATCTTTCTGTGTCACAATGTCATAAGTATTTGATTATTAGTACACAGTCATTGGTGTGTGTTGCGATTGAGACCACTGTATATCACCGACACATTTTCATGTTTGATGTAATAGAATTGGTTACGGAGAGGTCGATGTGCAGTTTTATATATTTATATTTAATTTGTGCAGGGCACATAGGTATATGATTTAATAACCAAGAGAAATGCAATAATCTGGGTGAAAGTATGAGCTTTACAAACGACCACATGCAAACTACACAGCAAAAAAGGCTTGTGCTATTTTCAAGTGGTGCAGACTTTGGAGGTTTATCAGATTTTTCTTTCTTTGTCGCAGTCAATTCAACATTGTGGTTGCATTGACTTAAAGTAGCATTTTTTTTTACCATCTGAGGTGTGGAACAGCCCCCATTTCACATCTTCTGATAAATACAGTAAGTCGTCATTAACTAATAGAGCCTTGTGGCACAGTTGACTTTGCAGAACAGTGTCGTCTCAGTGCTGCATAATCTTTGTAGCAGATGTTTCTATTTAGCAAAGTCAGCTTTTCAGCTTCATTAAGGACAGATAGAATTCAGGTGAACGTAACTTGAATTATAAAACTCCTAATCCCCTGTTGTAGGCTGAAAAATAAGTCCTCACAAGCTTCTGTGTTGTTGGCTCGTCCTCCCTGCCTGTGGCGCAGTAGATTTTTCATTTCCATGTGGACAGATGGCCCGAGGCCAGGCTGCATGCGTGGTGGCTCTGTAGTCAGCTCCTCACCAGCAGGGCCGCAAAGGGCCAATGCATAAACAAACTTTAAAGAAATAACTGTGTCCATGTTAATGTCTGAACTTTGTACACTGCATTTATTTGTCTCAGAACAACAGGAAACTGGTCCATGTGAAATCCATAAACAGTGTCTCTGAGACTTGCAACAATGTGTAGCCTCACGTTTTGCTTTTTTTTTTTTATCCTTTTATAAAGACGGTTTAAGATTACATTGTTAAACTCATCAACTCTTCAGCTCTTCATGAAAAATCGTTACATGCAGCCGTGGGGTGAGCTGCTGCTGATATTTGGACTGGATTTGCCAAGGCATGTTTCCCTTCAAGCTTTCAAAGATATGGTGAAAATTATGGGTTCACATAATTTTACACTGACCTACATAGAGATGTGACTGTTGATGAAACGCACAAAAAAAAAAGTCACGATTGACAATGTGGTGGGATGAAAAGTAAAAGATGAACACTCCCTCAGGTCTACAGAGAAACTTGTTCATCTGCATTGGTAGCAGATCGCTGGCTGATAGATGGACAGGGGAAATTATTAGCAAACATATATTCAGGTTTGTTTCGTGTAAGTTATTTAATGTGAAGCTAGTAAACCCGCCGTGCCAGTGTATTGACTGATATTAGGTTATTGCAGATATATCAGTATTGGCGTTTATGTTGGCCAATAACTAACAAGTTACAAAGTTTCCACCAGAGAGCACTGACAAGTTTGTTTTTTTAAAACGTCACAGTAAAAAATCGAAGGCATCTGTGTCTAGATTGTTTGTTATGAGTTAATGTTAAAGAAAATTATATATCGGCCAAATTTTCATCATCACATTTTTTAAAACTTCCAAATATCGCTGATTATTTTTTGGATTAATCGTTGGCTTTTGATATTAGACTGTATGAAGAATGTGATTCTCAGTCTCAGGTGACATCCTCCCGTTTTTTGTTTTGTTGGATTAGCCTTCCAAAACCCAACCATATTATTTTATCAAAGATTTCCATCATATAAAACAGATCAAAGCATCAAATACTCACATTTGAGAAACTGGAATCATCAGATGTTTGGCATTTTTCCTTGAAAAACATTTTAAGCAATTCATTGATTTCGAAAATTAGCAGTTAAGTTTCTGCTCAACAACAAATCGGTTAATCAGCTAATTATTTATTTATACGTCCTAACGAACTACCTCACATTTTTCATATGAATATTAGAGACCCACAGTGAAGAAATCTTTTGGTTCAATTCATATGTATTGGTCTACAAGCAGTGACAGTAGCTCGTTATCACTCGACTGTGTTAGTGATGCTCTGAATAGCTTATTTGCCAGTTTACATTATGCATACTGGTGTTTAATGAACAGGTCAGAGCTCCACTGGCTGACTAAACGCATCAAGAGTCATTCGATGTCTGCAGACAGCAGAGTAAAGGCTAGATGCCATTTTAGTTCAATCGAGGTCTTGCTTTCCCCACAGTGAAATGTCTGAAATAACAAGTATGAAATCATAAGAATAATAACTTATAGTTACTCTGGAAGTATTGACTCACCTCAAGTGTCTTTTAATTAATCTGTATAATGAATAGATGTTACTTATTTACCAGATATTGGATTACTTCGGTATAATTCCAGCACTTTTGAGTTAATTTTTGTCATCATTTGTCATGATTTTTGAGCAAATAATCACCACATTATGTCAGTAAAACAAATATCTCCTTTCATCCCTTTGTCCGACTTCAACATGACTCGTGGAATTCTCTCCAATCACACTCAGCCTTCAGTTTGTCCATGTTATGTTTCTCATTATTATCCTGTGGCAGTTTCATTTAATTTAAACAATCATTTCATCACGGTGATTGAAGAATCTTCAAGGCTGCACAGATGAAAAAAGTCAAGTGCGTGGGAAAAGGTGGAGTTGTTTGGGTCAGATGTTTGATCACTGCCTAGATACATTTTCTAATATTAGAACATTTCCTTGATTTGCCCGGCTTCTTTGGTGACTGGGGAGCACATGGCCAGAGCAGCAGCCAATCAGAGTGCAGGATAAGCTTTCCCTCTCTCTAGCAACAGTGAGTTACTTGCTGCCTATTCATTAATTATTTTCCTGTGGTCTCCCTCAGCCGTTTGGACTCTGCTGATAGCAAAGTGCTCCGTCTCTCAGTCTCACTGTTTTTTCACTGCTTTCTGTCGCTCTCTGCTCTGACTGAATAAAAAGTCTTTTTTTTTTTTTTTTTAAAAAAAAAGAAAAAAAAAAGGGATGGATCCAGTGACGCTGAGCTTGCCAACTGGTGCTGCTGCCTTGAACTGTGAGCTACTACAACACTATGAGACCAGGACTGTCACAGAGATGACTCTTCTCTCACCTCGTACGACTTTCTCTGCCTTGGAACTAAACAGTAAAAAAGGATTACTGAATAAGAGCGCTCCGTTTGCTCTGCTTTTTCTTCTACTCTGTCTTCATCTTGTTTTTGCTTCTTTTCTGCAGCAGCGCTTCGACTATAAACAAATAAAACATGGCAACTGGAAAAACGACTGGACTTTTTCGCTGGCTGCGGATGGGGGGGTTGACAGTTGGAGGCAGGACTCTGTGTTTGGGAGAGGTGGGGGGGGTGAAGAGCAGGTGGAGAGAGGAGGCGGGGGGGAGTTAGGGTGGGGGGGGGGTTATGGTGGTGTGAGGATTGCGGGCTGTGGTTGGGTATGCCAGTGCCACGTGTCTAGCCTGGCACCTCTTGCTTCTCGACTCGAAGGATGTTGGACTGAGAGTCTGGCTGAGCCTGTCGGGCTTCTCTCTGAACCAAAAGTGGGGTGAGTGTTGCACTCTGCTGCATCCTGTTATCACGATAAATCTTAAACCTTTATTTAAAAAGATGATATTCTTACATGCGAAGGTTTGCAGTGAATGTACGTTTGCTTTCCGAATGTGGTGGGGGGACAGAGGATAATCTAGACTAAGGTTCGAAAGCAATGGTCCTTGGCATTCAAAGATGCAAACCGGAGGTTTAGGTTTATTTTTTATGCTTTCGCCTAATTTTATTTAAGCGTCTGCAATGCATCACTCTAAACATTGTCCATTCAGGAACGTTTTCGAAATGATTGCACAACATCGGGCCTCGCAAACCAGGCCTATGGTTATTTGGATTTGGACATTTTGGGAAATTGCCCCAAATAGCTCCTCAGTCTTGGCATAGAAGACCAAAACTTCCATCCACCTTCCTGTCGCTTTCACCCTCCTTCTCTACCTGCTTCATCTCCTCACTGACATCCTTTCATCCCGTCCAGATAGGTTAACAGGACCATTGTCCTCGGTTGGTCCACAGACCACAGATGTCGTACTTAATCTGGAAACCCTAATCTCTCTCTTCCTCGCCCACTGTCTCGTTTCTCAGTATATTTTCCATTTTGAATTTTACTCTTGCTGTATATATATTTTTTTTCTCCGCTCAAATCTCAGATGACCAAACAAGATAAATGAATTTTCCATATTTTATTGCGGACATCACAATATAGTGTTTTCAACTGCAGAAATTTTTTGAATCGTCTGTCTGATGGTTCTGATGAATTTGGTTTACTAGAACCATTTACACTGATAAAATTGATCCTTTTGAAACTATTATGTTGCTATTTTACAGTAATAATTGCGCATTTGAGCTTGGCATATTATTGGGCCTTGCGATCATCTGTATCAGAGAATATTCGTTTTGGGTCCATGGGTTGACCTTTTGCTATATATTGACACCATGATGTAATGCACTAGAATGGGTGTTATTTTATTTGCTTCTGAGTGGTGTTTTATGATATTGTGCCGGTCTTTGGATGCTCAGTTGACCGTCCAATTGGTATTCTCATCCGGAATAGACTTGGTACAGTATGATATAGCTATTTTGACAGAATGAAGCCGGAAATATATCTGAGGCATCACAGATCTGCCTTTTTTGTCTCCTAAGGAGAGGAAACTGTTGCAAAAGGTTCTGCATGTTTCAGAAAATTCTGGTTACCCTAAAGCCATGGTGCAGGTCTTAGTTACTTCTGCATGCTCATTCTGCGAATTTCTTCTCAATTTTGCATGAATTTCTTCGAATCCTGTTTATGGTACGTTGTTGTGTAAGTTGAAGGGACATTTATTTCACAGTAAAACTTCTTGTTCCTGTGGAAAGTGTGATGCGTCAGTTAAGGCAATGAGTGTGTGAATGTAGAGTGGAGGGAATGGAGGCTCTCGTCCAGGGACCCAGTCTGCTGTTGGTTATGACGCAGCAGCATCATCCGATCTCTCTGTCCTAACCGAAGACTGCACAAACGCATGGAGCTGCTGCAGTTCGCCATTTTCATGCACCGCTTTAAGCTTTGTTTCACATAGATATGGGCCGCTTCACTTATGGCTATTTATCGAATAGAATCGACCTGTAATCACAATTCATTCTTATTTTTCAGTGTTTGTTTTTATTATCGTTATTTTTCAGACTAATTTCAAATATTTTTTTCCTCTTTTCTCAATTTTTTTTGGGCTTTTTATGTTGTGCAGGTCGGTCATAATCCCTGTCCAGAACATGTGGGACCCTGAGAGAACTGAAGAGGATTAAAGACCATCCCACTCTGCCACTCGTCCTCCAATCAGACCACTTCATTTGACCGTGGAGAGCCAACGACACAGGGCCCTCGACTGGCAAAGACTTTTACCCGGCTGCTCCAATAGCACCCAGCCAGCAGGTTTTCGCTGCTTGAAAGAGCATGTTGCCAACGCTCTCCCTCTGCTCCATCATCTGGCTCAACCGGGGAATCAAGCTGAGGAAAGTGCACCAGGCCACCAACACCGGTCAGGTCTGAAACCGCTGCAGCCACAGACATAACAGCAGCAGAACGCCACCTTACCGACTTTTGAAAATGCTTCTAAGCTTCGGGTGACTCCCCCTCCTCCCCTCATCCCCCCGACCCCCTCCCTCGAGCCACCCATCTAACATCCAACACCAGAATTTAGTGACTCAACAGCCTTTTTCGGTTTCTGAGGAGGATTTCTGTAAAGCCGAAGCCTGTTGTTGCAGTAGCACTCGGGCTGCACCATCTAATCCTCTATTTGGTGGCCATTTTGATTTTGTTGTCTCCCTAACAAAATGGCGGCGGAAGGTTTTCAGTACCGTGCCCTCTACGCATTTACCAAGGACCAGGAAGAGGACCTGGATCTGCAGCCTGGAGACCTCCTGACAGTCAGCAAGGCCTCTCTGCTGTCCATGGAGAACTACCAGGAGGGCTGTGAGGAGCAGCCGGAGCACCTGGGCTGGCTCCTCGGGTATAACGAGCGCACCAAGCAGAGAGGCGACTTCCCTGGGACTTATGTTGAGTACGTGGGCCCCGTCAAGATGGTGCTCCCATCGAGTCAACCCAGGTCCCAGCGGCCACTCCCTGCTGCTCCCAGATCAGAATCGTCTCAAGGTAAGGATGTTTTCACACTGACAATGTCTGTCACGTGGTTTTTCTCAGGTGCGTTGCTGCACAATAGGTCCGTCACTTTCTTATAATTTGTTGCACCATACCATTGTGAATTTGAAGGTGTCCTTACAATATAGTGTAACAATATTATGAATATATGAATTATTATATATAAAAGTTTTCTATGAGGAAACAGCACAGAATTGAATTGACTTCTCATTATTTAAATGAGAAAAATATAATACAACGTGATGTTGTCTGTGAATTTCACTTTACGCAACATCACAATGAGTTATTGAACTCTTCCAGAACGATTACTGTGCATTTTTCAAACAAACTCACACCACTCTCCTTTTTCTACATGCAGTTTGTCGTGTTTATTTTTCCTAATTGTCCTACACCGTTTTTCCAACTCAGTTAATTGTATATATTAAATTTTGTTTATTTGTTTTTAAGGCTCAAGTATGCAGAAAGTATCCAATTAGAAAGCAGTAACATAACAGTCAATCATGTTCAGTCATGCATCCTTTTTTGCTTTGTGTGTGTCCTTATTCTTCTCAGGATATTTTTATAAAGACTTTTTTTTGCAAACAAACTAAAGCAAATTTTCCTTGACATAGCTTTTAACTACAGAACTTCCACTCAACACTACACTTTCCTTTTGTCACTTCTCTTGGTCATTGACTTTCAGTGTGCAGAATGATGTATGTACAGAGTCTGTTTTCACACTCATCTGCTGAAGGGGGGAAAGTTTTTCTGTGCTCACCATAAAGATGTAAAGAGTTTAAGATGTATGTTTACAAGGTGGTTTTGTGACTTGTGACAGTCTTGGTCCAGTATGCAACTTACAAAACTGTTTAAACTTGAGTTGTTCAGAATTTACCACAAACACACAGAGAGGACTTTCCAGTGAAGAGTCATCATCAGCTGTTACATTTTTGAATCGAAAAATATTTACATTTTCAGAGATTCTGGATTTTTTTTTTTTCATGAGGGAGAAAGAGGAAGAAGTCATTGAACTTTTTTGAGGAATAAAAACATTTATATATAAAACATTTCTTCAATCAATGCCCATTGTATGTTAGTTGGAGTAGTCGGTGGGTTTCTGGTCAACCACCTTGGGAGTTTTGATGGGGCTCCCACATTTGGCAGTGACCTTGAGCTGACCCTTTAATCTATACTTAAAACACGTCATAAGCCTCACCTCTTTGGAAGCACAGCTAACCAAACTCTCTGCCGAATAATAAAGGGCTAATCCATCTACTTACTGGACTCTCCTGTACAGGTCTGCCCAGTGATTCTGTCCGTCTGTGTGGCCCTCTTTACATTCGACGTTAACATGTGTCTTTGGCATTCCAAACTGCATCTGGGCTTATCTGCACAAAAATGCCTGCCGCTCCCTCATTGTGATCTCTTATTGACCCCTCTTCTCAACTGTGGGTAAAGGATTGCACAGGCAGGAGGGGTTGCAAGGACTATTTTCAACTCTGCTATGACCAAGACAAGAGATATGAGGGGCGTTTTTGACATTCAAAAGTTAAACTTACTTACCGACATATCGAGAAAGACTAATGTTTTGATAGGTGTGTTTGTATTTAGTGCAAATTGAGAGTTATCCAACAGTTCAGGGAATACAATGTCACGTGTTTTTAATCAGAGATAAGTGTTCTTTCACACCTCTCTTCACTCCCATGACTCTGGGAAAATAGGCCCGTCTGATATTTATTCATAATGGTAAGAGCCTGCTTTCAGCTACAACTGTGTCCAAGTCAAATATAGTCTTGGCATGGATTGGTCGACCTTAGCAAGCTCAACTTCAAGTAAAAACTTTGATTTGTAACCAAAGTTCCTCTGCTCTTCCAAGATTTCCATCATTTTCTCCTAATTTGCATTCCCATGCTTTTGGCTTCAGCTGGAAAAGATGCATAGGGCCAAAATAGATAAATAGAAGTTTTAATATCATTCTACATATGAAACCAGACATTCCTCTTCTGCCAAAAGCTGTATTCTCTTCAATTCCTCCATGCTTTCTTTATGACAGATGGGCTAAGTACCACTCTGAGCACGTAGGCTGTGAACTCTGAATTACCTCTGGTTGAGCCAATTGGCTATTCATCGTGTACAACAAAGTACACTGGGCCTCATTCAGATTCATTTCTCGGTATTTTTCTCTGAAAAGTCCTAAAAAGCCAGTGATATCGTAGCTGCAGCACAAATCTTTCCAGAACTCTTATCAAATGAGATTTGTCCTTGCCAACAGTATAATAAAAACCTGAGAGTGAAAGTGATGTATTGGTGAATAAGGCACAGGCCTTAACCTTCTCCAGCAGAGGCAGGTGAGGAGGAGAACAGTATCCTCGCACTTTGACAGACAGTGAGACAAACCAGTTGGGCAGCTGGCGTTTGTGTCTGTGATTTGGAGAGACAGGGGCAGAAGAACCAAGTGAAACCCTGAGAGAGAGAGAGAGAGACAGAGAGACAGAGAGAGAGAGAGAGAGAGAGAGTGGAGGGGAAAGTGATGTGATAGGTTGGGGGTGCGGGGGTAATTTTACAAATATCATCCTCATTTCCCTGAAGGAACAGAGGCCCTGGTCGTTGTGTGAATAGAGCTATTGTTAGTATGGCCCATTTACTATTCACAGAGATCGTAACATTTGGCATCGAGGGGCAGTACTACGGCCCAGTGGTCAGGAAAGTTGACCGAGTTACAGGTTTGATCCCAGTGTCCATCCTGTAACATAGAGCTGAATGAAATACAAAATTGAACATTAATTTATTTGTCTGAACTGCGGTGTTACAACACACAACTTTTTAGCAGTTTATTTGCTTTTAGAAGGAAAGTGCGAGTAAGGGGAAACGCTGCCGCACTTTGAAACACCTGCACACAAAACAGCATGATATTGGATGAAATGCAGTAAGAAATCTGTAACCTGGTTACTGTAAAACCCACATTTACATGCAGCTGGCTCGTTATCAGATTTCTGCCCAGCCCCAACAACACCAACACTGGAACATCAGAAGTTTATTAGTGATATTTATGTATTCAGATTGACACTGAGAGGCTAACTCTGTAGTGACAGCACAGATTTCTTCCTTACTGTTGTGAATGTAGACGTGCGAATGTTGAAAATTGTGTAGTGAGACTAATTTATTTTATTTTCAGTTTCAGTCAGACTTTTGAAAGTAATTGTGGTTTGTACAGCTACAATTAATAATCCTTTCTTCACTATGCTCTGCTGCTACAGCAACACTCGGTCAGGAGTCTTTGTCATGCAAATGCACATATGTAAAACCCGGTTACGTGTAGACAAAAAAAAAAAAAAAAATCAGGTTTCTTTTGCAGAAAAGTTACCGTTTACCGGGTTTTTCTTAATCCCTTACCCCGGTTAAAGAAACCAGGTTTCTCATTTGCATTTAAGAAATCAGGTTACTGCTGTCAACAACAACCCGGCTACTTAAGTGCATGTAAATGTACCAATGTTTTTTAGCAGTAGCAAGCAAGATCCAAAATGCAGATGCAAATGGCTTTTCTTCTGTCTAACATTGCATAGTAATGGGAGGATTCTGGATCAGCAGGTGATATTTAGTGTAAATATCAATAAAGAACAAGAGCGGCTGCGGTTCTACTGATGTATGCACCTACACTTGAATGTTATGGGTAGATTTCTTTGTGTGTTTTATTGTTGTGTATATAGAAATTAAATGTAAAAAAAAGACACTCTTTATCAACATTAGTCAGCCTTTCTCGTGATTTGTGTTTTTAAGTGTTGTATTGGCCGAGTTTCCACACTTCAAACCAGTTTGTTAGAATCAATTTTGGTGATCTAAAACGTATCATGTTACGAGGTGCATATTGCTTCAGCACAACTAGGAAACAAATTAAAGACACATAACTTTTCTCAACTTGCAGCAGAAATAATTGTACAAACTCAGAGTTTTTTTTTTTTTTTTGTTGCATTCCCTCCTTTCACTCTCTCCTCTCCCTGGCCTCACTTTAACTGCCTGCTGAAGTGAACCATGCCTTGGCATTTTTGCAAACTCCTCCCTTCGTACTCCCTCTCTCTCTCTCTCTCTCTCACACTCTCTCTCACTCCCTCCCTCCTCTCTCCTTCTCTCCCCCTTCTCTCCCATCCTCCCTTCCTTTTTGCAGCCTCTCTCCCTGATTCACATACACGTCTGATACTGTCTCTGGGCAGCTATAAACCATGTTAGCGGGGCCAGTTCTCAGAAAGGAGAGGCCTCCACTCACTCTGCACTCCCCGTGCCTTACCAGGAAAACACTTTCAAAGAACCCATGGAGGGGCTGGGAGAGGGGCTGAAACAGTAGAGAAAGAGAATGGGAAAGATATGGAGAGGTGGAAAGGGAGGGAGTCGAGGGCCACGGTGTAAGCCAAGGCCACCCTATCCAACTGCAAATATAGGAACCAGCTGTATTTGGTTTCTCTTCTGACTGTTGTATTATTCTCCTGGACTTCAGTAAATTTAGCATGTTAGTTTGCAGAGCTATAGAAAATTTTATTTTCTGGAGCATTTCTTTACCGCCAGAGCAGCAAATGAGAACTCATTTAAGCGTGAAGTTGTCTCACTGAAAGATTAATGGCTTTAGCAAACCAGAAACACAGTAAAGTACATTTTGTACAGTTGCTTACTGAAGGCAGGAGTGAAATAAAGTCAAAGCTCCTGTTTGCTTTGACAGAATGATACCACCAAAGCATTTATAATTGACTATGTGGATTTTTTGTCCTAACAATAATGATAACCATGCTAAAGAGGACTAGGAACCAAATCATGCTACAGAAGCAGATCTGTACTTTACTCAGCATTACATTCATGTGTGTGTGGCAGTGATCTGAAAACTGTTCATTTATGTATTCAAGCCCAGGGCTACGCTTGACACAAACTAGTTTGTACAAGGTATTGACCAACCATGTCCAAAGGCAAAAGTGTTTATAGCTGTTCGAAGGTGTATGTGTATGTATGTTCGAAGGTGGTGTTAAAAACCT